ACGGCCTTCAGACAGCAATGATGAACCTTCGGGCAAAAAAGCAAAAAAATAAAAATCGTGAGCGGGTTCGAACCCTCGTTAGATTCCCCAGACGCCGACCACTAGACCACTAGACCACCAGACCATGACGACTGGGTTGCGGGGAGGGCTTATGAAGGCATGCCAGACAACTTTAAATCGTTGTAACTTTTTTATTTAAAGGCGTTGGCAGCTAAAAGTTACATCAATCGATTCGTCTCGTCGAGATCTACAAGATGCACATACTCACATAATTAGGTCCGATGTCCGCCCGAAACCTTTCCCTAGTGAAGGCTTCAGAAAGTACAAAACTATAAAGTTCCCTGGGTGCGAAATCTGCATGTAAAGAGGCGCTTTCGTTCGCGTGGCGCCTGGTTGCTTTCCTATCATGTTCGATTAGATTTCGGTTTTCCAAAATTTTATCAAAAGCGCATCCAAAAAGCTAAAGCTTATATTAAAGCTTTTTTCTTATAACGCTTGAACTTAAAAAGCTTATATTTTGTTTTCTCAAAAAGAGGCTTCCGCGGGCTTTTAAAGCGGCATGAAAGCCTGGATCTTTTTCAAGAGAGTATAATCATTTTTGGCCGTCGACAGTTTCAGTCCAAGGTTATCTTTAAAATTTTACATTTGGATTTAGCGAGGGCAAATGTCAGCTTGTGAAACTCTTTTAAAAATGCTTTTTCTTTTCGAAAAATCAGGTCTACTGCGGTAAAATCATTAATCTACCATCAAACGCCGCCGCCATTATCCCTATTGCTCACAAGCTGTTGCCTTCGGGCCCAAATCGCAGTGCCGTTCCCACGCCGAACAATACCCAACCATAACTGTGAATCTTCTCCGTCGGCCCGTCCCACAAACACCATCTGGCGAAATGTCACACTTGTTGTTGATCGATCAACTCGCCCCGAATTCTATAAAGAGCCCTCACCCGATCAGCCAAACCCATGTAAAGACGCCGACCCATTGTTATCTATATCTAAACAAAGGCAGGTGGCAAAAATCTAGGCACGATAGGCGCGTTCGCTCCCGGGATTACCGCGGAATCGGGAATTGCCCCAGGGCATGTCGGGCCTATTAATCGTCTTTGCGGGTTATAAGAAGTGAAAGGGGGCCGCCAGGCAGATTTGGCGGAACATATCGGTGGCATATCCGGGGTGAAAGGGCCTAACGCAAAACGAGATCCGCACCTCGTTTGCCATTGCGTGAGGCTGGTTCCGCATCTTCTTATTTTTTCAATTGGTTTTCTGACGCTTCATGATCGTTGAGAACCCTTACAATATTTGAATACCATACCCATACCCACTAGAAAAATCAACCACAAATAATTACGCGCAATTACCATGACGGTATGGTTGCTGGGTGGGGGTAGCTAGGCAGCGAGCCCAGAACTTGTGAATTGGCCCGTTGGGGCAGAACAAACACGACCCGGGTTGTTGTTTAGCCGTAATTAGCTATGGTGGAGGTCATTCCGTCGGGTATTTGATGATGCCTAGGGAAATCTGTGCTGGTATGCCACTGGATTTCAAAAACAACGGAAGAGAAAATCGTGCCTTACACGGTTGTCGCGCTTGGAAAATGTACGTCTGTTTTAGCCGCTTCCTGGTCTTTTTAAAGGAACTAGCAAGCGCCAGATTCGACCCCTTGCCGACTTGGTTTGACAACTACGAGAGACGCCAAAATGCGTCAGAAATTGTGTTTGATTTTCGTGTAATCTCATGCTTTTGCGCTAAGCAAATTTAGGTTTTTCTAACATTTTTTGAGCTTTGCCGAGAGGTCAAAGAGGTTTGTAGTTTGTAATCCCCCCTTAAGAGCCTCCTTAGTTTCAAAAATCCACAAAACCCAAAATACAGACTTTCCAGTCCCTTTACAACCGAGCTCTAGCCTTATAAAAATCCCGAATCCACAAGAAGCTCGATAAACAGACTTCCCGGTCCCTTTAAACCCACTAGTCCTATAAAACTTCTGCTAATCACAAGCCGCCGATTCCCCCTGATTTTCCGAAGCGTGCCGACGCTTCAAAGCACCCTTTTCCAGCCGGCTTATCGGCCTATTCCGGCCTGCCCATCTAGAGGCATCTAGACCCCAGGGTACCAATCCCTTCCACCTGGTGGCTATGTTTGTGCCCTGAGGGCATGTGTTTGTGGAAGAGTCCGTCCCCCTCCTCTTCCTTTGCATCTCCCTGGGTCATATCAATTCCGTTCCAAACGTTTGAAGCGTGCCGCGCGGCTCAGAGAAGCGCTGGCCCGCCGGCTGGCTGCGGGGCATCATTTCGTCAAATATTCAGATTTCTCTGGGTGGTTGGTGCGTTTTATTGACTTGTGGGATTAATAAAATTGTCTGCGCTACGGGGAGTCGGTGAATTTGGAGAAATTTGCATTTTCTGTTAGCTATCTCGCTTTTTGCGTTAAGATCTGTAATATCGTGCGATACTTCTTTGAATTTTTATTTTTCTTTATTTTAGATGGAATATGTTTTAACATAACATAAAACATAAATTATGCTAATTTAAATCGCGTAAAGGTTCGGGTTTTCTAGACGTAAATTCTAAAAAAGCTATTGTATCTGGTATGTAAATTCGGATTTAATAAAATTTTCGGTTAAAAACCGCTTTAAAAAATGCGAGAGGAGTTGAACACTTATAAAATTGACTCATTCTTTAAATCGGCTTAAAATTAATAAATCGCATATTCCCGAAAAAGAGAACCCAGCAGAAAATGTTTAGCATGCAAATTTTGTGATTTTCACGTTATTCTCGCTAGTTTAAGATCTAGAACCGGCCGAGATTTGCTGTTTTTCATCATTTCACCCCAAAAAAATGAGAAATTGCCTTTTCCCGCCGCTGCGTTGCACCTGCTTCTCACAGCGGGAATCTCCCGCCTCCAGGCGCCCTCTCGTCGAATTTTATGCCCAAAATTACCCATGAATTTTTTGAGGTGTTGGCAATGAGGGCCAGCTGTCAGTGTCAGGCTCCCCATTCCTCTGCTAACATTTACTGCCCAATTCTTTCTTTCTCTATGTGTCTTGGGTAGGGGGAAGTTGACCTCCCGGGGTGGTGCTCACCCCTCAGCGTCTTGCTCGAAATGGCCCTCGCACCTGTTCTCATGTCAGTACCCAAAACACCCGGATGCATAGGTATTTGGTTAAACGTTAAACGTCGGCTTTCGAAATTTTAACCAAATTTTATTTGAAATTCCGGTTTTTAAGACAAATTTCCAGAACCATTAATTGGTGTGAGAAAAGCGCTTGATTTTACTTGTAGAGAATAGAATTTTTTTGCTACTCTTAAAGGTTTTTTGCTCCCAGATCTCAGCTCCCAGCTGCTGGAGTGTCGCAAAAATATAAGATATGAATTTTTCATAAAATGTGTTAAACGCTATGATGCATTTCGTTAAATTTTTTACATCTTTTGCTGGAAGCCCCCAGGTCTCGCTTCCACTTCCGGAAAAGTTGTTGTTAGTTTTTTTGCTCCCAGCTACAGATTAAATAACTTTTTAATTCTGCTCTCACAAAACCCACAAAATTTTCCATGTTTATAGCTGCTACCTATTTATTGGTAGTTCCTTATTAGAGCCGCTTTTTTCGATTTTTTTTGCCTTATAAGATTCCACTGACCCCCAATCCCTTTTTCCAATTCCCCAATTTTTGCCAACTTCATTTTTCAGACTTCCCAAATAAAGTATCTTTTTCCTGGTTTGACCTCAGGCGCGTAATTAGCGTCACTGTAATTTCCTATGCGCCCATCCCCCCTCCAACCCTAATAAGCCATGCCTTTGGCAGTGCCCGATCATGATCCGCCCTCCCCGGTGTCTCTAGTCCCAGCTTATACCCTCAGCTTACCCCCCGCGCCAAGCTTTTGAAGCCACCGCCCTGTGCGCGAAACGCTAATGAATAGCTGGAGGGGGGGGGCACAACGGGGTGGCTTTCCTTGCCTATACCTTTAATTACAGGGTCGTGGTGAAGCACTTATAAGGTGGGCCACTGGGGCCTTTAAGGCCCGGGAATTGGGCAATAGTATGGGTTATAAAGGGGCGCCAAGGAACCGCTAGGGGTGGAATGGGTGGGGTTAAATTATGGGGTTTAAGGGTCGCGTTAAGGAGAAGTCGTTCGACTTTCGGGTTTACCGGTGGCTTAAGCTTATGGGGGTCATTGAGGGTGCTTTAAAAGGGTACCTTTCTCTCTATTTCTCTCTCTCTCTCTCTCTCTCTCTCTCTCTTTCTCTCTCTCTCTCTCTTTCTAGCTCCCTCTCTCTTACACTCTCACTCTCTCTAGCGCTCTCTCTTTCTCTCTTTCTCTCTTTCAGCCTCTCTCTCTCTCTTTCTCCCTCTCTCCATCTGTCTCGACGGCAAGACTAATTTTAGAGCAAAAATACATGACGATTCTGATGGCCATACTGCACAGATAACTCCTCAAAATTTCCAACTTCTGGCCCCACTACACCCACTCCTAATTACGCATCCCCCCCATGTTTGCCAATGTCCTCAAGCACCTCGACTTCAAGTTGATAATTCGCAGCATACGGGGGAGCATAATTGGGCCCAGCAGCGCTGAAGAGGGCCCTTTTTCTCGTCTTTCACACCTAATCGTAGCCCGAGGGCACGGCCAGGGTCATCGCAGCCCCGCCCCCCAGTCGCGGATATGGCTAACCCGGGGGTGGAGCCACCCCCTTTGGGATGGTCGTTCTGATTTTTATGATGGCTGTCAGCATTTGCATACCGGCTTGGTGGATTTGTATTTATTTTGGGTTAGAAATTTTTTTAAAAAGATGCAGATTAATTGGTTTCAAGTTTTTCTCTCTCTCTCTCTCCCTCACTCTCTCTCTTTCGCTCTCTCTCTCTTCGTATGACCTTGATGTTTTCCGTCTCTTATTTACTTAGTTTTGGTCGTGCCTTCCGGTGAAGATTCCGGTCTTCTGCGAACCTTCGAATTGTTCCATGTTCTAGGTTTATTTTTTTCAGTACTATTTTCTGAACGACACCTTTCAGATGAAACCCAACAGAATACTCCTCCTCACGACAATATTCCTATCCCCCGCCCTGGCAGAGCCATTCTGGCTGTCCATCGAGCTGACTCGAGTCGACTGGCGGGATGGATGCTTGACGACGGGCGGATGCTCCCAGCCCCGGTTTCAGGTAAAAACTAAGAAAGGCAAGCACCGTGAAGTATCACAGGCCATAAATTTTTATTGTATCGTGTGGAGCGTCTAAAACTGTATAAAATTGTTTTTAGATCCTCGCCGATTTACTACCAGTTTCCGAAAAGATGTCCATTTCTTGGCCGGTCAGCGAGCACTTTGTGCAGGTTTGTTATTTGTAATTTTTGATTATTCTATAAGTTAATGAGGATAAATCAGGTTAATTTTAATCACGATTCTTATAGTCTTTTAAACTTTGCGGCGGTTTTTAAAAGGTTTTCCGTTTTTTTTAAAATCTCGGTTTTTTGGCCTGGTTTTAACACAATTCATAAAGCTTTTTGCTAGAATTTTGTTTATATTTGTCGTTATTTCAAGTTGAAAAAATTGAGGGACTAAAAGCGCGAATAGGATTTATTTTGCGATTTTAATATTTTTTTTGGTAATTTTTGGCGGGGTTACTCGGTTTTGGTTTTTTAAAGATCCTTAAATCGTTGCGCATCTTTCTATTTTCTTTTCTACCCTCTAACCTTCTCCTCCTTCACACCCTGTTCCCAAAACCATAACCGACGCAACCCCAAATACTCCCCTCCCCATCGACACCCTTGATATAACCGGCTAATCGGGGTGCCAACGCCCTAAATCTCTGAACCCTAATTATCGGAGGCCCGCGCAAAAAGGATGGCACGGAGCGTTGCGTAGTCGAGATTTGTCGGGATTTGATTTCAAAGGATGGTGCCGACCAGGCCACTCAATCCACCCCCCGAAAAGACTGTTGCGCAACGCATCCAATGGTCTCTGCTGGCCCCCTCTTTTTGGCCCCTGGGTCGTCGCGAGGGTAGTTGTGCTGTAATTTGTCTCTCGAGCACCGAAAACATGTCGGTTTGGGCATTAAAAAAATAGGAATAAGATTTTTCCGAGCCATACGGCATTTTTGGAACCTTAGAACGTTAAATTACGCTTGAATTTTGGAAGACACTCTAGAACTAATTTTTTTAAATATTTTTTAACCAATTCTTTTTTTAATTTTTGAGCAGTATGGCTATTATATTACTTTTTCGATAAGAACCTGGTTAATTTTTGAAAGGAACGTGAACTTGAATTTTCTACGGCATTTTTGGGAATGATCAGTCTTTTAAAATCAAATTTTAGTTTGTTATACTATTTGATAGTCAAAATGCGAATACATGGCTTAAAATATACAAAAGATCACATAATTATTGATACGAGAAAATTAGATCCTTACAAGAAAAATGTATTTTTGTAGATTGAAACCGGCAAAAATCATTCAAATTTCGTAAAAAATTTCCCCCTGCCTTCTGAGGGCCTTTCCGCCACACTACTACTGAACATTGGAACACCCCAAAACTCGCTCATCACTTCTTCCCGTCCGCTACTAACCCATTCAAGAGCCCGGCGGCAACTACCCCCCAATTTGGGTTGATTTTTCGTATAGCCCAAACCCGGGGTGGTGTGGGGCTCAAATTTGACTAGTTGGTGGGTCCGGGGGGGAGCCGCTCGGAAAAGGGGCATCTTCTATATTTATCTGTGGTAATGAGATGCTATGTGGCAAAGAGGGAGAGGGGCAGAATGCGATTGAATGTCGTCCACCCTTCCCCCCACTCCGATACACACCACTTGACGATAATCCAATGGGTTTTGAGGCCCTCGAGGGCAAGGGCATCCCCCCCTCGACCCTTGAAAACGATAGAGTACGAGCTACGCCTTTGTACGATTGAGGTAGAAAAGAGGTAGGGCATCGAATGGATCGTTTTAGAGGTATCGAAAAATGACTAAAGCTGAAAGAAGAATTATTGAAGCTAAAACAATTTATTAAACGAGAATTTCAGGATGCGGCCCGTCAATTCGTCCCGCATTGGCCTGGCGGCACGCCGAACGATGTGAGTGTCTCCTGTCAGGTCGTCGGCACGGATCCGACCTACGGGTTCCGCGCGTCTGCGACCAGTCCGCCTCGATGCGGGTAATTCAGGACAGATTCGTGAGGGAAATGGTGAGTTTCTGGCTCTCTGTCTCTCTCTCTCTCTCTCTTTCTCTCTCTCTCGCCTTAAAATCAACTGTCAAGAAAGATATGCTTTGCGTGACTTCCCTTTTGCCCCTAGCAACCCCAAAATCACCCCCTCAAATCTTATCACATCACCTGGATCCGGCAGATCGCCCGGGGGCTCCTTATTCACGCGTTGTGGGCCCACAGGCGAAATGTCAAGTGGGGGTACCTGGGGCATTCTTTGTTACTGTGGCCAGAGTGGGTCAAACGGGCCATTCATGACGAGATAGCAATGGCGCGGAACATGTAGTAGAGATCATAAGATATGGAAAATATTATCGTTACAACAAAAATCATATTATTTAGAGCAAAAAAAGTGAAACAACGGTTTTTGGAAAACATTAAAAAATCTGGTTTCATCACTTTCAAATTTTTTTCCTTAGATTTACTTTGAATAAGGTTTTTGAGTAAAAAAATAGATAGTTAAAAATCTGCTTCGGGAAATATTCAAAATTTTTTAACGAATTTGAACTTTTTCTATAAATTTAACTTGCAAATTTGGTTCAACTAATTTAACTCTTTCGATTTAAAACATACGACAACTCTAAGTGATCGCATTAGCCTTATTTAGGATTTTAAATTCTTGGTTTTTTAGAGCAGGGTTTAAGTTATAAGTTTAAGTTCTATTCAAAAAATGTTATAAGATCAATGCCTAGCCATCCCTGACCCCAATCCTCATCGCCTATTTGGCTTTGCCCAACTTTTTGCCACCTGGCCCCCGATGCCATTTTGGGGGTAAGAGGCTGGGAAAGGCTGGTAAAATATTGCGCAATTTGGTTCCAGGGTTCGACCCCCCGCTGCACGTCCCATTCTTTGTTCTTGGGGGAAAGAAAATGGTGGTGATGAGCACCTGGATCATTTGGCATCTTTGCCAGGGCACTGCTTTTGAGCCCTTATGCAATCGGGGGATCAACAAGGATTTGGCTAGGGATGCCATACAGGCAAATTAGCATGGCTGGTGTTGCGCGAGCGGATAATGAATCCGGGGTGGGCGGGTCGGGTCAAAAATTGAACGGCGACGTGTGGGCTATACCTTTTGAAAATGGGCTGCAATGATCTAATAAAAAACGCGCAAATTTTCTCTTTCCAGAAAACGCATCGCGCTCGACGCGAGTTGAGCACGTTTGATGAGGACGAGCCAAAAAGACAGCTCATCGAAGTCCGAGGGAAATGCTTCAACGCGACGTTGATGATCCAAAAACACACTGAACGGTGTCCCTGGTGTCCGCATCCGTCCGAAATGACGGTTATCCAACAGGAGGTACGTAAAGCTCTCTACCTTTCTCTCTCTCTCTCTCTCTCTCTCTCTCTCTCTCTCTCTCTCTCCCATCCCCTCTCTCTCCATTCAATTTTTGGTTTTAGATGATGGACCCAACATCTACCGCATCGTTGCTAGCGTCGTTTGGGTCTTCCTCCCCGACTTTGGCGGCTTCACTTTTGGGGCTCACTGCCATAGCGATGTTGAGCTCAACAGCTTTTGCCTGTCTGCTCATATCGTACTTCCGGCAGAGGAAGAGGTTTTATAAACAGGTAGGTGAACCAACATGATGTATCTCTCTCGCTCTCTCTCTCACACACTCTCTCTCTCTCTCTCCCTGTCTCCTCTATCCCGCTCTTCCATCTTTTCTGATCTTGAGATCCTGGCCTATTAAACTCTTCAATCTCATGAATTTCAGCTCAAACAACCCCGATTTCACCCCTACCGCGGCTCAACCCTCGTCGCCCAAAAAGACGATGAAAACCGGTGAGCCAACATAATTTATTGCTGCCAATCTGTGGCCCACGCAATTTGGTAGCCCCCCAAAATGGTTCCCCACCGCAATCTACCCCAACGACAAGGCCAATTGGTTATTAAAAGTAGTGGGAGTGTGGGTGGTATCGGGGGTAATGCGCCTGGCTCGCTCCCGGGGCTGTAAATATCCGCACCAACTTGATGAATGCCCCGAGGCGACGAGAGGATATCCGGGCCACCCCCAATTGATTTTTGTGATGACAAATCGTTTCCTGGCGTGATTTTATGGGCTGGGAAGATACGGAAGAAGAGAGAACGAGCGAGAGAGACAGAGAGAGATGCTCTACGAGTACGACCGGCTACTACTGACTGTAATATTCAGAGAGGGATGGCCAGTAGCAATATTGTAAACAAATCCACGCCTAGGTGCCACACACCTGACTTTGGGGTTGACAAGATCAATTTGCTGGGTTATTGATGAAGCTAGGAGCATGTATGCTAATTTTTCGGCTTAGGCTTGGCTTAAAAAGCCTGTCAAAGGGAGCCGGAAGCGAACTTTACTACATATGTAGTTGTTAGAAACCTGAGGCGGCGATTTTCGTGCGGTAAAATGCCTCTAATCACCCAAATCCGTTTTGTTCTTACCTTTTTGGACTTAATTTTAAAAATACCTTTCCAGATATGACCTACCCTGGGAACAAACAAGACCCCTGACCTATTGGATGGGCGGCCCGAGCAAGGGAACGACAAGTCCGGGCACTACGACAAGTCCTCTCGATTCGGCATCATCACTACCGTATGCCTACCGGATGCCGCCGAGCATGCCACCTCCACAGGTGAGAGATTTAACTCGGATCTTCAGTACATCGAGACCATAGGGAGAATGCAACCTAGAAAAGTTTCCTTCGACCTTAACCTTTGGAATCTAAAATCCGTACCTGCAGCAAGGAGGGTCTCGGGACTTATGGTTGCAAACGGTTAGGCGGCTTTTTCTAGTTCTCACATTCCTCGACTCCTCAAAAAATGTTTACTCCTTGGGATTTCGAGTACGTGAGGGCCCAAAAAACGTTTTCACGCCCCACCGTTACTCTTTAAAATTTTGGAAACTATGAGAAAATGCGTAATAGGGTCCGTTGCCTATTAGAAAATAAAATTTGCTTTAATAAACATTATCTAATCGGTGTATTTTTCAGATCAACGTCCCATCGACACGAATCTATCACACAATCGGAAATAACCACCATCACCCACCGATGCAGCACGACGATTCCGGGCTGGAATCTGTTTAAAAATCTCGATTTTTGAAAAATTGTGTGAGTAGGGGAATGATACTTGAAAAACGATACCTTACAAATATTTTTCGATTTCTCCACTACCGCAATTTTCCAACTTCCTAATAATGTGCAAAAACTGTTTGTGTCCAAATGCTTCGATACGGGTGCTTCCTCCAAATTTGCCTTTTTCAACGCCCCGAATTTTCCTATTTTTGGGGAAGCCGTGAATTCTATGTCCCTCAGCGATCCGGTGTACAGTGTAGCGCCTCGGAATATTGATTTCGTAACTTTAATATCAAAAATCAGTAATTTTAAGACCTAAGCGCAATATTGGAGCAATTTTTGCGCCAATCGGTCCCGTGGTGCTCTCGTGAATTCTCTGAATAATCCTCTTTTTCGATTGATTTGAGTTTTTTGCTTGTTTGTCCATGTATTTATCATTATTTACTGTGCGTGTGTGCTAGAGAGATAAATATATATGCTTTATTTGGTCGATTTAAAAAACGCCAAATTTATACAAATCTGAAAACTACAAAGGAATGACAGGGAACATTTAAAAAATACGATATTTAATCAAGCAATTCAAATAGATCGGTCTCCACAACATATTTCCCATCGACTTGTCGCCAGTACTAAAAATATAGTTTTCAGTCTCTTTTTTATGCAAATTTAAGATTTTTGATGGTTTTTTTACTTTTTAAATCCGGCATTTTCTTCTTCTATTGAATCCTACATTAATGTTTGGGGCGCAAACCTTTTCAACAAAGCGCTTAAAAGCTTAATTTCAGAAGTATTGGCATGATAAAGCCTAAAATCTAGTTTACCTGCAGAACCTTGGCTACAAACTGCTTCCCGTCCTTCAAGACGGTAGTAGTCGTGCAAGCATAACGGATCAACTGCTCGGAGCCCTCGAATTTTTCGTCAGCTGCCTGAAAAGCGCCATTTTCGTTGGACTCCAAAAATCCGTGGACTTACGGTAGTCTTCGAGCCCTCCATCGGGCCTGCCCATTCTTGGAGCAGTTCAGTAAGACCTGAAAATGGTCTAAATCCGGGAAAGCGGCAGGAAACGGCACCTTTTTCCCCGACGTAGATCTTGCCAGTTTTTACGTCGATCGAAACGACATTTGAGGCATAGTTTTTGGTCAGTCTAAAAAGATTTAAGTGTTAACAATTTATTTTTACGACTCGAAACAATAACGCTTTTTATCTCTACTCACTTGCTCAAATCATTCGACCGATAGCCCTCGTCGATTTCAATGATGCCCTGGCGGATTAGTGACTCCAAGGACATGTTCTAAATGTTAAAATTCTCAATTTTTGCCCTAAAAGTTTCCTAAGGAAACTGTATGTAGAAAACAGTTCAAAACCCATCAATGACCCTGTCCCACGCAGCGGATGTTGATTGCGGTTAGGGCGTGAGAAGCGCTCTGTAAACACGAAAATGCTGGCGTGTACCTGCTGCACTTGTATTCGAGCTTTTGCGTGCTGGTCTTTGGGCCCTTCTACAGGAAAAGCGCGTTGAGACGTTGCGGCAGAAAGTTACAAAAAAACCCGGAAAAGCTCGGATTCTGCGATACTGACAACTGAGACTGACTCTTTTGTGAGCCAAAAAAAGCTATGCCGGATCCAAAGTTCCACCCAAAAATATGGTATGACCAGCGCTGACCCCCCGCAACGCGGGGGTTCAGCGCTGGACCTCCTGCCCCCGCAATTTAAATTTTGAATTTGAATGCAGAATTTGGCTGAAATCGTGATACGGACGGTCGGGCAGACGGACATTAGAAATTTATATATAGTAGATATATATGGTCGATATGGCTTTTCCGAAATGCTACATGTGTCCGAAATATTTAAATTAAGGTTTAGGCAAAGGATTTGAATGATTAGCCCGATCGGAAATAAGGTGAGCTTGGCCTGCGATGGCTGGCCTGCCTGGTTAAGGTAAGGCAAGACTATAGATTTTTTTTAAATCTGGAATCATGTTGAATTTTTCGTTTTACCGCGCTGCGAAACGTGACGCGCACGTCCTTTTTCCATTGCGTAAACGAATAGACCTTTCGCAAAAAAAACGAAGCGACCACGTCGATTTTGCCGCGCTACGACATGAGACGCGCGCGTCTATTCAGCTTTTTTCGAGTAATGAATCACGACACTCTTTAAGACCCAAAATCGCGCCGCGCGTGTTGTTGCATGCGCGGTAAATGCATAGAAAGCTGAATCTCAAGTCACTAACTAGCGTTAGGCCCTTTAAACGACCCGGATATACCGTCCGGCGTCTAAAGCCAAATTTTAAGTCCTCCTATCCATGTTACAATCTTTTCAAAATCCAATATGCATCATCCTCCCGACTCCCCCTATTTGAGGACGTGTGGGACAGCAGCATGTGTCATGCTTTTTGCGTTCGGCTCGTTTCCTCCACCGCCGTCGGCGCGCGTGTATTTGCCATTTCTTCCGCGCGCCCACCCGCATATAGCCAGCGGCTACAATGGCTTCAGCTTGGTGCTATAGGTCTCTACTTATTTTTGGCAGTATTTCATCAGTATTCACGCAATGGTCCATTGATCAAGTTTGCTACAGCAGTTTCTACTTGAACAGCCCGCAGCCGGCACCGATGTGAGTTTTAAAGGGCTAGTGAAGGCAGAAATGGCTTGTTTATTGGTCGACTTTCGTAACGTAGTGTGCGTAATTTTTACAAGAAAACCATACCGACTTTTCCAAAATAATTTCTGTAAAACGTGGACAATACATTAAATAATAAACTAAACGTTCTGTTTTGCTTGGAGGCCGCCTTTTAGCTTTTCCAAATGCCAATTCTCGCTTTTCTGGGCTGGAAAAGAAGTTAACAAGTCGAAAAAAGTGGTTGAGATGCCTTCAAAGTACCTAAGACATTGTAAAATTGTTTAAAGTACGACGATTATGCCAAATTCATACAAAATTTGAGATTAAGTTGAATGCTTCTTTAGAAAATGTCCTCCAAATGACTATTTCTCTTACTACGAATGCTGTGATGGACGTCAGGAACTTTGCTGCAGAAAGCCAAGAGCAGTTTTGATGTAACCCCTAGTGTTACAGTAGCTTCTCATAGAGCGAAAGCTACTTCACTTTCTGTATTGATTTTCAGAATCATCCTCATCATCGTCCTACTCTGCTTCATTTGCCTGATGGCTTGTTGCGTTTTTGGCTTCATTCTCCGTTTGCGTCGCTGGCCGAAAAAGAAGAAAAATGAGGACGCAGAAGCGCAGACGTCGAAGAAAGCCTCGGTCGTGGAAACTGGTGCTCAGACAAGTTCTGTGGCTCCAGATGATGAGTTTGTGATGGCGTATGCGGAGTTGCGGGAGACCAAATGTTAATATATAATAAATTATGCGATAAAAACCGAATACTGACAACTTCGTACGCATTAAAAAGTCGCTTGAAAACAAAAAAATCCAAAATTTGAAAAATTACGCCCTTTATTTCGTCAGAAAGCACTTAAATAAGGAATGTCATGATAAATCGATAAAAATAAGTATTAAACCGGAAAATTCCAAAGTTTAAAGCCATAGTAAGAAACGCGATACTTAAACATACACCAATATAATATTATTTCCCGTGCTAATATGGAGCTATCCGCCCAAATATTAAACGCTTAAATCTAGGTACTAGTGCGGTCTGAAAACTATGAAAAGTCAATTTCTTCTCCAACGCCTGTCTAACCGTAGGCTTGTAAGTTGTAAGCTTGTAAGCGCTGCTTGCCAAGGCATTTCGCACGCGAAAATTTAATAGGGAATATCTTAAGCCAGCCCCAGGCCGGCCTATGCCGATTCTGTCCAAATCAGCCTAAAACGGCTGGTGCATGGGCCACTCTAGTCACTAGAGGATCACTGTTGTGGCGACTGCCTTTTGAACACCCTTGAAGCATCAATGGTCGGCTATCTTTACGACACAACGCGGCTGTGGCATAATTGCCTAATCGTGGCCGCTACGCAGATGTCCCGTGCTCACATTCAAACTTTCAATCGGATACAGCTACCACATGAGTGGAAAAAATATCATTCGTTGGTGGCTTCGTTACAGCAGTTTCTGGGGCCGTATTGAGTCGCTGTCTCTCTCTCTCTCGCTCTCTCTCTCTCTCTCTCTCTCTCTCTCTCTCTCTCTCTCCCTATATCACCCTCTTAACCCTCGTGTAAGAACTTTACTTTCACTTTTCCTTGATAGCCCGCTAATATTCGAGGACTTTAACAACCTTTTCATTTCAGGTGATGGACAAATTCGTCGACTTTCCACTGCTAGTCCAGCAAAACATCCTTCGCCATATGGATCTTCGGAGCTTCTTCAAAACGGCCATATCAAGCAAAGGTATGTTGGAACTGGCCAAGGCTTGCCCGGACAAATACTGGAATGTGGAGCTGCGAGAAGATGCGGAAGAGGAAATTTGGTTTGTTCGGGGCGCTGACCTTGTGAGACTAGCAATCAAAAGTCGCGAAACTTTCAAGCTTCTCTTCCATGGTTCTATCGTCATGAGACTGTATATACTAGAACGACTGATCCCTCAAGAAGTCGATATCCGTGGTAGGCGCCTGGGAGTGCACCCCGGGGACAGGATTAGTGGCGAATCCCTACTCGCGAAGCTGAAGCACCACAAACCGGCCCGAAACTATGAAGCCTTCGAAGCGGGCGCCGTATCACCAAACCGGGATGTCCTGGAATGGCTGAACGACAATGTCGACTATCTGGATGTAATGATTGATGTGCCCGCCCCAGAATACATTCTATTAAAGGTGCCGAAGATGGATCTGTCGAACCTCCAAACGGGCGACCCGTGCTATGCCACATACGCACAAATGATTGTCACCGAATGGTTGGAGGGGAACCGTGAAATCCGTTATGTTGGTTTACGCGATATTACATCCCAGAATCCCCTCGCTGGCTTTCGTGACCACGCCTTCCACCGGAACTACCCGAAACTGTGGCTGATGGGCGAAGAAACCGCCTACTACTACATAAAGCGTGACGACGGAAACGCATTGATCATGTCTGTATCCTACAAGTGGCGGACGCTCATCTTCGCACACCCTGACGAGGCTTTAGGCAGTTTTAGCTTTCATACCCACCAACTTAAGGATTTCCTGGATATTGTTGGTCGATAAATGTGCATTTTTTTCTTGTTTTTGTCGAAATCGCACTGAATTTTTAAGGTTAGGTTCGTTAAGCCGCAACCTAAACACTTAAAAGGAAAACGTCTTTGCGTGATGTCCTGGATGTTCAGCTGGGACCAAAAATACCTCGTTGAAAATTCGACACAGATCCCGAATGTGTTGATAAATTTGCCAAATAGAAATTTTGCGCAGCTTATCCTACTATATATATAAAAATAGTGTTTGTGTGCCATGTGTGTGTGCCACTTTACCTGCCAGTTCCGTCAGCGTGGTCGAGCAGTATCTCAAGAAGCAGAGTAGTTAGGGGCATGTTTGAGACGTCATTTTGGAGCGTAATGGCCTGGAGATGACTGCACGCAAATCAAATTTATAAAAATCGCCTATTTTTGCCATTAAATTTTAGTTGTTGTTGAAAAATCCGAGAACCTCTTTGTTAGGGATCAATTAGCATACACCGGAAGTGACGGTAGCCTATATAAAGCCGCAGAGAGCGCATTTTTCAGTTTTTTTTTTCCAGCGTGGGTCGGGCCGAATTATGCAAAGTTTAAACTTCCATTGGTCCAAAACGGGGCCAGGGTTGAAAAGTCGCGAAGCGGCTTTTCAACCCTGGTGGACGATCTAATAGTGGAACACGCTCTAAAGTAGCGCACCATGGGCATTCTCTGTCTTCGATCGTCCACGATTTGCAATAAATTTCGATTTCGTAAATTTTATTGGCATGTTCAGCAATAGGGAAAAAAATTTGCACAATATCGGTTTGTTCGCAGTTTAAAACCACGGCGACACTCAAAAACGTCTCCTGTTCAGCGACCGAAAATCGGTGTTTTAGTGAGGAGTCCTGGTGAGGATAAGAGGTGCGCAACCAATTTATGAACAAAATAGCCCTCGCTTCAGACATTTTTTTTCTTTAGATGAATTAAAAGATCCAAGATAAGATAGTCAAACGTAATTCCGTTTTTGACCGTTTCTAAACTCATTTAATTAAAGTTCATTTGGCCATCGTTAACGCACATTACCAAATCATCGCCTGGCGAATTCAAAAATCAAAAAACATCTGCAGTTTACCGCCCATTTTCTAAAATCATAAGACCTTCCCCCTATAGGGATGGCCTTGGATCGCCAATGAAATCCATGGCTGCCCTCTAGCAGCACGAAAATTGACCTGATTCCAAAACCAATAATAAGAAAATAAAATAAAAATACTGACTTTATCACATCAAAAAAACACGTAGATAAAAAAATGTCATGCAAAATCGAAAAAAATTAGTGAAAAACCGGGAAATGCCAAAATTTAAAGCTGTAATATGAAACGCAATACACCAAAATACACCGGTTATAAATGAACAATTGTAGTACTACCGTATTAACGTACTATACGTGGAATAAATCACAATTTCGACCCGTAGTTTATGTAGTCTATACATTTGTGGTGGTCTGCATTTCGATCGGCGGCTTTTCCGAGTCCGAAATTTCCGGCATAATCCTTTTGCCTTCAGGATTTTCTCTGGTGATATGGGTAAACTCGGCCGGCTGGTCGGTGCAGACAAAGAAAAAGACGATGCTTGCCTAGACAAAAGATTTTAAGCTATATATATTTTTACTTACAAAGATTAACACGACGCCGTTGAGGTAGAAGACGTGGGACCATTGGACGATGTCTGAAAGTTAAGATTGACTATTATTGATTGATGCTTTCGAAAAACGATGAATTTTGACGCACCAATGGGTGTAGGTTTTGGACTCTGAAAACCAGAAAAACAAGACATATCGTACCTGTTTCATCAGTAACAAATAATGCCCAGCTGGCAGGGGCTGTGATCAGCGCGATGCATTTCATGAACTGGACGGCTGCCAGGACGAAGTGAGCGTATTGCCTTAAAAATTATCGTAAGAGTTTTCATTAACTTGGGGTCCAATTTCTAGACTTTTAGAGGAACTAGGGAACTCCAAAATCTACCCCCTGATCTTTACAAAATGTCGACAGTCACGCGCTATCCCACAAAAAAATTCGCCATGAAAAACCATAAAAAAGAGTTTAAAAAAGTTGTTTTGCGCACTTTATGTAGTGGCGACACCTAATTAAAGACAGCGGGTCGAGATTTTTGCATTTGCTTTTTTTCGTACCTTGCCACCAACGTTCCACACTTGTAAAACCCTCCACAGTTCGCCGCCATCGTCACCTGGACCATCACGATGAAGTACTAAAAATTTAGGCGATTTCTAGGATTTGAAAACATCTTACAAAAGCTGCCCAGCCATCACCAGCCCGCTTGACCAGGCCCAACATGATACAACACATTCCGGCCATTCCGACAGCAATCAAATTGCAACCTTGCATTTTTGCCATTTCGCTGACAGCCCTGGAAATAGCCTTGTTTTATGGTTAAGCTCATATTTTGCATTCTTTTAACTACTCTTTTCTCTAAGCTATTACTTCAATTACAATTTAAAAGTAAAAGGAATCGAAAATCAAAATTATCAAGTGGATGATACGCACCTGATTCTGTCGCTGCAGTACCCAGAAAGGTATTTGAGGGGTACGTGTGTAAAAGCAGCGCACGCAGCCAAAATTCCAGTGCTGACAATATCAAAGCCGAGAACCTAAAAATCCATTAAACTATTTATGAACTACCAGGGTTGAAAAGCCGCTTCGCGACTTTTCAACCCTGGCCCCGTTCTGGACCAATGAAAGTTTACACTTTGCATAATTCCACCCGACTCACGCTAAAAAAGTGAAACATTCGCTCTCTGCTCCTTTAAATAAGCTACCACCACTGCCGGTGTATGCTAATTGATTCCTAACAAAGAGGGTCTCGGATTTTTCAACAAAAATTAAAATTTAATCTCGAAAATAGGCGATTTTGGTAAATGTCACAGGCGTGCAGTCATCTCCAGACCTTACGCACCTAATGACGTATCAAAAATACCCCTAACTGCTCTCCTTCTTGAGATACGACTGGAACAACCTGACGGAAGCTGCATGCAAAGTGGCACACACACACACACACACACACACACACACAGACACTACTTTTTTATATATATAGGATATTTTGTCGATCTTTGAAGCCTCAGAAAGCGTTTCCTAGAAGTTTCGTCACCTACCGTATGCAAATACAACGGCACATAGGTGTGCATTAACGTAACCGTCGTCATCTCACTGAACGAGTTCAGCCAAACAACGAGGATGGTCTTGTTTTTGAAAATAGCCTAAAAGAGATGGATTCCAAAGCCTGGGTATGCCCTACCAAGTACGGCACGAAACTATCACCCTCAATATGGGCCTTGCTCTTGTTCTTCTGAATTGTTTTGAGTTCCTTTTCGTCCACTCGTCTATGGCTGGCAGGGTCATCCTCATAGACGAAAAGCCACGCTAGAGAAGATCATTATAAAACGGGTTTTATGAAAATCACCTAGGAAGAAAGTCGCCGCAATTGCTGCATGTGCGTAGAAGGCCCAACGCCATCCGAGGCCGGATTTGCAGATCTAAAGGTAGCTATTTTTGCGTAAGTAGATATTCCATCTCTTTCTCTCTCTCCATCTCTCTGTCTCTCTCTCTAGTGCTATCTCTCTCTCTCTCTTTCTCTATCTCTCTTCCATCTTTAACACCTACCCATCCACTCAACGGATTCGTAATCGTCGAGGAAATTGATGTAAACGACGTCAACGCCGCCCCAAATATCCCGATTTCGGCAAGAGGAGCCCAGCGTACGACAACAAGGCCTATAGCTGCAAAATCGGCGGAATAGGCTAGACCCTAAATATACTTGGTATATTTTTAAATTTAAGGTTTACTTGTATAAACCGTAGTCCCAGCAATGAGTGGAAAGAGAAGGAGGCAGCAAATGGGATTAGGGCTGTGGCTATTACGGACAGTATACCAGCGATGAAGAAGGGGAATCTAAATTTACAATTTGTCTCTCCCTTGCTCTCTCGCTCTCTCGCTCTCTCTCTCTCTCTCTCTCTCTCTCTCTCTCACCTCGCTCCATAATTTATATAAGCCCAATTTATTGGAAAAGTCCCAATTATCGTCCCAGCCGCCACCGCCCAAACGATCATACTCTTTTCGGCAGGGGTGTAGTCGAATCGACTATGCAATGTCTAAAATATCTATTTTTAAAACTTTTTAAGCTTCTCTAACCCCATTGGTGTCTTCTATCGCCCCTTCCATATCATTTTTCATGCAGATAAACGTGAAATTCATCGTAATATAGTTCGAATTGATCGAGGTTAGACAGCAAAATGCCGCGATGACGACGACCGCTCGGAAGCGGTGGGTAAAACAGCCCATGCTCTGGAAAAGTCGAATTTTTCTAGATTGGCCGAAAGGCAGATATGGTAGAATTGCAGGGGTTAATGGATATATATTATCTCTACAGGAAAAAAAATGGGAGCGGGATGTTATTTTGAAGTTTCAGGATTTACACGAGCAGAATCAAACGTTTTCACTTAATACTAGATGTCGACACCCAGTGGCTCGGAAGGGTAGATTTTGGCACTGGCAAGCCCCTTTAGACAGATTTTTTCCCTGAAGCGTTAGAAATTGCGAAGATGAACTGATGGCACTCGTTTGCAAGCCGTAAAATGTAGCGGTTTGTACTTATTTTTCACTTTAAGACCTGATAAGCTCAGAAATAAACCCCCATTAGCGGCTAGGTTTCAGAAAAGAAACGACGCTACAGCAATCGGGTGTCATTTGGCACTACGGGTAGCTGTTGACACCCAGCCAAGGGGGAGGGTCGATTCTGGCACTTGCCAGCCAACTTAAAACGAATTTAAAAAAAAAATGGGCCTTCAAAATTCGATGAAGACTAGATATAAGGATGCTAATAGATTAAATGAGTGTTATCCGCAGTAAACACATGCAAATCGTTCCAAAATACACACATTATATTCGCCAAATCGGCGGCGGTACACTGGACCCCCACACAAAAAAGGAAATGGAAGTGTGCGCGGATATTGATCATATCAACCCCCCGGAAAAGGGAAATGTTAACCGACATCATCACCTAAAGAGGGAGCAGGAAATTGAGAGATGTCCCTCCCGGCTATTGTTCGGCCAATAGCTCCCGGCTCGCTTTTTTTCGGGGGCGGGGGGGGGGCGAAACCAGAAAAGGGATCGGGACAATTTTTAAAAGTTGTGCGCATCGGTTTTGATTTTTCGGTTGATCGCTTTGGCCGGGGCCCGGTGATTCAGCGGGGGTAATTTTCCCGGGTTCACGCCCGACGGATTGTTAGTTTTCGGAAACCGAAAAATCGGATAATTCAGTGTCTGGTACAATTGTTGCACCTTCAAAAGTGATACTGCATCATTGAAAGATGCCACAATTTCGATCGACCTTGATAAATGGCAAAGAATACCTGGCAAGGGGCAGGCTAGAAGAAACTCTTTTGGCTGTCTAATTAATAGCCGAATTTCATGTGGTGAACCTTCGAAAAGTGACTGTACCATCGACAGGAATTCGAGCAAAAATGCCGACATCGGAAATAGCGACCGCCAACATGCCGACAGCCGAAATCCAGTCAAACCATGCCGACAAACAAATGCCAACAACGAAAATCCCGAAATATTCTTGATGGTAGTTTGAATGCCACTTTTGTAGTGATTTTATTTTGGCGTTTTTCAGAAGGTATCGACATTCTGAGATCGGGCATAAGTTCAATATCTACAAGCTACAGACACTCAAGGAAGACATTATCTCAAAGCATCTGTTAGAAAGCAAAATCGTTATGTTAAATTTCCCTTTGCACAAGGATTTACGACACTTTACTCTTTACAGACGCGACTATGACATGTTTGAGCAAGAGTGTGTGCCGAGATGTTATTCTTGGGCCACAACTGGCCGAGAAATAGAAAAAAAGACACTGTAGAGATTATCGTAACGATGAAGGAAGGAAATACCTGAAAGATATGCCCAAAAATGCGGCCCAAAGCCTCAAAAATAACTTCAAACCGAGGTTTTTGAGGAATTCCGAATAAGTACGGTGGCAACGGCGTGCTAGATTACTTGAAAAGTATGATTTTTTCATTCTCTTGAATACACTGAATTTTTGCTACGTTTATATACCCCCAAATATGCAAAAATCCCAAAAATTGTAGTCACCTAGTCCGGATAGTGCAATCGCCGAGCTAATCGGTGAATTTGCATAAAGTATTACTCACCGTTCGCCAAAAACCTACTGGCAGTGTTCGTTTGAAACATTTTACTCATATTTTTGAGTAGGCGGGGGGCCAGACAGACACCACCCAATTATACACCCCGGTTTTTCCGGCTGGCGGACGGTAGGGTGGGAGAAAACGCGGCAAAACCATTGGCGCCCCCAGCCAGCGATAATTCTAGAATAAACTCTGCCCCCGGCCACCGTAACTCTCCGCCCCCCTTGATAATTGGCCATTAAAGGGAACGGCACATTTTTTGGGGCGCTGGATGTGCGGGAGCCAGATCGTTTTGTTGGTGCCCGAGCACAAGGTCGAGCTGATAATCCGTTCAAAAATTGTGCGTACGTAGGAGTAAAGCGGATTTTTTGGATTTGGCCCTGGTTCCTGCTTGATAAAACGCCTTCCGGCGTCAAAGTTTTGCACCGATGCCAATTCGGGGAGGCAGCAGCGAACAGAAAAATGCAGATTCGATGATCTTTGTATTATTTGGAGATCTGAGGGTTGACTTTTAGGTATTTAATGATTGCCTTGCAAAAAGCTGGGAAGACATGTCACTTATGAGGGACAAAGAAGGCGAAAGACCGAATGTTTTAAAGGAACATCCACCCCTAAATTTTATAAATGACGTCCACGCTATTGCAGGTAGGTTCTCTCCAAATGCCTGGAACAGGCGCCTGGGGGAAGAGGGCCCGTCCCGTCCCGATTCGGTCGGCCGGTTGGCACATTGCTTTTGCGTTCGCCTGTCGCGCGCAAGGCCAGGGATCGGCCCCCGGCCGTGGCATAGCTTTTTGCTTTTTCATTAAAAGCTGGGGTTGAATGTTTCTTTCAAGGAACTGGCAAGGCATGACTATGGATTGTTTTAAATGCAGCTCATTCAGTTCAAAAAATCCATAGGAATCCATGGATTAGCCTTTCTTGTACTTCTGCAAAACCGAAATCTGAAGAACAACGAGGATACTGATAACCAATGATTATAGAACGTAGTCACAGAGCTTCCTGTCAGTAATTATATTTTATTACCTCCAAATTAGATTTACGGTTCAGTTTTTATCAACCCCGGTTGTCTTCTGTTCCTTTTCTTCAAGCTGTTTCCCCGTTTTCTCGGACTTTTCCGCCAAATTAACTACCGAAAGGTGGGTAAACTCGATTGTTTTCTCCGTGTAGATGAAGATGAACATGAGGTTGGCCCAAAATAAAAATAACATTGTTAAATTCATGGGTTCTTACCGCGGTTAGCATAGCTCCATTGAGATAGAAGACGTAAGACCATTCGGCGGCATCTAATTTTCTTTGGTTCTTACGCTTCACTGTGTTTTTACCAGGCTCATCTTGGACAAACATAGCCCAGCTTGCCGGCGCTGCTACTAACGCTGCGCATTTTATATCGTGGATCGTAGAGGAAACGAAATGAGCGTATTGTCTAAAAAATAACGGAATTATCGGGCAAAATAGAATTCTAGAAAGTTCCTAGCCAAGCCATTCCCATCCGTTTAGCCAACCTCGACGCCATTTTCCCAGTCTTAGAATGTCCGGAATTCACTGCAATGGTGCAGTAGACCACGCCAAAGAGGGTCTAAACGTACCGTTATAAACTAAAGAATTTCAGGCTTCAAATTTGCTGCAAGCTTTTTTTCCTACCACACCAAAATATCCGTCACCAGTAGCCTTAACAATTCCAATCATTAGACAGCAAATTCCAGCGAATCCAACGGCGATAAAGTTGCAAGCCTGAACTTTTACATGCAGAGGTATCCAACTAAAAGATTTTTTGTGATTTAATGATTAAGATTTGCATACCTAAGACTATCGCAAAAAGAACCGGAAATTGACTTGATCGGTACGTGTAACAATGTAGTAAATGTTGATAGGATCCCGGTGGTAAAGACATCAAAATGCAGTACCTAAAATTAATTTTACCGAATCATAGATTCATAGCAATGCAAATTGCCACTCTCAAAATTCCAACTACGCTTACTTTATGATAATATAGCGGCATGAAGGTGACCAACAGGGTGGCGGCCGTCATTTTTGGCAAAGGTGTTGAACCAAATTATTAAAAGTTTATGGTTCCGGAACAAGGACTTTCAAGAGAAGAATTAGAAAATGACGTGAAAATAAATACCTGGTAAGGTATAGCGCAGTTTTCATGCAATTTTAGGTCCGTTTTACCCTGTTGAATATGTTTCAGCTCCTCAGTGTCGACAGATTTATGCGTGATTGGGTTGTCGGTATAGTAGAGGGACCATACTGAAAATAAGAGGTACTTTCAAGGCACGCGGAAAGCAATTTTAAGCCGAAACCAGGGTTGAAAAACCGGTTCGCGGCTTTTCAACCCTGCCCCCGTCCAGGACCGGTGAAAGTCTTTAATTGGCATGTTTCTTCCTGAATTCTAGCAAGAAAAAGTGAAAAACGGCTCCTCTGTCCCTTCAATATAGGCTCTTCCTACTTCCGGCGTATGCTAATTTCCCCTAACAAACAGGGTTTTACAAAAAACTATTTTTAATAGCGAAAACCACAATTTTCCAAAATTTTTATGTGTGTGCAGTCGATTCCGGACCATTCTAAACCTATTATCGTTTCTTCCCTATCCAAAAACCCCTTTCCCGAGGCTTTAGGAGCGGAACATCCAAACGGAAGTGCATGCAAATATACACACACAAACACTATTTTTTATATATGGAAGCCGAAATACGTTTCCTATTTATGAAAAGTAATGAATCAAGTAACCTACCAATAAAAACAATTGCAGAAACGAAAGCCTGCAAGTAGAAAACTCCTCTCCATCCCAGGGCGGAGTCACCGATCCGGAATTTGTAGTTCGTAGGGTAAAAATAACCGTTAAACTACCCATCCAGCAAACAGGTAAGTGACGCTGGTCGAGACAGGGATAAACCAGGACAATAGCGACATGAAGAGCCCGGTTTCGGCTGGCGGGGCCCAGGTTGCGGTAATATTTCCGATGGCCGTGAATGCTCCTGAGTAGCCTATACCCTGAAATTCGATCAAATTAGGTGAGTGGATCAAGCTAAATTGAAGCTTGAGCCTGAGCTATAGAGCTTCAAGCTTACCTGAACCAATCGCAGCACTAACAAGAAAGAGAATGCGGAACTAGCGGCTATCGGAATCATCGTCGTCGCTAATATTGATAAAATCCCAGCAATAAGTAATGGTAATCTAATCGAGATCAATCAACGCTTTTCCAAAGTTATTACGCACCTCACTCAATAGTTTTTATACGCCCAATCAACTGGAGCAGTGCCAAGAATAGCTCCGGCCGCCACGGCCCATAAAATCAGCGTCTTCTCGATAGGTGCGTAATAGAAACGACTGTTTAGCGTCTGAAAATAGTGATTTTGGTGCGATTTACCACAGAATCGTGAAAAATCGTGAGTCTACTTACACCATTACCATCAGCAACCGCTCCCTCCATATCATTTTCCATACAAATAAACATAAAATTCATCGCAATATTGTTAGAATTAATTGAGGCAAGGCATAAAAAAGATCCGAATGCGATAATAAAGCGGAAGCGATGCGTGAAGATGCCCATGCTTCTTGGTTAAAAAACAACACAAAGTAATCCCGGGCCGGAAACCGGGAAGAGAAGAACGGTTGGTCTCTTTGTTGACCAATACGATCGGGGAGGAGAGGGAGGGCCAGGAGAGAGAGAGAGAGAGAGAGAGAGAGAGCTGGTTTTGGGGCCAGAAGCTCTGGCCAAGCATGCGTACGTGCGGTCCGCTAAGGGATTCTGACAATTTTGCAGCTACGTTTCTCTGATTTCATCAAGTATTTGTGAAGTAGAACGAATTGCAGTCTTATGAACCTCAGTAATAAACTTTAAAATACTCGAAAAAATCTATAAAAGCTTTATTCCATCCATACATACATTAATCACAAAGCGACACAAAATTAGGGAATGATCAAGTTTTTGGGGACGACTTCTGGGACTGCGATTTGGATTCTTGTTGGCTCCTCGATTCTTCAGGACTTCTGGTTTCCGGGCGGTTCTTCGTCTCCGAGATGCTCTGCGATTGCACGACACTATCCGGGGCTTCTCGCTCCGTCTGCCCGGTCTTGATCTCCATCGCCGAGACATCGTGATGCCCGTCAGGATTGTCCCTCGTAATGTACGTGAACTCGGCCGGCTTGTCGGTGCAGATGAAGACGAACATGATGTTGGCCTGAACAAAAAGAGGCATTTGTGAAAATTTAGTCGTTTCTTACAAGAATCAAGACAGCACCGTTGAGGTAGAAGACGTACGACCATTCGGTGGCGTCTGAAAATTAGGTTTTGTAGATGAAGTTCTATTTCGTACTGCTTTCATCTCGGACAAAGATGGCCCAGCTGGCGGGAGCTGCTACCAGGGCTACGCATTTCATAAATTGGATCGTTGCCAGTACGAAATGGGCGTATTGTCTGAAAATCATCGACGTTATGCAATGGTACGTTCGGTTACGTTACGTTGCTTCATGTTGCGCTGAGTTATGCTACACTGCATTGCGTTACGCTACGTTACGATACGTTACGTTACGATCTGCAAGAGGTGCGTGGCGTGGTCTCTGCGCTGTGTGTTATTTTTCGCTCGGCTTCGTTACATGCTTTCAGTTTGACAAGCCTCGTTACGCTACGTTACTTGGCGTTGCGTAACGTGACGTTGCCCTACACTGCGTCCGCTGTGCTACTCTGCATTACCTTACGCTACACTACGTCACGCTACATCGAATTCTGTAGCACTACGTTCTGTAGAATCCATCCTCTAACGCTATACTACGTATGCTTGGTTTCCCTCCGTCACCTTGCTTCGCGTGAAAAACCCCACCTAGCTACCAACGTGCCAGTCTTGTAGAACCCGCCACAGTTCACCGCCATCGCACAGTAGACGGCCGCGAAGAAAAACTGGGATTATCAGGTTTTCTTCAGGGATTCATTAACTTGATTACCACCGCGACATAGCCCTCTCCTGCTCGTTTCGCCGCCCCAATCACAAAGCAGCAAATCCCGGAAAAGCCGACGGCGATAAAATTCAACACTTGCATCTTGACGTGTTCGGGGATCGATCTGGCAAGTTATATTAAAGGGTTATGATATTTCCTTACGTAATGCTATCGCTGAGGTAACCGGAGAGCCACTTCAGAGGAGCGTGCAAAAATGAGGTGACTGCGGCGAGCAGTCCTGTCATCACAACGTCGAAGCCGAGGACCTGCAAAAGGTAATTTTTAGGTTATGGGACACAAAAACAATTTACGAGGAAGAGGAGAGAGCGAGAGAGAGGGAGAGAGAGAGGGAGAGAGAGAGAGAGAGAGAGAGAGAGAGGGAGAGAGAGGGAGGGCGACAGCTAAATTCCTTTCCGACTCCTACCTTGTTAAAGTACAGCGGCATGTAGGTGAGCAACAGGGTGACGGTGGTCATCTCGGCGAACGAGTTGAACCACACGATGAGGATGATGTGGTTCTTGCAGATGGCCTGAAGAATGGAAGGCATCGAAAATTTAGAAAGATTCACCTTATACGGCACAAAGCTGTCGCCCTCGATGTGGGCCCGCGTCTTGCCCTTCTGAATCTTTTTGAGCTCCTCCGAGTCGACGGCCTTGTGCGTGGCGGGGTTGTCGGTGTAGTAGCCGATCCAGGCTGAAAAGCAAGGCTTGTTAAAGGTATCTAGAGTCCAATTTTAAGCGCTACCAACCCATGAAAACGATGGCGCACATGACAGCATGCCCGTAGAACGCCCACTTCCACCCGAGTGACGACTCGCAAATCTGGACGTCGTAATGTGGAGCTTTGCGTGGTCTCTTCATACCCATCCAGAAACCGGATTTGTGATCGACGTCGAAACCGGCGTAAACGACGTCATCACCGACATGAAGAGGCCGGTTTCGGCCAGAGGAGCCCAGCGTACGGTAACCAAGCCGATGGCTGCGAAGTCGGCTGAGTAGGCGAGACCCTAAAAAAATTCTGAAGTTAAAGGACGACTGAACTTGTCGAAGTCGTTTGGCCGCGTATTATGACACTTGGTAAACTACATACTTGGACGAAACGTAGGGTCAGCAAGAAGAGGAACGACGAGCTGGCTCCGAATGGGATCATGGCCGTTGAGATGACAGATAGGGTACCAGCGATGAAGAAGGGGTATCTGAAGTTGGACATGTAGGCTTCTTTCTCTATTTGACTCTCTCACTCTCTCTCGCTCTCTCTCTCTCGCTCTCTCTCTCTGTCGCTCTCACTCTCCCACTCTCTCACTCTCGCTCTCGCTCTCTCTCGCTCTCTCTCTGTCTCTCACCTCGCTCCAAAATTAATATACGCCCAGTTAATCGGAAAAGTGCCGAGTATCGTCCCGGCCGCCACGGCCCACACAATGTAATTCTTCTCGGTAGGTGTGTATTTGAAGCGGCTGTGCAGCGTCTAAATAACTCCATCATCACTATCCGTATTTCTCCAAAACCAACATTTTAAAAAAATCGCTTAGCCCTTTAACCCATTCCATTAGAATCCGGAATCGCGCCCGTCATATCATTCTCCATACAAATAAACGTAAAATTCATGGTGATATAATTGGAATTAATTGAGGTAAGGCATAGAAAACAGCCGAAGACGACGATGAACCGGAAGCGGTGCGTGAGGATGCCCATGTCTGAAGGCAAAAAAAATAATGTAAAGAGGTTTGGGAAACTAACGATAATTGGTTCGCTGCCGAGAAGTGGTTATGGGCGACCGGATAAGGTCGAGGAGGCCAGCGCAAATCAACCCAGCGTAGTTGTGGTAATTTACGCAAGTTTCTCGTTTCACGCATGTAAATCATGTGACTTTGGATGTTTTGCTATAAGAATTCGATGACTTTGCTAAAATTCATAATTCATGATTCAAAATCAAAATGTCGAAATTCCAGAACTCCGTCATTTTCGATATATTAAATTCTGAAAAAACATTTCTCTCAGCTGCCTTTCTCTTACTCGCTTTAGCTCTTTCTCTGTCTCTCTCTCTATTATTCGCATTCTCTCTCTCGTTTTATCCGAAAAGGCAATAACATTTTGTAAAAATTTATTCATCCATACATATTTTAATTACAACGTGACTAGACCGTCGACCCGTCATGCTTTTTGAGATTCCTTCTGCGATTCTGGCTCTTCATCAACTTTCAGTTTTTCGGCGGTGAGCGCGCTTTCCGACGTCTTCTGATCCGCTTGTCCGTTCGCAAGTTTTGCTGGCGCTACACGATGCTTGCCCTCCGGATTGTCTCTCGTAATGTAGGTGAAATCGGCCGGTTGATCGGTGCAGACGAAGACGAACATGATGTTGGCCTGAAAGAAACCGGCTTATTTTCACAATGTCGAAATTCATAATGTCGAAACTCATAATGTCGAAATTCGTAATGTCGAAATTTCATAATGTCGAAATTTCATAATGTCGAAATGTCAGAATGTCGAAATTCAGAATTTCGAAATTTCCGTAAGCTAAAATTTCCGGTAACGTCGCCGAATTCTAGGCAAAAAATGTTGTCGTGAAATAAGATAAAAAATAGAATGTGGAAAAAAATTTTTTGGGAGGGATTTGGCGGTTTCACCGGCCTTTAGGTGTTAGCCTATGTAAATTTCGACATTCTGAATTTCGACATTATGAAATTTCGACACTATGAAATTTCGACATTCTGAATTTCGACATTATGAAATTTCGACATTATGAGATTTCGACATTATGAAATTTCGACATTATGAAATTTCGACATTATGAAATTTCGACATATGAAATTTCGACATTATGAAATTTCGACATTATGATTTTCGACTTTATGATACCAAATCGAAAAAACCAAATCTGGGTCATGTGGATTTCCTTACAAGGATTAATACAGCCCCGTTCAAGTAGAAGACGTACGACCACTCAGTAGCATCTGCAATCGATGTTTTGCCATTTTTTCACGTGTCTTACCACTCTCATTCCTCACAAAAATTGCCCAACTAGCCGGAGCGGCGACCAACGCTACACACTTCATAAATTGGATTGTTGCGAGTACGAAATGGGCGTATTGCCTAAAATATCAATCTAATGGCTGCCTTAGGTTTACTTACCTAGACACCAAGGTGCCACACTTGTAAAATCCACCGCAATTTGCGGCCATAGCTAGGTAGACACCGGCGAAGAAACACTAAAATTTCGATGCACATAGGATTTTTTACACTTCATTACCACAGCCACCACTCCACCACCGCTCGTCTTGACAATGCCAATTACAATGCAGCAGATACCGGCAAAGCCGACGGCGATGAAGTTGCAGAATTGCATTTTGAGGCGTTCGGGGATCGAGCTAAAAGAGGCAGGTTAACCGAATCCTAGTATACCGATCGTATTACTTGGTAGTAGACGTCTACTATTATTGAATCCTAGTAGTAGGAGACGACTATATCTAGACTTACGTAATCTTGTCGCTGCAGTAACCGGAAAGGTATTTGAGAGGAGCATGCATAAATGAAGTGACTGCGGCCAAGATTCCGGTGGTCACAACGTCGAAGCCGAGGACCTAAATTACATTGAATGTTACTTAGAGAGAGAGAGAGAGAGAGCGAGAGAGAGAGAGAGAGAGAGAGAGAGCGATAGAGAGAGAAGGAGAGAGAGAGAGAGAGAGAGAGAAAGAGATATAGTGCCAAAACCCATGGCCTCCCTTGAACATTTCTGACGCACCAAGTGAATTTACACTTTTTCTCATGTTCTCATTTCTAATCCTTATTCATATGCGTCTATCTTCACCCACTTTATGAAAATACAAAGGCATATACGTCAGCAGCAGGATGCCGGTGGTCATCTCGGTCAACGAATTGAACCACACCACCAGCATGGTCGGGTTCGTGCAGATTGCCTGTTTCAATTCAGTAAAACCCAAAAACCAGGGCGTTTTGATATCTTTTTCAGTTTGTTTTCCTTGACCACCGACACCCTGAAGCTTAAAGATCACGTAAACAAGGCTAGCTAAAAATAATAGAAAAAATAAAATAAACGTAATAGCTTACTTTATGAAAATAAAGCGGCATGTAGGTGAGGAGCAGGGTGACGGTGGTCATTTCGGCGAAAGAATTGAACCACACCACCATGATGGTGCGGTTCTGGCAGATGGACTTTAAAATGAGGGTAAACTGAAGCGATGAAAAGACCTACCCAGTACGGGACGTAACTATCGCCATCCAAATGGGCTTGAGTTTTGTCTTTCTGGATCTTTTTGAGCTCCTCGGTGTCGACGGCTTTGTGGGTGGCCGGGTTGTCGGTGTAGTAGAAGATCCAGGCTGAAGCATATGGAATCGAAAAGAGCGAGAGAACGAGGGAGAGAGGGCAGTGAGAGAGATACGGAGAGGAGAGACAGACCTAGGAAAAAAAAGAGATAGAAGGCTACAAAGAAGTACTTAAGTCGGAGCGCCAATACAGAGAGCTCGCAAAGCTATAGAGAGAGAGGGAGAGAGAGAGCGAGAGAGAGAGAGAGAGAGAGAGAGGGAGAGAGGGAAAAATTACCTAAAATAACTTACCAATAAAGAATATCGCGCACACAAAAGCATGCGAGTAGAAGGCCCACCGCCATCCGAGAGAAGAATCGCAGATCTAAAACAAATTTCGCATTTTTTCCAGTAATATTTACCCATCCAGCAATCGGATTAGTGACTGTGGTTGAAACGGGCGTAAATGAAGTCATAGCCGCGATAAAAACACCGGTTTCCGCAAGCGGTGCCCATCGCACCGTAACCAAGCCGATAGCAGCGAAGTCGGCCGAGTACGCGAGGCCCTGAATTTTATACGTTGAAGCGCACCATTTTTATATTTTCGATTAGTGTCTCTAATTCTTATTTTTACCTGAACAAACCGCAATAGCAGCAGAAAATAGAAAGAAGCACTGGCAGCCAGTGGGATCATGGCGGTAGCGATTACAGATAGGGTACCGGCGATGAAAAATGGTATTCTAAAGTCATAGATACCTTTTAAAAGGTCCTCCCCACCTCGCTCCATAATTTATATAAGCCCAATTGATTGGAAAAGTGCCAAGTATCGTCCCGGCAGCCACGGCCCATACTATAAAATTCTTGTCGCTGGGCGTGTATTTGAAGCGGCTGTGTAGTGTCTAAAAATTGATGCTAAGGATCTGTCTCTCTCTCTCTCTCTCTCTTGGCAAGAAACATATGTTACGCGCGCGCGCGAAATTGATGTTGTATACCTGCAGACATAGCGACTTACCCCATTTTCATCAGCTATCGCTCCCTCCATATCACTTTCCATACAAATAAACGTGAAATTCATGGTGATATAATTGGAGTTTATAGAAGTAAGACATAAGAAGCATCCGAACGCCACGACGAACCGGAAGCGATGGGTTAGCAGTCCCATTTCTCAAATGTGTTTTTTTTTGCCAGTTTCTATCTCTTCGGCTCGCCAAAATTTGAATGCTACACAGGAAACATGTCCGAAAAGGACTTTAGAGACCAATAAAACGACACGCAGCTAAATGCAAGAAGAAATTGTGGGACTGCCGGCTGGGAACAATAGCCGAGCCGGTTGTTGACCAATAGGATCGCGCAATCGGAAACACGAATCGAGGGGAAGTGGATAAATTTGGAGGCACGCTTCTATAAGCCGGATTGGGGTAGTCGATTGGTTGGTTTTTTAGAACTTAGATCCCTTAAAAGAAATCCCTTTCGATCCGGGAATTAATTAGAAAAGGTAAAAAGCATATTTTCGAGAGTGACTCACAATGAAGAAACTAGGATCAATCGCATAGACTAACAAGAATTTCCCGTTCCTCCTGCTCAACCATAACAGTTTCATTCGGCAAATGCAACGCCTTTCTTTTCGCACTCGCCAAATGCCGGCAATTCGGTCAAAAATCTTCGATCACAACGCGAAGGGGGTGAAAAATTGATCTCTCCCACCAATTGTCATAGATCTCTCGAAAGGCTGTATTGTTCTCGGTAGAAAAGTGTTTCTTTTTGGAAAATTGGGATAGGCTTAGGAAAAGCTGAGGGGAAAGGAAAAATACTTTTAAAATTGATGGGTTTCGATTAGCAGGCAAGCTGTGCAATCTTTTGAGGCGAGATTTGAGAAAGTCAAAAATTTCCTTGTGACAAACCGGTTTATCGTCACGTGTAGCTTGGCGGAACGCTTCGATAGATTAGATTTGATATGCGTACATTAAAACAAGCAATACTTGCTGCGTTTTGTTTGCTATAAAACTTAATAAAACGGCACAAAACGGCTACTTCAGGAAAATTAACTCTGAACTTAACAATGGGAGCTTTGCTTATTTTTGGGAGTTTTCCGATGAGCCTCAGAACGGCCAAAACAGAATGAAAAACGTGTAAACGAAGTTTATTCTGAAAATCGGGTGTCAATCACCGGCTTAACCCGTCGATCGGAAACGCGCTCGGGCGGGAATGGGCACATAGCATGCGATGAACATGCGGTATCCCCCAAACCAATCCGCTTTGCCCGTTCCATAAAACTGTCCCTCTCGTCCGCATGGGAAACCCGGGGAATGTGTGCAAATCCCTGACCACCGATCACTTTGGGCACGCGTCCAGGGCAACATTTTAGGGTGCGGACTTCTTGAAAAACGAATAACCCGCTGACTCGTCGAAAAAATACGGTGAAATAGCGGCATCATAGAAAAAGCAGATTATAATTGAGAAACGTTACGAAACTTTAAACGTGTGCAAATTTCTTTAAAGACCAGGGTTGAAAAGCCGCTTCGCGACTGATATTTCATAAGTTTCGCGATTTTCACTGACAAAAAATGAGAAGCGCCACCGCTATTCCCTTCCTTTTGAGCTTTAGCATGCGTACTCTGTAAGTATCAAACGAATTTTTTGCCTTCAAGAAATCATTCTCACGCTTTCCCCTGTTGATCCGCTATCGCGACTATTTACAGGAGCCGTTCAGACATACTGAGGCTGTTTTCACGGGTCACAGCTGATTTTGCTGAGGTGATAAGTTGCCGGCCAAAAAACGCAGGTCTTTGCCAACTGAAGACGCGGAACAGGGCAACAAATTTGTTGTTTAGGGTGGTAGTTTACAGCGACAAGAGGGAGATTGCGATAAGTTATGGCTGGCCTAGCACTTCGCATAAAAGGTTCAAGCCGTTTTAAATTATTTTGGCCCTGTTTTTATTATATCAAAATTACTGGTCAACGACAAAATTATAGCGTCTTTTTTTTTTGGGAATGACAATCTCCTATTCTGGAAGCTTTTTTCGACTGCTGGCTCGCTGGAAGGGCTCGGTTTGGAGGTGTACCTACAAGGAATTGGTTGTCTATTTGGCTATATACTATTTAATTAAGTAAATACAGGGCTATTTAATTACACTAGGGAATTTTGAGGTTATTTTATTTGTATGGTATCGATGCGATTTATCAGGAATCCCAAAGCGCCGAGGAGGCAAAGTAAGACAAAAGGGAGCAGTAAGAATTTTTCGTTTAGAGCATACTTTCGAGCCTGTTCTATGCAATTTGGAACGTACGCGAAGCAACTGCCACTAACGTTTTTGTTGGGTTTCTATGTTTCGAGTATTGTCACTCGGTGAGTACGGTATTACGGCGGTAGTTTAAAAGACGGCAGGCTAGCAGAGATTTTATAAAAAGCGATAAACTAGAGTTTCGATCGGAAAACGCGGTGCATGTTCGTTTTTCGTGACCATTTCGTGTGCCGGCAGGAAGGCAAAGACGCTTGTAGACCGAGTATCAGATAGTGGGCGAGCTAGCAGAGGTTCTTTGGGAATCAAAGAACTCTAGATTTCAGATGGTGGAACCAATTCAAATGCCTTGATTGGCCAGAGAATCTACTATCTGTGTTGTGCATGATGATCCCGGGGAACGATGAGAAGAGCCTGAAGCGTCGCCACAAAATTGCCCGATACCTCAACTTGAGCTCGGCGTTGGCTTGGTAAGGTTCGTAAGGGTTTTAATGATAATCTCCTCAAAATTCAGGCGCGAGCTGTCGATCCAACTGCGTGCAAAGTATCCTAACGTCCACGACCTCGTCGATGGAGGCCTAATGACGGAAAATGAGTTCGAAGCCTTGGAGGAGGTTCAGGTAATTCTATTTCCACGTTATCCTTTCAAAGCTGTCGCATGTTCCAGGCAGGTTGCCCTTCCGTACGCTGGATGACGCCATTACACTGGGTCCAGCTGATTTTACAGGAACAAATGGCTGTAATCCATACCTAGAAGGTTTTTATTTCGCTTTAGGAAGATGAAAAGGGCAGTTCAAACTATATGAAGGCTATTATTGGAGGTAAAATCTTTGGAAATCGATGACTTTTTGCCATTTTTAGAGCTAATGTCATTCCGCGAATCGTTTCGAGAACTTTTCTGCTACGATTGGATGTGTATGCCGCTAGTTTACACTCAGGTAATAAAAAAACTTCTACTTTTTCATGATGCAAGCCAAGGTAGCTGCTCTAGCCACTTATTCTTTCTTCATATTCTGTTTATTTGGGCGTCAGTTTACTGGAGAAGGGGTGGGGATTATAGTAACCAAGTTGTGATGACATTTTAGGATGATTTATTCTTCCCGATCTTTCTGACCGTAGAGTTCCTGTGCTTCGTTGGATGGCTAAAGGTCAGATTTATTTTTTTAAGTTGTACTTTAAGCTTTAAGCTTTTTAAGTTGTACTTTAAGCCGCTTCGCGACTGATATTTCATAAGTTTCGCGATTTTCACTGACAAAAAATGAGAAGCGCCACCGCTATTCCCTTCCTTTTGAGCTTTAGCATGCGTACTCTGTAAGTATCAAACGAATTTTTTGCCTTCAAGAAATCATTCTCACGCTTTCCCCTGTTGATCCGCTATCGCGACTATTTACAGGAGCCGTTCAGACATACTGAGGCTGTTTTCACGGGTCACAGCTGATTTTGCTGAGGTGATAAGTTGCCGGCCAAAAAACGCAGGTCTTTGCCAACTGAAGACGCGGAACAGGGCAACAAATTTGTTGTTTAGGGTGGTAGTTTACAGCGACAAGAGGGAGATTGCGATAAGTTATGGCTGGCCTAGCACTTCGCATAAAAGGTTCAAGCCGTTTTAAATTATTTTGGCCCTGTTTTTATTATATCAAAATTACTGGTCAACGACAAAATTATAGCGTCTTTTTTTTTGGGAATGACAATCTCCTATTCTGGAAGCTTTTTCGACTGCTGGCTCGCTGGAAGGGCTCGGTTTGGAGGTGTACCTACAAGGAATTGGTTGTCTATTTGGCTATATACTATTTAATTAAGTAAATACAGGGCTATTTAATTACACTAGGGAATTTTGAGGTTATTTTATTTGTATGGTATCGATGCGATTTATCAGGAATCCCAAAGCGCCGAGGAGGCAAAGTAAGACAAAAGGGAGCAGTAAGAATTTTTCGTTTAGAGCATACTTTCGAGCCTGTTCTATGCAATTTGGAACGTACGCGAAGCAACTGCCACTAACGTTTTTGTTGGGTTTCTATGTTTCGAGTATTGTCACTCGGTGAGTACGGTATTACGGCGGTAGTTTAAAAGACGGCAGGCTAGCAGAGATTTTATAAAAAAGCGATAAACTAGAGTTTCGATCGGAAAACGCGGTGCATGTTCGTTTTTCGTGACCATTTCGTGTGCCGGCAGGAAGGCAAAGACGCTTGTAGACCGAGTATCAGATAGTGGGCGAGCTAGCAGAGGTTCTTTGGGAATCAAAGAACTCTAGATTTCAGATGGTGGAACCAATTCAAATGCCTTGATTGGCCAGAGAATCTACTATCTGTGTTGTGCATGATGATCCCGGGGAACGATGAGAAGAGCCTGGAAGCGTCGCCACAAAATTGCCCGATACCTCAACTTGAGCTCGGCGTTGGCTTGGTAAGGTTCGTAAGGGTTTTAATGATAATCTCCTCAAAATTCAGGCGCGAGCTGTCGATCCAACTGCGTGCAAAGTATCCTAACGTCCACGACCTCGTCGATGGAGGCCTAATGACGGAAAATGAGTTCGAAGCCTTGGAGGAGGTTCAGGTAATTCTATTTCCACGTTATCCTTTCAAAGCTGTCGCATGTTCCAGGCAGGTTGCCCTTCCGTACGCTGGATGACGCCATTACACTGGGTCCAGCTGATTTTACAGGAACAAATGGCTGTAATCCATACCTAGAAGGTTTTTATTTCGCTTTAGGAAGATGAAAAGGGCAGTTCAAACTATATGAAGGCTATTATTGGAGGTAAAATCTTTGGAAATCGATGACTTTTTGCCATTTTTAGAGCTAATGTCATTCCGCGAGTCGTTTCGAGAACTTTTCTGCTACGATTGGGTGTGTATGCCGCTAGTTTACACTCAGGTAATAAAAAAACTTCTACTTTTTCATGATGCAAGCCAAGGTAGCTGCTCTAGCTACCTATTCTTTCTTCATATTCTGTTTATTTGGGCGTCAGTTTACTGGAGAAGGGGGGGACCAAGGTAACCAAGTTGTGATAAAATTTTAGGATGATTTATTCTTTCCAATATTTTTGACGGTCGAATTCTTGTTTTTTGTTGGATGGCTAAAAGTAGGTCTTGCATTCTCTAGTTTGTCTCGTGGTTCATAACCTCATTGAGCTATTATAAAGTGCTGGAAAAGCTTCTTCAGGTCGGCCGCGAACTAATGCGGCCGTTTGGTCGCGGCGATGACGACATCGAACTTCACTGGATTTTGAATCGAAATATTGCAGTTTCATTCGCCATCGTACACAAGTTACAAGGCGCTGGATTACGTAAGCTTACTTAGAGTGTATTTCTCAGGCATAGCCGATTTTCACGAGCTTTATTGCAGCCAAGGAAGGCAAAGACGAAATTTTTTGGCAGCGGCGCACCGAGAAAATCGAAGTGCCAATCACCGGACAAAACGAGACAATAAAACCGCATAAGCCGAAGCTACACGCTTATTTGAGGTCTACCCAAAGAAGCTTTCGGAACAAGATATTTCAGGATCCCTCTCCATGGCCACCACGAACACGACTCTTCACCAGATCGGGATTCTCACCGGTAATCTGTTTGTGCATTTTGAAAAAGGGTAATTTTTAGACGCCTGAACTGGTAGACGATCGAGAAAATGATCCTGACACTTTTGAAAAACGACAAGCAAACCAAATTACATTAGTTGCAATAAAGAATGTCCTGCATAATGGCATTCCACAGTGCTGACAAACGCCCGTTACAACAAAGAACCTTTCATGGCAACATTTCGCGGAGGACGGAATTTTACATTCCAGGCGCCTTCTTCTAGGTGAAGTATCGCAAGAAAAACTATACTAGTAAAGTTTCTTTTCTATGGGCAATACCCGTATATACTCGGGTTGTTTACGCGCGGTCCGCTGTGATCATATTGGGATGATAAGTTGCCGGAAAAGTGAAATCATGCGCGGATAAGTCGAGATCAATCTGTTGTTGATCCTCATCAGTTACCTATCGATACTTTTGTGGTGGCTCTGGTTTCTGTTCTAATTATATTGATTTTAATGATGCTCGCAAAGTAATCCAAGATTTTCATCAAATCGTAAAAGATTCTGCCCATTTTTAGCAATGACTATCTCCTATTCTGGGGGCTTTTTTCGACTTCTCGCTCGCTGGGAAGGCTCAATTTGGAGGGCTACCTATAGAGAATTGATTGCTTATATAATCTTCTACTACTTAATAAAGTAATTTGTGATTTCGTTGTTAACGTATAACTTATAAAAATTCTAGAATTTTTTATCTCTATGGTATCGATGCGATTTATCAAGATTCATCAAAAGCCAAATGGATTCGGTATGAAAAAGCATGATTTTTAGGCGGCCAGGTTTAGGGATTATTTTCAAGCATGTTGTTTACAATTTGGAAGTTATGCGAAGCAATTACCATTGACGTTTTTGCTTGGTTTCTATGTGTCGAGTGTTGTGGCACGGTATGTGTATTACAGTCAGGCCCGTACGAGGGGCACCGGGGCACGGTCCCCCGAAATCGGTCGAGGTCCGAAAGTTCATAAGGGGGGACCCTTATGTTTTTTTCGCAAAAATTTTCCTGCCTGCGGCGCTGTTTATCACTGTTTCGAAACGATTTTTACTTCTAGAAAACCGATTTTTCTAAAATTTTTTGCCTGCGGCGCTCGTTTTCGTTAGTGCGCCATTTTTGCAAAACAAAATTTCGCTTGCGCGCGCCGTTTTCGATGTGTTTTCACACGAATTTAAGCGTTACAAGCGCGGTTTTTTAAATTTTTTCGCCTGCGGCGCTGTTATTGTCGCTATTTTCGAATGTTTTGAAAGTGGCGCCCGGGGGGGGAGGTCGCTAAAAATTTTTTTGGGTGGGTGCCCCCCCCCCGAAATCTCGGCTCCCGTACGGGCCTGATTACAGTACTAGCTAGTAGTACGGTAAATTAATAGTAATAGCGAGGACAAGCTAGCAAAGATGCGTTGCGAATCCCTCGTTTTATTTCAATTAATTGAGGTGGTGGGGCCAATTCAAATGCCTGGAGTGGCCAGAAAACCTGCTCTCCGCGCTGTGCATGATGATCCCGGGGAACGATGAGAAGAGCCAAAAGCGCCGCCATAAAATTGCACGATACTTGAATTTGACTTCGGCGTTGGCTTGGTGAGCTTCAGAGGACTCTAACTGTAACCGTTTTTTGTTGACCGTGGGATTTCGATACGTGAGATAGCACATTTTGTGCAGAATTTTTCGCTGATTCCGAATCCGTTTTCAAAAGTTGCGGAACCCCTCTAGATAAAAAGTTACAGCCGGTTTTCTACCCCAAATGACCGAAAATTACAAACTTTAAATCCTTATAAAAAACTCGTGGAACATTTTGTGGGATAAAATACAGCACTCCTAGGGGTAAAAAAACGTGCTCTTTCGAATGGGCTACTTCACGAACCCGTAGCTCAAAATTCACAAAATTTCAAAAATTGGCCATCCAGGGCATTGGTCCATCGAAAAACTTTTTTTCATGAATATGGAGCTACGGGTTCGTGAGGTAGCCCATTCGAAAGAGCACGTTTTTTTACCCCTAGGAGTGCTGTATTTTATCCCACAAAATGTTCCACGAGTTTTTTATAAGGATTTAAAGTTTGTAATTTTCGGTCATTTGGGGTAGAAAACCGGCTGTAACTTTTTATCTAGAGGGGTTCCGCAACTTTTGAAAACGGATTCGGAATCAGCGAAAAATTCTGCACAAAATGTGCTATCTCACGTATCGAAATCCCACAGTCAACAAAAAAATGGTTACAGTAAGCTCTTATTTTCCTACATTCCAGGCGTGAACTATCCATTCAACTACGCGCAAAGTATCCTAGCGTCCACCATCTCGTCGATGGAGGGCTAATGACAGAAAATGAATTCGAAGCGCTGGAAGAGGTTCAGGTAGGTTCTTAAAGTATCCTTGGGTTTTTGATAATGGTTTCGAAAGTGCTATAATTGCAATGTAAGGCTGATTAAGCACAAATGTCTTCAATTAACTCAAAATTAGGCATTTTCGAAGCGAATTTAGGCGGTCTGCCCCTCGGTACGCTGGATGACGCCATTACATTGGGTCCAGATGATCTTGCAAGAACATATTGCTGTAATTTCATGGATTTGAGGCTAAATTTATCTTTTGTAATTTTAGGAGGATCAAACCGGCAGTTCAAATTACATGAAAGCTATTATGGGAGGTAAGATTTTCGCGAAAATTGACGAGAACCTGGCTATTCAGAATTAATGTCGTTTCGGCAGTCTTTCCGAGCGCTTTTCTGCTATGATTGGGTGTGCGTGCCGTTGGTTTATACACAGGTAAGAGCTGTTAGCTTCGTTTTATAGAGTTGTTATGTTCCTATTTGATTACGACACTAAAACCAATGCTCGTAATGTTTAGGTCGCCACCGTAGCCACATATTCCTTTTTTATATTTTCGCTATTTGGACGTCAATTCACCAGTGCAGGGGTAAGAAGATATCTAATTACAGCTAACATATTTTAGGATCACCTAATTTTTCCAATATTTTTAATAGTCGAATTTCTATTCTTTGTTGGTTGGTTGAAGGTAGGTTTTTCACTTTGCAATTTTTCGCATATTCAATAAAATCTTTAACAAAAGACGTAATCGAAGATCCATAATCCTGAAGCCACAACAATTTCAGGTTGGCCGAGAATTGATGAGACCATTTGGGCACGGTGATGATGATATTGAACTTCACTGGATTTTGATCGTAATATTGCCGTTTCTTTTGCAATTGTGAATAACTTACAAGGCGCTGGATTACGTAGGCTTCTCTGTTCATTTGATTAGACTTTCCCTGTCTTTTAGCTAAAGGTGAGGAGACCGATATATTTTGGGAAAAGCGTGGCAAGAAGATCGAGATTCCCGCCACCGGAAATAATGACAATATTAAGCCACGGAGCCCGAAGCTTCACACGTATCCGAGGTCCATTGTAACGCTCGAGAAATAAAAATTAGTGGTTTAGAATTCCTCACGGAGGACATAAAGGGCGCGACACAATGTCGGATGACAACGATTCGCATAGGTATCATCGTTTCATCCTGGCAGAATTAGATCTTTTAGGCACCTTAACTGGTAATCAAGCATGCTGGCTGTATAGCCCAATGGTTTCCGTCAGCAAAGTGTGATGCTTCTTCGTTTTTCAATAAATTCATTAAATATTATCTAAATCCAGTTCTCTATCGGTTATCCAATTATCCATATTGATCCATATAGGTTATCAAGCCCTAAAACCACAATCTTAAGTTATAGCCCGATGACTACATTAGTTTTGGAGTTATAGCCAAAATACTATTTTTTTCGCGATTCTTAACAGTTTTTCGGCTTCTTTTTTTACGTGGCATCGATTTGCATCGAATTCCGGCCGCGAATCCCTAATTTTGTTTTATATTGGGGGTGAAATTCGGTGACAAAAATTGTTGAAATCAACGGTTATTTGATTAATATTTATCAGGAAAAAAATTCTACGTGGAAAGAACGCTTGCCGCGTCATTTTTACGTAATATCCGAAGGGTCGATTCCGATGAAAACCTGATGAAAAACGGATCATAAAGCTTATTTTGTTTTATCTCGGAAACTGCCATAGTTATGAGGCTGTAAGACAGGATTGTGGTTATTTAGGGTATGATGCGCCTCTGGTCCATTTTGGGGACCGGTCGGATATAATATGGCGAAAGGAGGGAGGGGTGCTTTTTATGGGAGACCCTGTATAGTCTAGGCCTTAGAAATACAGGGTGTCCCAATAAAAAGCATCACGCTGGCATTTTGCTATTTCAAACCGGATCAACTTGAAATTTTGCACAGAAACTCAAAAAACTCAAAATGTTCACAGAAACTCAACACTCAAAATGTTCACAGAAACTTTCAGCCCGATCGGTACAGTAGTTTTCGAGTTATTACAAAAATAAGCTTTATTTTGAGTTTTTCACCTGGATTCCGCCGGAATTGAGTCTTGGAATGTATCGCAAAAATCAAGCGGCGACCCGTTTTTATCCTAGGAATTTTTTTATTTCGCAAAATTCGGGTCGAAAATAGGCTATTTAAGTATTTTTTAACAAGGGCTAACGACGCCGATGTTAAGTAGCATAAGGGATTAAAAGCCGGAAATTTATGTTAATTGATGCAAAGTCCAAAAAAATAGCCGAAAAAATAAAGCTAAAGTGTGGGAAAAACAGTATTTTTACTATAACTGGAAAACTACTGTACCGATCGTGCTGGAAAGTTTCTGTGAACATTTTAAATTCCTTCCGCACCTCTGTGCAAAATTTCAAGTCGGTCGGATTTGAAATAGCAAGATGCCAGCGTGACCTTTTTATTGGGACACCCTGTACTTTTCACGCCCTAGCCTTTTTTGGTCATTGGCCAGAAGCCGAATGCGGTTATTTACGAGTAAAAGGAAAGAGGGGCGGAGCAGCTGCCCCCTGTGGTCATGTTTGCAAGGGGGGGGCAGGGACTGGACAAGGGCAAAAGGGCAAGAGAGAGGGTGTCCCGATGCTCAAGGAAATGTAAATATTTTCCACAAACGCACCCTCAGACGCCATGTCTATAAGCTCTATCTAAGCTTCTGGATTCAGATGTCTCGATAAGAATCTGTTATTGGCGCTAGTTAGCTCGGTTTTAAGATTTTCAAGCTAAAATTGGGCTACTACAAAATTTTCAGCAATTTTCTACAGTTAATCATTTTTTACCTTTATATACAAAATTTTAGAGGCTCGTAAATTTTGTATAGATCCAAAATTTATATATTGTTCACAATTTGTCATAAAAAAAACTTGTTTTGCTCTTTGCCGGACACGCGAATTGCCAATCTTCCACTTGAGCGCGTTTGTTTACGTTTTTTTTGGTTTTCCATGTTTTTGGTGGGTTTTTATTTGCGTTTGGTTTTATCTTCGCGTTTTTCGCTTGTTTTGGTCGAATTTTGATAAAATAAGTATGTTATTATCTTTGTTTAGCGCGCCATGACAATCTCCTACTCTGGAAACTTTTTCCGTTTATTGGTCCGGTGGAAGGGATCGATATGGCGGACCACCTACAAAGAGTTGATCGTATATTTGTCACTGTTTTATGGCATTAAGTAGGTTTTAATGGAACTGACAAAAATCCCCCATGTTCTAGGCTGTTTTACGAATACGGGATCGAAATCTTGGTCCAGGATCAAAATCAAGTTGACGCAGCCAAGTAGGCCCAAATTTTGGCATTCGGAAGCTATATATTTCTTTTATTTTCCTACGTATTAGGGCACTATAAATCTAAAAACATTTTTAGAAACTATTTCCGGTCGGTATGCGTTAGTTTCGAGACCTATACGAGGGGATTACCATTGACGTTTTTGCTGGGTTTTTACGTGTCGAACATGGTCAGTCGGTAAGTCTTTAGAGATAGCTTTTAGATAAACCTTTTTTTAACGTCGCTACAATAGCACTGTAAAGCCGTAATGTTCAAACGATAAGTTATTTTAGATGGTGGGGCCAATTCAAATGCTTGGAATGGCCTGAGGACATGATGTCAGCGCTGTGCATGATGCTGCCAGGGAACGATGAGAAAAGCCAGAAACGCCGCCATACTATCGCCCGTTATATTAATTTAACGGCAGCATTGGCTTGGTACGTTACATAGGGTATCTCATTGCCGTTTTAGGCGCGAGGTATCAAGCCAAATCCGCTCTAAGTACCCGAAGATGCGAGACCTTGTCGAGGGCGGGTTGTTGACGGAAAATGAGCTGAACGCACTGGATGATATCCGGGTTTGTACTACTTGTACTTTGCAGCTTGTAGTTTCAACGATGCGTATAGAGAGATCGACTACTTGGCTATTGAAATTTTAGCATTCCTGCCCGTCCGTTCGTTGGATGGCTCCGTTGCATTGGACCCAGAAGATTTGCCAGGAGACGTTGGACGTAAGGAGGCTGTTTGACTTTTCCTTGTCACGATTTGGTTCTCATTCCCTACCTTCTTTTATAGATTAATTTATTGATATAAAGCGTAGTAATTTTTACTAAAGTTTTCTACATCTTTCAGAGAAACCGTGCGTCAAATGGGGTCTGTCCTGACGACATCAAAAAAGTTTTGGCTAGCCCTAACCCTTGCTTTTCTTTCCTTAGGCGAAAAGAACACTAATAGGGGGTTATTGGCACTTTTTTAAGTTTTTATCACTAACATCACGGGCTTATTTAAAATCTAGGTTTTTAGGCAATGAATAAAAATTAGAAATATATGAAGTTTTGGACGTGGTTACCTTACTTTTTATCATTTTAGGACGGCCCGGACAACACGAAATTTGTGGGCGATTTCCTATCAAGTATGGTCTTTTTAATTACATTATATTTTTGTAGAACTTAACACGTATCGACAATCCTTCCGCAACTTATTTTGTTATGATTGGGTGTGCGTACCGTTGGTTTACACTCAGGTAACTCTTAGAAAAATGCCATTACCGTAACAAAAAGCGTTTTAGATAGCCGTTCTGGCCACATATTCCTATTTCTTCTTTTCGCTATTCGGTCGTCAATTTTCTGATGAAGGGGTAATTTTAAACCGCATTTAAAGTATATTTAAATGTTTAAATTTTGGCTTTTCATAGATACGAACAGTTTTTAGGCAGAATTGACCTTCCCCTTATTCTTGGTCATCGAGTTCCTCTTCATCGTCGGTTGGTTAAAGGTACAAAACTACAAAATACACCTAACAACGTCATTTTTCTGTAGGTGGCTCACGAACTGATGCGTCCATTTGGGCATGGGGATGATGATATTGAATTGCACTGGATTTTAGATCGAAATATTGCCGTGTCTTTTGCGATTGTGCACAAGCTGCAAAATACGGAGAGGCGTAAGATTTAGACTATAGTTTTTGGCTTCGCAGCCCCTTTAAAGGCAAAAAACGCAATTTTATTAAAAAATATTTTCCAGCAAAGGGCGGTGACGATGATTTATTCTGGAAAAATCGCCACCTAAAAATCGAGGTCCCAAAAACGGGCAATAACGAAAAAGTGAAACCCGAACGCCCGAAGATGCATTCGTATGTGAAGTACGCGACTTTTGTTAATACTAACACTTTCTAGCCTTGCCGCTAACCAATCATTACTGTCCAAAAAGGCCAAAAAGAACTTTCATAGAATCCCAAGCGAAAAGTCGAATGCAGATAGTAGTGGGCCGGAATTCGATCCATCGCGGGAGAGGGAGGACCATCCGTAAGATGCAATTTTCCACAAGGTAGCAAGATATTTTAGGCATCTTTACTGGTAGTGCGACGACAGGTTCCTGCAGTATTTCTAGGTGTGCAAATACTGATCAATTAAACGAGATTGAAAATTGTATAAATACTACCTCATTAATGAAAATTGTAAAGACATCATAAGCAAAGCCCACGAGAGGAGCAAAGCTAGAGAAGAAAGTGTGTGGGAGAAAGCGAGAGAGAGAGAGAGAGAGAGAGAGAGAGAGGGAGAGAGTGAGTGAGTGATAGAGAGAGATAGGAGCTTTTTCAAAGCAGGACTGTTTTCAAAGACAAAAATACAAAAATAGCGACATTCAGCTGATCTTTGAGCCAGGCAGAAGCTCATAGCGACAGGTCAACCCCCTATTCTGATAACACGGTCAATTCTTGACCAAAACTCACTGACACGCGCCGAGTTATCAGCACTGTTCAAAAAAAAATGACGGCTGACCCCCGTCAAGGTGCCTATTTTGGGCCAGGAAAATCACTCAGGGCCTATTTTTAGAAAAAAAGTACGAGCCTTATCGAGAAAACGAACGTTTATAAGCAAATTTTTGTTGATTTGGACCAATTCATTCTTTGGGAACGCTTCCAAGAAGCACCGCCACTCAAATGAAGTCAATTTTTTACTGTTTGTTCGCATTTCTCTGGGTCTCCGCATCAGGGGTATCTCATATGAATCCCGGGCACTACCTAAAAATGAAAAAGTAGGTCGTTTCCCTTTGGGAGCTTTCACTAAATTTGGACAATCGAATTGAAGCGCTAGATAACAGGTTAAGCGGGTTATGTTCATTTTTCCTAAAAATCATTTTTCCTAAATTCATTTTTCCTAAAAATCATTTTTCCTAAAAATCATTTTTCCTAAAAGTCATTTTTCCTAAAAATCATTTTTCCTAAAGTTCATTTTTCCTAAATTTTTCATTCAATACGGATGCGTAAAAATATCAAGAAATCTAATGCCCCTATGATTTTTAACGGGGCGGGGGGCGTCACCAACGGCGCCTGTGAGATTATGCAAATCTTCAATTCTAATGTTAATTATTCATTTCAAGCGCAAGAGCAACGGACAGTAGAGAGTAACCTGCAAATAACCTTTTCTCTTGCACTTGAGAAAAGCCTAGTAACGTAATAGTCAGCCTTTTAATAATGTTTTCGCAAAATTTAACTAGCTTTTAAGTAGAAAAAAATAAAAAATTGGAAGGAAATTTAAATGGAATTTTCGAACTTGAAAGTGAGATTGGAAAATCGGCCATTTTTGGCAGAAAAATCTATATTTTTTTTTGTATTTCAGTCGCAATTGGTAAAGTTTTTACGTTTAAGAATAATAACAACAGTTTCGAAAGCTTCCACTATTTCTTTTAGAAAACAAGGTCCTTAGAAAAAAGTTGGTCCCCCATAAACACCCCCTTCCTCTACAATGCGAAAGGATCAGGGAAAAATTATAGGCCAATCAACTAATAGTTTTTGCCTTCTTTGATATTAAGGATCAGCAGTCAAATCTCATTTCCATAATAACACCGCATTTTTGCTTTGCATCTCGGTTTTCCGGCGCCTTTTGGTCAGCCCCAGGCGCCGCCACAGGCGCCACTCGGAACGCCCCCAGGGGGTGCCTCGGGAGGCGCCTCTGGCGGCGCCCCCGGGCTTCGACCCATATATACACACTAGGCATTTGTTGATAGCGCAAAGGATAACAGCGCGCGGAGGACTCCGGCGTAGTCAAAATCTTTCGCTACGTTACACTCCTCTGCTCGCTCCCTCCCTTTGCCCTGCCCGACTATGCTACTTTTTAAGGTAACGATCCGGCCCGAAGACGTTCGCCCTCGCGACGGCAACTTCCCGAGCTCCGTGAAGTATACGCATGGAAATAAACTTGGACGACAGCGCGGGGATGAGGCTGGCCATCTACTAGCTAATACGCTTGGCGGATCGAATCAGTTGATCAACTACATGCCTCAAGCCGCTGCAAACAACGCAAATCGGCATGCCAAATGGATTATGGATAGTTGGTAAGGCAGGCTTGAGATTTTATGATGTTTTTTAATGTTGAGGCATGCCTTATGTCTTGAGCGAAAAATACGATACTTGAAAAACACGATACGATAGTTGAAAGGAAAGGCAAAAATACCATAAAAACTTGATGAGCTTATTCAGAATTTTTCAGGTTCGCAAATGAGAATCACATTCGCGATTGGTTAAACTGCACCCCCCATAGCCAAGTGGTCTTGAGAGTTGGGCTACCGTACAACAGTGTACATCATGGAAGGTTGCTTATTAAATACTTTGAAAGTAGCCTTTTTTTAGACCGTACTACATAATGTGGTCGGCTGTTTACATTGTCAACGGGCAAACCGTTCATGTGGTTATTGGCAGCCTGCCAAACAGCAATAATTCGTCACTATCGTAATCACTATAATTAAAAATAAAAATACTAAACTTATGAATAAAGATTTTTAATACTTAATTCATACCGTTCGGAAGCCGTTAATCTACTACAAAAATAAGAAATCATTTTTAAGGCTAAAAGATGACCACTGCCTTTCAACGCGCGCACGGGAGGGGTGGTCGGGGCGTGGTGTAGTGGTCTAAGGCGCCGGCCCAGCCCCGAGACAGGGGGTGCGGGTTCGGTTCCTGGGCCCACTGTTCTTTTCATTTTCGTTTTGCTTTTTCGTCCCAAAGGTTGCTAATGGAGTGCCGTAACGCAAGAGAAGTCAGGAAACGAGCTTTCACATTCTTTCCGGGCCAATAGACCGATAAAGTTAGACGGCGCCTTTACCATCTTCAAATGATCACATCACATCATCGTCACGCTATGATTTTCTAAAATTCGTTGCAAAAGATAGAGTAAAGGCTGCTCTGTGGTCCCAGGGCTCAAGCAGATTTAGAAACCGTCATCATAAAATATTATATCCAGTTGGAAATTTGGGCGAACTTTCTGTTGAAACGGTAAACTAAATGCCAGGAACATTCAATTTTGCATCTAATTGGCTAGTTGGTAGCGGAAGGTTCACAGAGAATTCAAAAAAATCGATCTGGGCAACTATTTTCATTGTTCTAGAAGGCAATTTGTTGAAGCTACCTTATTTTTCCAACTGAAAAGGGACCGGGCGCCGGATTGCTGTGGAGGATCCCTGCCTAAGTCGGCTCAAAAGATAGAGCGAAGTCTGTTTTATTTTTCCTCCACGCAAGTAGATTAAGATTTGCACATTGGAAAAACTTATAGCCCTTCGAAAGGCAGCTCTTTCCGACTTTCTATGCTTTCCCAATGCGTTACGCGGTGCATTGGCGCGCTGCGTAGCCCAGCCCCCGTCCCCCCTCTCGTGCGCGTTTTTATTAAAGCCTGAATGGCAGTGTGACAATAGACGTCTAGACACTGGACCAGGGATTCGATTTTTTGGAATTATTCGATATTTCCCACGTTATATTGGACTGCATTTCCTTGCCTTTCGTGCTTTCCGAGTCCATACGTATGCATTTTATACACTAATTACGTTTCCCACTTGCTTTAATCCATTTATTAGGGCCTGCTGCTTTTTTCTGGGTTAAAATTTATTTGACTAACTTGACTTTCGAGCAAATTTAAGAAACCGGGTTCCGAGAAAACGTTTTTAATTGCTATCAGTCCTGGTCTGCAATTTTTACTTAATATAGCCTCAATTTTCGGTAGCTTTTGGAGATAATTGGTCTCCACACGTGCTAGGAACACCTGCCCCATCCCGGGTGGCTACAAACTACATTCTGTGGTGAATAATAGCGCGTGTTGTGTCTCCCACCGGCTGATCCAATTAGAATACATCGATCTTTGAAAGCCCGTTTTTTGAAGTATCATTCTGCACTCGTAATAAGAATAACATAGAAAATTTACATATGGCAAATTTGCAGAAGTTCGAAAAACTGGATGGTCTCCGGGCTTCCAGCATTCGGCACGTCGACCGTGAAAGCCACTCGACGCCAGGGATCAGTAAGTTTAAAGCGTACCATATTATTTTTATTAAGCGCTCAATATGCCACTTGCGTTACGTTTATTTTTAGCTATTTATGCAGCTGTTTTTAACTTTTTTTTGGCTTGATTTAGGCTTTTGAAGCTAGCAACTTTCTTTCTAAATACTTCCTGGCCTCGTAGATTGCCGTTAATACATCTTAATTTATTTACTAATTATCTAGCATTAGAATTCGTCGTTTTAACGTCTTGTTTTAAAGTAGTCAAGATTTTCCGCTTTTTCCAGTGGACCACAGCCCCAGGCGCAGTCCGAAGCGAGTCAAGCTCCCGCGATTCCTTGGGGTTTTTCCATATTATTTTTCTAAAATTTATTAGCTGCCGTTTTCCTGGATAAAATTAGGTTTAAGATTCTAAATGCTTTAAAGTTTTAGTCACATCTAAAATCCGTTAAATCCGAATCTTTAGAGATGGCGCTACGACCGCATCTTCATCGGGATCATCTTGTGCTGTCTGGGCATCTATGGATTGGTAAAAATGGTCTTAGAAAATTGTTGGGAATTCTTAATTCAGTACGACAGCGACATGCTAATCGATTCTTATCTAAAGGTTGGAAAATGGCACCTTATAAGGATCGGTTTAAATGGGTTTTTTTTATACTTTGCTGTTGCAAGCAAAAATGTTTACATAAATGCTTTAGAGAGATTCTTATAAGTTGTACTTTTTACCTTGAGGTGCCATTACGCACAAAATATAACCCGGGGCCCCACTTTTTATTTATACCCACCCCCGAATCTATTTTTTGAAGGTATATTTTGGATTTCTGTAGCCCCGGTTTTAACTTGGGAGAGGGCCCTTGGTTTCGGTGTTGGTCTTGATGGCAGCATTGTTAAAGGTTTTGCGAAGTCAAAATCCGGTTTCCATTGAAGATGCATAAAATCCATCGGATTTTGACTTCCCAAGTCCTTTAATTTTTTATAGCAATAAAATTTGAATTTCTAGGCCTATTGGTGGCTGATGGAGGGCGTTGAGATCGACTACCAGGTGGAGGATATTGCGTCGAGGGATGCCGTGGAAAACCAGGTATTTATTTTTGATTTCTGGTTTTTAAGATTTATTATTTATTTATTATTTTAAATAGTATGTTTTCACAGTATTTGATCATTTTTTAGCTCGGCCTCCGCCAGTCGACCATCGAGGAGCAGTGCTCGAAGACGACGGGACGTTGCTGGAGGGTGGTGGACCGACTGATTGAGGAGTGGGTTACGCTTAAATCTCGCGCTTTTCTAATTTTATAAAACTTTAAAATTAGTAGTAGTGTTTGCCAGATGAAAAGCTACATTTTGGTATATTTAAGAGCTTTGTAGGTCAAAAGTTAGTCGAGATACATAGATTTTTGACTGCGCTTTTGTTAACCTAATCGAGTCTAACCGTTTACGACATCAATATATAATGCAATATCATGTGAAATTTATTCTCTCATTCCGCAGATCAAGAGCTACATTTTGGTATGCATTACAGCCCTATAAGTCAAATGAGTTCAGAGAAAAGTAGATTAGGAGTTCTTTTCCAACAGTGGTTGACTTCATGCAGCCAATTTTTATCCGATTACGGCATCAAAATATACCGAAAATCTTATTTTTGTTTGATTTTCAGCAACCTCGGCTCCTATGCAGAGCGCTGCCTCTTCATGCAGGGCTTCGAAGATGAGAGCGACTCGTCGATTCGCATCATACCACCTGCCGGCACCTCGTCTCTAGGTATCCAAACACATCCTAACAAATATCATTTTTTCAGCCGAAATCTTCAGCAGCTCGGACAGCCGCTTCTGGCAAATCGACCACACCCAGATCACCGCCCAATACGTCGCCGCGCTTGCCATCGCCCCATTCGTGTTCGGGACCTTCAAAATGGACGATAAGTTGGTTTCTAGCCTATCTATCCTTTTCTAAACCAGCGGATAAACCTGAACCATTACAACCACAACTTTAGAAAGGAGAAGCGCTCACTTCTCGAGATCGGCCTCGGCGGCGGCACCTACGCCGGTTTCATGCGCCACCACCGCCCCAATCTGAACATCACCTCCGTCGAGCTCGACGAGACGGTCATCTACTTGGCCGACAAGTATGATGAACCGAAAAATATATCATTTTCTCTAGGTGGTTCGGCTTCAAGCAAAGCCCACTCCTCCATGTACACGCCGATGACGGGATTGTCTTTGTCGAAAAGGCCGCACGGCGAGGTGAGGAACATAAAGTTGCCTTCGCTGGTCCTTTAAATACGAATTCTGATTTTTAGGAGAAGCCTGGGACGTCGTCCTGATCGACGCTTGTGATGGTAGTCAGATTATCCCATGTCCGGCGCACGTCTTCCTCAACGACGTCTTCATGGCCGACGTGCGGAAGGTGGTCAAGGATCAGGGTGAGTTGAAGAAAGAGAGAGAGAGAGAGAGAGAGAGAGCGAGAGACAGAGAGAGAGAGCGAGAAGCACTTGCCATTTTTGAGCATCTTCAGCCCTTATTTTTAGGATTACTCATCGTCAACATCCTCGACCTGCACGAAAATGCCGCAAACATTGCTGGGGTAAATTTTGCCCAAATTTTTTCTAAAAATGAAATTGCAATCCCTTGCCTTAAACCACACATTTTTCCAGGTCTCCAAGCAGTTCGCCAGCCACTTCCCGACCTGCGCCACACTGCACATGAATTATGAGGTGGACATTTCTTGAAATTGACCGCCTAACCCTGAGCTTTAGATCAACGTCATCCTCGTCTGCCTACCGTACCAAATTGGGGACGCCGACGCGCAGCTGCGCTTCTTCGAGTCCAGGATTCCGCACGTCGTCGAGCAGCTTGGGTTGAAGAAGCTGTTGCCGCATGTGGTCATCAGCGCCCCGTACAGTAGTCGCTAGGTTGGTATGGAAATGTATGAAGCTAAGCCCAAGCCCAAGCCAAAGCCCAAGGCTGTGCCTAAGTCCCAGAATAAGCCTAATGTAAGACATGGCAAACCTAAGCCCAGCTTAAAAAGTCTAAGCCAAAGAGAAGCCGAAACTGGCACTGTTACTAAGCATAAGCTAAGCCTAAACCTAAACCTAAGCCTCTTCCTAATCTCAAGCCAAAGCTTAAGCCCAAGACTAAGCCTAAGCCCACAGCTTATGCCCCTACTCTTAAGATCAACTTCATCGATTCAAGTCTTCTACAGCCGTCACGACACCAGAAGCTCATCCCTTGCAAAATGCCATAACTCCACAACACATCGACCGCAAAGCTTTATCCCACCACCCCAGATTCTGCTCCACCCATAATCACAGCTGTGATATCCCGCATGTGCCTTCTCCCCCCAACCCACCTGGTTTTGTCGCATACTGTTTTCTTCGTGATTCTAGTCGACCTATGGCATTATTGGTTCTCCATTTTCTGTGCTCCCCCTACTTTTCTCTCTATGCTTATTGTGATGCTACGGGTCCCCCTCTCCTTTTCTGCACATAATAATAGCCATCGCACCCTAAATAAATCGTTGTGAAACGTCAATGAAAAACGAAGTTCCATACAGCACACACAAAAATTAAAAAAATTAGTCGCATTACGCGATGAAACTGACATCAAACCTTTGACAGTTTTTACAGCGGACGAGTTGTATCAATCCCTGGTCATAAAATTTGTTTTAGTTTAGAAAGCTTTTTCAAGAGCCGGTCGACTACAATAACCCAGAAACCTTCAGTAAAAAGCTGAGGAAAAACGCTGCCATGCCGAGCCTGATCTCGGTCGCCAGTCGAATTTTCTCAAAAAATCACTTGCAATTTTAGGGTCTCTGTGATTAAAGTAGGCTTGTATGAAGCGCGCGAGCTAACACAGAGTTAATTTTTTCCGATACTTTCCGAAAATTACTTCGCCAAAAAGCCCTTCGCCGAAGAGAAGAGCTGCAAGATGTGAAAAGACAAAATCGTAGCTTACTTCTTTGCTTTGTGATTTGGAGGAGCACCAGAATTACCGGAAAATTGACGATAAATCAGTTGATTTTCGGTGAAATGGCTTTTCGTCGAGTTGAGTTTTTGGCAAATTGATGCTCCTGATAGAGGTTCCGATTCGAATTCTACGCGAAATTTGTTTTGAAGCTAGATTTCTCCGGATCGATTGAACTCTGGCGCAATCATGCCCAACGAACATGGCCCTCATCCTCCACTTGGCCGCCTCAAAAAAAAACAGATGGTCCTCCCCGGCGATACCATTTTCTCGAACCAGCGCGCACTCCGGAAATCGATGGCTGTTGGGTGAGGAGGGGTTGATCCACCACATTTGGGCCCGGCCACACGCAGATAGTTTACCCTCATGATTTCCGGGGGATGGTGTCGCGGCTCCTCACAAATTTGGGACTGTGACAGATTACCTTAAGCTTTCAATCATATTGATCGTTGACCCGTAGCGCGGCTCGAAATAACTTTATCAACTCTCTTGGTATTCGCCGATTTGTATTCCGCCCCCCTGCAGCTTCAGGCCGGGGAAATGGCCTAAAAACCCGATGAAACCTTACTTATGATTTTTAGCGCCGGTCCTTTTTTGCATTTTTGTCTAGCTTGTAAGCAATCGATCACTTTAAAAACTTTCTTAAATGTCACCTTATAAGGGCACAGCATTTTCAGCAATGTAGAGCTTCTGAAGCGTCCGAAAAAGCGTCTGGAACCGGTTTTTCATCATTTACTTGCGGTCTTAGAATTTTGCATCTTACAAATCTTGCGAACACCAGAGCATCTACCCCCCCCCCCCCCCCCCCCCCCCGGCCCCCCCCGACCCCACCCGGTTCCGTTTTCCCCCCAAACCCCCCCCAGAAAAAAAAAAAAAAAAGGGAGGATCCTTTTCCCTCTTTATGTTTTTTTATGGGCAATTTTTCCCCCAAAACCCAAAAAAAAACCCCAATAACCCCCCAATCCCCCTCCTATATTTAAAATTTTTTTTTAAAAATTTTCAATTTTTTTAAAATTTTTTAAAAAGGACAAAAAAAAAAAAAAATTAAAAAAAAAAAAAAGCCTGTTTCTCTCTCCTTTTCCCGGCTTTTCGAGGGGTAAAAATTTTTCCTGTTCTGGGCTTCCCACGCACCGGAGGGGGGGGGTTTTTTAAACCCATATTAAAAGCGTTTGTTTTTCTAAGCTTAGGCTGATCTTTTTAGTTTCCTCCAATCGTCAAATCGATACCCCTTAACGCATATTCCAGACATGTTAATGAATTCTGAGTGGTGACTCAGCTTCTCCTCGGTCTTATGGCCCTCCCGGGGCACCTCAAGGTCAAATTTTCTAGCAATTCTGCCTAGACAAAGAGTCACGTATCGATTTTTGCATATTGAAATCAGCTTCTCCTCCTCCGGAGGCGGATGGCATCGCCAAGGGGCGGGCGGGTACCCCACGGGATGTTTTAAAAACAAAAATTGAGCCGCGAGCCCGACGGTCCTACCCCCAGTCCCTCATACCACACTCCCATTTCTCCGGGCCTTCATCGTGTTTTTCTTATCGATTGGCGTCTGAATCGGACATTATGAAACTAGAGTGGAATGATATCACTACCCCGCCCCATCGTTTTGCAATTACAGTACGCTACAGCGAATTTTTTATGGTCCAATCTTGCTGGAGTCAAGGTGCTACGGTAGTAGTGTTCACTTAAAACTCAAACTGTATCCATTTCCCGTACTCTTGTTGTGACGCCCGTTTAATTTTTTTTTTTTTAGCTATGCCCTCCTACCAGGCAAACGGCTTCTACGATTGCCCATTCTTATCCGCGCCGGCCGAGCGTCCGTCACAGGTACCAAATCGGAACTTTCTACCTCGAACCTGCTTTCCCTAGGCCCCGCCGGTGGTCAGCAATGGGCTGAATCTCGACCTGGACGGGTTGATCGACGACATCAATGCGATGACGACCACTGATCCAAAAGACGAGCCGAAAGTTGAAGGTATCAAACTTTTGCTGATCTCGAAGTGCGTTTCAGCTAGCCATTGCGATGCCGTGCAGCAAACTGCAGCACGTTCGATGGTTCAGATGTGGAATGAGTGGGCGGCCAACCCCGAGCTGATCATTTATAAACGTAATTGGGTTGTTCACTTCCTATAGTCGTGCCAAAAAAAAAAGTTTTAAGCGCCGTTTTGGGATAGCCTTAGATTCTCATAATATATTTCTGTTTTAAAGGGACTGGAAAGGCAGGGCCGATTTTTTTTGCGTGATCGCTGTATCTGATGAAAATGCATGATTTAAAGCGGCTATAGTTTTTTAAGGATAGTGCCAGCAGAGTACTAAGGATCCCTATCGATTGACTGTTATCACCAGCTTTTTAGCCGAACCACCGCGAAGGCTTGGACGGCCGCCTGGTCCGCAACGCCTCAAGTCTCCCAAGCGGTGCATGAAAGGGTAGATTTTGCGAATTCTTTAATCACAAAAGTCTATTTAATTAGGCTGCTGGTTTTGGTGAACCTATGCATTACTTAAGTTCATATTTCATTCGTTAATTTTTTTGCATTGATCGGCTCGGGATGATTGCAAAAAACTCGGTCGAGTTAAAAGATAAGATGGCTTAGAAACAACAAAAAACATTAACATCAATATCCTAACCTGCCCTAAAAATTTAGTGGTCCGGTGCGTGAAGTTGTCGCACCCCAGGATCCATTCATGCGCCGGGGCGGGGTCCAGGGAGAGCCAATGGAGCCGCGGAAGAAGCGCCCCTACACCCGGCGAGCACCTGTTAACGGTATCAAACGATACATTTATGACCTTTTGGTTTCAAATTTGACTATTTAGTAAGAAGACAACCAATCAAACAACAACAACAACAACACCCAACTTATCAATATGTAACTCCAGGTAAAACTCAGTGTGAAGATTCCAAAACCGTCTTGTCCAGCCACTAACCAACTATTTTTTCTTCCAACAACCCGTCGCCCAGCATGTGAATGGTATTAACAAGATCTAACAGCATGTATCGATACTTGTAGCTTATACCAAGCCTGCCACCCGACCAAGCATCTTTGGCGACAGCAGGCCTGGCAAAGGTTGTAATTTCAAGAACGAGCACGGCATCGATGAGGATTTTTGGCAATGGAATTTTGGATCGATTATCTTTAGCAGCCGCGACACGCAACGCAGCAAAAGCCATAGCCATACCTTCCAAGTCCCTTTAAGATTCTTAATACAACGTCTTCTAGACGTCAGCGAAGCCTATCTCCGCCTTCATGGCATTCTCGACCTCAACAAAAATGATCTCAACTTTGATGGTCTGAATGTCAACCTCGATTTGGACGAGCCGAAACGCAAAGGTATCCAGCGTTATTTCGGGGGCTTAAAGCACTCTTTAGTCCCAGCTAGACAGCACTCGGCAGGTGCACCGCTTCATCATTGGCCGCAGAGTCAGAATCAGGGTCGGTTTTTAACTTGATTTCCTTCTACTTGCACTAGGCCGACCGGTCACCCAAAACCCAGCCATGAGCTACGAAGCATCGCGACACCAGCATGTTCAGCCGCAGATACAGCAACAGCAACAACGACATCAACAAGTTCAGCAGCAGCAACGTCAAGGCATGGTGCTTGTTTCCAACTATTTCAATTGCTTTAGCAGCGGCAAGCCAAAACCACTCTGCTCCGCAACACACCCAACAACATTTTAATGGTATCTTTTCACCCTGATTTTATTTATCTAAATCGTTAGCCAACGCGATGGTCCGGCGCCAAGTGTTCGATCCCAGTTACGGTACTGAAATTTTCCAAACCTTAGCAGCTCTCTTTCAGGTGTTTCTCAACCCCTGCCGCAACAGCCGAGCCCCTTTTACGGTATATCGGGGCTTTCGTTTAGATTTCAGTCATTTTTAGGCCAGCAGCTCACTCACCAGCCAGACCGTTACTACGGTATTTTGCTGTGTGTTTTAGCATCAAGTTTTTTTAGCCAATCAGCACCAGTCGGCTGTTTATCGGCAGCAGCAACAAAATGCGTGCTACAACCAGACTGGTATGAATTTATGATCCCATCTTTCCAAGTTATATCACAGCTAAATAGCTTATTTTTAGGGGCTTGGCAAAATCAGGCTCACGCGTTCCGACCGAATTCAAACAACGTGCAAGCCGAGCATTACTTTAATGCCAACCAGCAGGGTAATTACTTCACGCCGTTCTTACGCTAGAAGAGTTGACGTGTTTTTACATTGGCCATACGTAATTTACGATCTATGGCCCATAACCACGTAAAGATTTCTAACTTTAGCTTTCCATGTCCAACATCAACTGCAGCAGCAGCAGCAGCAGCAGCAGCAGCAGCAGCAGCACAACTACAACTGGATGCAGATGAGGGATGGCGGATACCAATATTAGGCACTCCCAAAGGGCGTCCGGTCACTACCCCGAAAGTCACTACCCCGAAAAGTCATTACCCCGAAAAGTCACTACCCCGAAAAGTCACTACCCCGAAAAGTCACTACCCCGAAATCGTTTACCCCGAAAAATGACAGCATTGTTTTTCCCGGAAAAATCCAGGTTTCATGCGGATTTCCAATGAAAATCATGCAAATTATTTCGGCGTAGTGACTTTCCGGGGTAGTGACTTTTCGGGGTAGTGACTTGTCGGGGTAGTGACTTTCGGGGTAGTGACTCCACCCCCTCCCAAAGTCATCTGTATCTAATGATGCTGCTTTAAAACCTTTTTACCATTTTGATTTGTGCCTTGCAATTGACCCGAAATTTTTTTGGAGATAGCTGCTTTAATGTTTAAATTGTTCTGCTTAGAAAAATGTCTGGTCGTCTATAGAAATTGTAGATCATAATTTTCGTGATGGTCTTTGAGTCCCCAATTCTCTTAAACTGCAATATTTTTCAGGAACTGCGGCAATATTCAATTTCAATTAATCCCCGATTTTGTGTTGCTTTTTCTATCAAACTTCATAATCTTGAATGCATTTATTTTTTGTCGTATTTAGCTTCCTCTAGTGCTTTTTCAACAATAAACTCTCGTTCAAAAAACCTGTATTTACATTCAGCAATTAATGTACATCAAGAACTTTAAAAAAACCGGATACTTCCGCAAAAAAAAGATACGTGCTTTTTATTTCGTGCTCCGGTCAAAGTGCACGCGAACAAAGTAGCGAATACGGGCCTGAAAATTGCAAATTGAATGCCATGTTTTCCGAAATCCTATACCTGATTTGGGTGATATACGGTATACTCGTTGAGCTGCAGCTTGCCTTTTCTTCCCGGGACCTTTTTCAGAGGTCCGATCGGGACACGGACGTCGTCGACCCTAAAAAATTAGCTCTAAATGATCCGTTTTATTTAAGCTTACATGATTTTATATCCTTCCTCATCGTCAAATTCTTCACATTCCGGAGCTTTTCGTCCCTTGCCGATAACCGAATCTTTGCCTTCAGGAAGGTCTCGAGCATTGAAATCGGGCCCGGCTTTTTCTAGGGGGTTGCCGAGGGAGACCTAAAGAAACTTATTTTTTAAGGCGGAATTCGTTAAAGGTATAAAATTCTATGGAAGCTAACCTCAGCCAACATCAACACACCATCTCCAGAATGCGGAATATGGCAATAGACGGCCGATTCGGAGGATGCGTCGGCAAAATAGAGGCCACGCCCGAACATGAAGCCTGAAGCCTTTTCTGAATTTTGGAGGGATTATGGGTGTCGTGTACTTTTTGTGGGCGAGAGAGACAGAGGGAGAGAGAGAGAGTGAGTGAGAGAGCTGATAGGTAGGTAGAGCGAGAAAGCAAGATAGAGAGAGAAGAGAGAGAGAAAGAGAAAGAGAGAGTGCGAGAGTGAAGAGGGAATGTCAAATAATCTGATCCAAATTTCCAAAATCTCACGATCGTTTGGTGTCTCAGGACGTGCCACTTGCAGCTCATGAGCAAGAACCCCAAAAACAGCAGGCAGTCTCGAACCGTGCCAGAGTAGCATCCTTAATTTTTGACTACCTTTCCTTGCAGTGCTGTTCTTACTTGTTCCCCAAATCCTTGTAATAAGGCGCTTCCTTCGGATTCTTCACCTTCAACAGCGTCACCATACTCATGTCAAATTCGTGTGCCGGTGAGTGGTTCATGTTGAGGTATTGATCGATTACCTAACAAGTAAGACCAAGTTAATAACTAAAATTTCTTAAGCGTTTTTTGTACTTTGTATTCCTCGGAATCTGGCTGCACCACCTCCAACTTCAGCTTTTCGGCCTTGTAAAGAGCATCGATGTGGTTTGTCATGCCATTTGCCTGAAATATATTGCGTAATGGGTTAGCCCTAATCTGGTAAAAGCCGTAATTTGGTCAGACAGGCAAGAAAGCGAGATTACTACCTCGGTAGCTTCGGCTTCTTCCATTCTTCGGAGGGCGATTTGGACCTCTGCGAGCGTATTCAAAAGTAGGGCCTTGTCCTTGATCAAGTCGCTGTTATCGATTACTGGTGGGCCCTGATCCCTATAAAACCGGTGTATTTCACAACAAAAATTTCGGTTTTTAATATTATCCTAAATTTAACGCGAAAATAAATATGCTGCTTCAAACCTACCCAAAATTGTGTGGAATGTGCTCGTAAAAGCAGTCACTCGCTTCTTGTAGCGAAAGTTTGCAGGGCTAAAAACCCGGATTATACACAAAAAAAGTGCGGAATCGTATATTAAAATTCGTATATCTTAAACTCTTAAACCCAGTTCTAATTTTTACAGAGAATTTTTCGCGTTCAAAGGCAATTTTCAACCCACAAGTTCCTTAGCCATTTCCGCCTCAATTTTCCGCAAGCATTCATATCCCTTCTCAAGCTGTCCTGGGGTTAATTTCCCTGAAAATAAAGTTTATTTTATTTTATAACAGCCATATCACCAATCGGCATCTCCTCCGAGTTATCGTAATGCTCCTCGATTTGTTTGATCCCAGCGGCAAACATCTTCCGGTCGGTGATCAGCTCCAGAAAGCTTTTCAGCTCCTCGGGAAGACGGCTTTTAGCGTGCTTAAAAAATATAATTTTCTTAATGTAGCCTACCGTAGCCTGTTGTTCCTCCTGCGATTCCATTTTCTCTTCAGGTGATGGTGATTTTCCGAATTGATCGGCCTAAAAAATCCAAAAATCATTTTTGCATAGTTTTTTGTTACCGTAACTATGCGATATTTTCCGTGGACAGCTCCCAAGTTGCGGTCAGCCCAGTCAAGGCCGCTTTTTGAGTGGAACTTTGTGCAGAAGGTCTAAAAAGCCAAAAAAATTAAAATATGGCATTAGTAAGAAACGTAATACGGTAAAGTTCGTCCCCAAAAAAACACCTTGATGATGTTCTTCTTATCGTACGACTTGACGAGCGCTTTTCTGCCTGGGTATCCTGTGCGTCCCCACCAGAAAAGGCAGCTAAAAAATTAAAAATGATATTTTATTATTGAATATAGGTCTAATTACATCAAACTTTGTAATTAAACCTGTTTGGGTAATATATTCGAGCTGAAAGGTTAATTAGAACATTCTAGATAGAAATAATAGCTCAACAACGCGTTAAATAACCTGCATAACATTTATTTAAGCCTATCATTGCTAAATTAATTTCTTAAATTTAACTCTAAGGTCTTTAAATTAAAGCCACGAAAAAAATATCAAAAATAACTGAAGCCGAACCGCCAGAACCATCACTTTTAAGCCGCGCTGACCCGCCGAGTGCTATGCCCTTTTCCCCGCGAACACCCGCACTTTTGTGGGGCCAGAAAATATTTTGCAGGGCCTCGAATTTCGCAAAATATTCACCCGAATTTCGCGTCGGGCAGTCTGAGCGCCTGCATGGCATAGTACTTGTGATGGTTATGCGTGTCGTCGTACTGGAGCATGACGGAATAGGCCGAGGAGCCCACGTCGTCTGCCAGCACCGACACCATCGGGCCCTTCAAAGGAAGAAGTTATTACTACTGTATTTATGGATGGAAAAGCTAAAACTCTTCTTTTATAGCTAAATATTTACCATCGTTTAAACTATAAAATACATTGAAAAACATTAAGAAACGTTTTATGCTCAATTAGAGCTTTCACCCGCCGGCTCGGCTTAAAAATATTTCATCGCTGAACAAAAATGGAATAAAAAGTGCTATTAAAAATCTAATAGCAATCGGTTTTAATGCCATAACGCCACCATATTTTAAGAATTCACTTACCTTCACCGGACAGCACTCAAAAACCGGAACATCATCGCAAACCCGAATCCCCGGAGCGTGCTCCCGAAGAACCTTCGGCTTCGGCTTCTTCACTTCTTTCTTAGGATTGGGCTTCGCTTTGTCAGTGGCTTTCTTTTCCGTTTTCTGGAAAGAGCGGACGAGCTTGCGTTCAGCATTTTTGTCAGTTGGTGTTGGCTTGGGATTCTGAAAATGCTTGGAAAATTGGGAAGAATCCAGAGAGGACAAAAGTTCTGGAACTAAGCTTTGAAGCTAAAATAAAAATTATTTTCAAAGCATTAAATGTAACCTAAATCTGAAAAAATACGTTACAAAGAATAATACACGCTGAAACAATGGAAATTCGTACAATAACATAGATTCTTTGTGGAAATCATCTAGCTTTCCCAACATCTTGAAACCAAACAAATCGACCGAGTCCACGCGAAAAACTGCGCCAACTCGCCTACCTTCACTCTTGTAGCTCCGGATTTTTTCGGAGTAGACTTGAGCGTCTTGGCGGGCTTAACCGACTTGGAGGCCTTCGTTGTGGTGGTAGTGGCAATTTTTCGGGTACGCGGACGAGCGATCGGCATTGTTATTACTGTAGGTATCGAGAGTACCTTAAGGTGTCAATGTTGTAAGTAGATAGCAATGTGGAAATCCAGATGCGCCGACTTGTTTTCGGCACCAGCCAAGCCCCGCCTATTCGGCCTTCGATTTTTCTGTTTTTGCAGCGCGGGGGGAAGCCCTGGGCTGGGCCAGAAAAAGGAAAAAGATTGGCGTAAACAGGCCCCCCTGCTGCCCTTACTGCTGGTGTTGACCACGAGGCTGAATGGGACACTTGGGTACGTGCTAGCCGGGGGACGTTCGGGGGTAAAAAGGGAATTTGCGTCCGCGGGATGTTCCGATTGTGAGCATCATTAATTTACCAAAAGAGCATTAAAAATACACCAAAAAAAATGGGAAACCTTAAATTACCACAAAACGGAAAGAAATAGAACAAAATCTACGCGAAATGGCGCAATAACGCATCGATTTTGCGTTAAAACATCAGAAAACCTACAGAAAAAGCAACGGTTTTAAAACTGATGACATCACGTAATATGATCTACCATTGCATAATTTATTCGGTAAGCCAAGCTCTAATCTGCAGCGAAACTTCCTCTTCGGAGCTAAATAGTGATACGCCGAATTTGTGTCGCCCGCAAAGTTTTTTGTACACTAGATTCTTCGCTACGTTTTTCTAACGCTTTACCTTTTATTCCAAAGGAGCCTATTATTGGCAAAAAGATACATCACTTTCCCCTTTCCTCCTCGGCCCTACGGCATCGCTTTCATCGACGAACGCCACTTTCTTCAAACCCGAGAGCGGACGAAGACCGTTCCCTCCTTTCGCGGCCCTGTCCATATATCGGCCCCCGGGCGCCCGCTGCCTCGTGGCCGGATGGTCTAGGGGTATGATTCTCGCTTCGGGTGCGAGAGGTCCCGGGTTCAATTCCCGGTTCGGCCCAGACTTTTTGCCCTTTCACCAGTTGCTCGGAAAAAGTAGTGCCACCCCTTTTGTACATATGCGACTTGTAAACTACAAAATTTAACAAGGTTTTTCGCTGGAATTATTTTTGTGGTTTATTTGCAGTAGGCAGGCAAAAAGGTTATTTGAATAAGACACCAATTTGAATCCCAGCTCGTGTATTTGTTTGACGAGGGCGGCACCTGCGAGGTGTTTTAGGCCCCTTTCCAGCCGAAGCTTCCAGTGGCCGGATGGTCTAGGGGTATGATTCTCGCTTCGGGTGCGAGAGGTCCCGGGTTCGAATCCCGGTTCGGCCCAGACTTTTTGCTTTTTGGTTTTCGGATTGATAATGGGGAGCAGAATTTAGAGATTTTATCATTGTGGCGTGATCTTATTAAAAAAAAACTAGTTTAAGCGTGTTAAATTACGATTTTTAAAGGCTGCTTCCTTCCAATTTCAAACCCGCTCAAAATCCGGGCAATTTCCGGAGCCCCCGTTTTCCAGAATATTTATGCCCGAGCTTATACCCCCCGGCAGCTATACTAATGGCCGGGGACAATTATTGGGCGCTGCGATGGGAACACGACGGGGTGTTCGCTCGCCATGGCTAAAATGTGAGCCGAGCGAGACCCGTAGGTTTAGCCGACCGCCGATCGATAGCCCGGGGGCATGTGAGCGCGCGCACCCTAGTTCGACCCCCAGCAACCATTCCAAATTTAACAAGTTTAATTTTGGCGCCAATTTCGTTGAAAGTGGCATCAAAATGATCGTAAAAGCCTCAGCAAGTCAACCATTGGGATGATAAGTTTTCATTTTACGTGGTTGCCTTAATTGGGCCAGATCAGCGCATGGAGTTTGTAGTTTGCGGTTTGACAGTCTTGTTTGTGAATTGTGTGACTAAACTATTAGATTAGCGCTTTTATGTTGTGGTTTGACCTTGATAGGAGGGAGCCATAAAAATTTTCCATTTTTTACTCTCAAACCTTACCTTTGTGAGTTGGATATCCCGGTACATCTTGAAAATATCCATTTCTGAGACTTTTTTAGATTAATGCGGGCATAAAACTGAATATACAAATACTGTATAAGTTTTCCTTGTCCAAAACTTTAGGACTATTAACTTTAAGAAGCGGATGAAGCGTTTCATGTGGTTTTTGCATTAATTTTAACAAATTTGAGTTTCTAACCCTTTTTTTTGCTTCTGAAAAACGTACAGCGATTAAATTCAGCAAAAATCCCCCCGTTTTCTTCCCCAAAAAATCGATGCTGATTCCCCGGCGAGCCCGCTCAATGAGTAAGCCGTTCCCATTTTCGGACTATAGCGGTCAGTATAATTTTTAGAATACTTACCAGCAAAAATTCCGTCGGGGATTCTTGTAGTTTTTAGGGAAAAGTATAGTTTTGCTTATTAAATTTTTTACATGCATAATTTAAAAAAACTTGTTTTCCCTATTTTCTGGTGTAATTCTTGACAGCCTGGCTCGAAGAACAAGGGTTAACGAAATACCTTAAAAATTACGCAACGTAATGTAAGCGCGAAAGTCGGCCGATACCCGATATATTGGTGTAATATCTACCTATACTAACACCCTTAATATTCGCCATGTTAGCGCTGTGGCCCCGAGCAGCCCGGACCCCCCGTCCGTCGTCCCATAACATTGCGCCCTTTCCAACCCACTTCCACGCGGCTTAAATATCGATCGGTTTCCCAAGGCGAGTCGTGCAGCTGGCCACCCTTTTAACCCCCGATAAACAATTCCATAACATTTTCGTGGCGCTTTTGCAAATATATCTACAAAACTACCCGAATTACAGCGTAACTTTGAGCTACAGTACTTTAGGAGCTCGAGTTCACGATTTGCGCTTTTTAACTGTGAGCAAGACGGAGTTTTGATAGAAAAGATGTGTGAAGTAGAATTAGATTGATTTTTCCGGAAAAAATCGAGCAGGACTTCTTGTAAACCGGCTAGCTATAAAATACTAGTCGTGGTTAGGAAAATTCGTACCCAAAATAGGGAAATTTCGCTATTGGTGCAGCGTTATAATTTTTGCTTTATAGCCTGTAGTTGGCGTGCGCCGGCTGTAGTTTGTAGTTGCTGTTTAAACTTGAGGGGACGCGAGTCTATCGATTCAGATGATAAACCCATCCAAAACCCACCATTCACTATTCTTTTTTGCGTTTTTTGCGAAGTAAATAAGCTATTTTGTTGTTTTCGGGGGATGATTTTCAGCTAAATAATCACTTCGCATTTCTAATCTGCTCTACTTTTGTAATATCTTGCTCTCCCACCTTTTATGCATTTATCATTAGTTTTTTTTGCAGACATGGAGGCGAGTTCGAGCTTCAAAATAGAGCCCGACACCCCGGACAGTATGACCGACGACCCGGAATTTATGAGTTTCGGCAATTTTGAGCAGATCAAGCCTCGGAAACCAGTGGTGAGTCCTCTAGATTCATTTTTACGTCAAAATCTAGTTTCAAAAACCGCTACCCGAGCCGCGCGAGCCACGAGAACCCCGCGAGCCACCACAAGAAGCCGCCTTCCGAACGTTTGCCCAGAAATTGGCGGGCCCGAAACGCGAGGGAATTTTGTGTCATGTAGGTTTATGATGATTTCGTTGATTTATGTTTTTCCAAGGGTTAATATCTTATTTTAGGTTTGCAATCGTCGCCTACAGCCCAGCAATTACACACAAGCGCTCGGCAGGTTGAAACCTCTGATTGAACATGTGAAAATTCACTTGAACAATCGAAAATATCAATGTAGCGGTATGCTTTTGTATTAAACTTGACTATTGTCATTTTAGAGTGCAGTTACTTGGCGAAAACTTATGTTTGCGCATCGATCCACGTGAGAAGGATGCACGAGTCGACGGGTGGCGGTCATGTGATTGATAATACGTACGTTTTCTTGCATAATCGTTGCTGTTATAAGGTATCTTAATGTTTATATTCCTTTAGAGACGAGGAATTCCTATATGAAGTCTTCGAGATGGCGAAAATCGCCTTTCCGGAGCATGCCGCCGAGTTCGAGACGTATTTCGAGCAGAACAAGCGCGCCTGGTTCACGGCCATCCAGATCAAGAAGCGCCAGGCGACGAATCCGGAGGGCGAGGAGACTGTCAAGCAAGCGTTGAAGAAGAAGTACAATGAGTCGCCAGAGGTAGAAAATTTGATGAAATTTGCAAAATTGAGGAGTGGCATCTTGGAGCGTATAACATTACTTTTTTCAGGGAATGGCCCTCAACGAGATCCTCAAAAAGAGCCTGGAGGCTGATTCGTCGTTGGGAGACTTTGAAAAGACGTTTTTGCACTTGACGCAGACGCAAGATGGCCATCCGAATTCGATGAACAATCGAGGTGAAATGGAAGAGGAAGGTGGGTTAAATCACTTAGTTTTGAACGTAAAATCATTTTGCTGATCTTCACCACGACGATTTTCACTATGCCGATTTTAGCCCATCGATATGGTCGATTTGGCAGAAATAAAATTGGGTATTGTGAAAATCGGAATGGTGAACTCTTTTTTAATCATGTGCTTAAACTTGTCTCACAATCATGATTTTGATTTTTCAGAAGATTCCTCTGGCCTAACCTCAACAATGGACGCCATCCAGATGCTTTTCGGCAATTTTCAAGAAGAGGCCCCAGCAAATGATGAACCTTCCGCACAACAAGCGACAGTTTTTGATCCGAAGGCGGAGACAAAACCCGAGCTTATCACAATCCGAACGAAGCTCGAGGCTCCCGTCAGTCCGCCTCCGCAGAAGAAGCAAAGACTTTCGGATATTTTGATGGGGCTTGTGAGTTATCAAGTTTTAACCTCTGAAAAATATCTTTTAGGGCCTCCCTGACGTCCCGCCACAACTCCCGCAACCTGCTATGAACCACGACATGACAATCGGGGAAGTGAAAAAGCTGCACCAGTTGCTTGTCGACAAAGAGAAGCGCTTGGTGGCCACGAGGAGGACGTTGGTGATGGCCCGAAGTGCGGAGAAGGTAGAATTTTAGAGCTCAACCGGATGCATTCTTTTTTTCCAGGCGGCCGAGATGCGGGTGAAAGAGCTGGAGGAGGAGAATCGACGGCTGCTCAAAATGCTGAGTATTCAGGGAATGGAGCGCGAGCGGTTGATTGAGACGGTAGCGATTTCAGGGGCGTTGACATTATCGGGGGAAGAGAACAAATTTTTCTTTAAGATCAAATGTTTCGAATATAGATAGAGGAAGTGCTTCTATAAGCGCTAAAAATTATAAAGATAAATTTTTATGAACGGTAAAATTAATTTTCATTTCTCGTTTTTTATAAATTTTTTAGACATTTTTAGATAGTTTTTTTTTCTTTGTGATATAGCCAAATTTACTCAGACCACTATTAAAATAATGGTTTGCGTAAATTACTGGGCATTCTTGGGCTAATAGAAAAATCCGTCGCAGCGAAGGGGCATATTTTTCAATTGCTTTTAATACTTACTGTTTAAAAGAAGACACTTTTAAAGCGGGATTGATATTTACGACTACATTTAAATATTCTTTTTTATATGTATTTTTCAGGTCGACGAGCTGAAGACTCGGGTGATCACGCTGGCCGGTGCGGTTGATTCGTAGGGCAGCAGCAGCAGGGGGGAACTTTGGATCGAGCGGCGGGCCCGCGATATCAGGAATTCCATTTTCCAGTTTAATTAATTTATCGATCACCCAATATGCTGTCATTATGTGCGTATCGCGAAAAGATTGTTTGTCTTTAAGTATAAAATTTTTTGGAACATTTGCAGCAGGGCTTTATTCGGCAATCACAAAGAAGACGGAACGTATATATTGGACTAGTTAGTTAGCAGAAAGTGGAGGCGATTTTGGAGGAGCAGAGCTTCAATCCCAGGGAAAGTAGTGCAGGGCTTCGCCGTGTCTGTACGATTCGAGCAACACGCGGACCTCCCTCTCGAGCTTGAACCAGTTCTATAACAAGTGGGCATCAGCGACGGCACCGGAAGTGGAAAATTTCGCTCAAGCAAATGTTGCATTTCCACCGCAGTTTCTTGCTCAACACGTACCCGATCATAGTCGAAGTAGAGCGAAGAGGTGATGGCCTAAAAATGGGCAATTTTCACGATTCAGGTATCAATCGAAAGTTCCCGAAGCGCTGAGGAGAAGTGTTTTCTTTGATTTCCGGAATCCCGTATTTTTTAGATTTAGATATGTTTAGAGATTATATTTTTTAGGTTTTTTCAAAGTTTTTTGACGCTTTCGCATTTCTAAAACTTAATTTCCGCATTTTTGCACGATTTTGCCTGGCGTTCCAACGACAGTTTTTTTTAAAGCAATTTGTAAAAAACAGGGCCTAGTTTTCAGGCATTTGAAAAAACAATAAACTACGTCCCGCTGCGAGCGGGAAGACTTTTCCTGCGAAACCCACGAAATCACAGGTGGCATCCCGGCGCGAGACGGTATCGTAGGCGTCGAGGTAACTGCGCGCCTTGCTCTCCAGCTCGATCGTATGCTCGGGGATACAGACCAAAACCTGGGAAACAGTTGCTAAACGTTTTTACACCATGAGTAAACGTGAAAAGTTAACAAATTTTGATGACAAAAATATAAAAGATAAGGATTTCGACTAAAATCGCCGATTTTTTGCAAAAATGTCGACTTTTCAAAACTTCTTAACAGTTTATCTAGTTGAAATATAGTATATTTTACCAAAAACTCTATTAAAACACTTTCTATTAAGTTACTAGGCATTTTTTGACGTATACAAAAAACTAGGTCTCCCCGCAAATGCAAAAACGTCCATTTTTCCGATCAGCTACTTTTTGATTAAATGCTTTTCGCTCAAATGACGGTGAGTCAATAGCTGACCTCGTCCTCGTCGTCCTCGGCGTCCTCGTTGATGTAGCCCGATTTCAGCTCCGAGTAAGTTTGGCAGAGCGAGGCGAACGATTCGGCATGGCGCTTGCTGTCCTCGAAGGTACGCTCGCTCAAGCATTAATCCGTAAGAATAATTTCGGGAACAACACCTACCGGCGAACCCAATAGTCGCAACCACACAACAGGAAAAGCTGAGGCTGCACGCTGATCACCAGTCCTTCACGGCTCTACGGTGCGAGTGCGCATTGAATTTGGGTGGCTTTTGCATTATCGGGGGGGGGGGGCGGGGCGCATTTTTCCTTATCAAGTTTTGTCATTGAAATAAAGCAAGAGGTTTTCAACGTTTCCTTATCGCAAAAACCTCGGAGATTTTTAGTAAATATGACAAAAAAAAAACAATTTTTCTACTAGATTGGCCGCTTTTCAACTTGGCTTCGAAGTTTAAGTTTTCAAATTATAATGCTAGTAATAAATTTCGTTAATTTTAACAAATCTCCCCCGATAAGGCGAAAGAACCACCAATGCAAAAACTATCGATCAGTTTTATCCAAAAACGATCGATTTTCGACCAAAAATTCGAATTTGGAGACTAATTGTTAGAGGATTTCCACTTTCCACATAGTAAAACTTTATGATAAACCCTATCGAAACATGTACCATTATGTTACAAGGCATTTCTGGAATTATATAAAAAGTTAGGTCCCCCCTATAATGCTAGAGAACCGAATTTTGAGCTGTCATTGCCAACCGTCTCCGAGCGACGAATCAGCCACGCGCTGCAAGACGTGGCAAATGTTGCGGGAAGAACGTGGGGCCGCCTACCTGTCATGGAGTCTGAAGCAGCCCAGCAAGCCGGCGGTCAAACCCGTCAAAATCTCGCGCAGCTCTGCAATAGCGAATAACTCCGTGTTCCGCCCAGCTATAGGTAACCGTCGGCTTTGAAGGCTGTTGGGACGAGTATGCGCGCCGTGTTGATGGGCAGGATCATGATGCAAGCGATTTCACGTTCACCATTCAGCCATTCCTACCAAAAAATGTTGCTCCAGGCATCTAACCGGAAATCCTTAAACTCAGCACCGAAATTCATAACACTAACAAATACAGGGTGTCCCAAACCCCCCCCCCCCTACCTAGCGGGCCGGAGACGTGTCCGATTTCTACGATTTTGGTATCTATCGAGATCTCTTGACAAGGCGAGTCCAGCACGCTTTTCGAAATTTTGAAATTCCCGATTTTTTTCTTACTTTTACTAATATTTTCGCGAAAAGGGCTGCATTTCTGATGCTTTTCGGATAAAAGGGTTTTTTACAAAAATCACAATCTATGGATTTTAACGACTTTTCCGGAACCGCAAAGACAGCTTTTGCAAACCATTTGAAAAAACAGCTTGGTTGGCGCTTAAACCGGTTAAATTGGGGTTTTGCCAAAAAAGCGTCGCCTTGTTGCATAAAAAATACCAAAAATTGGGCAAAAATTCCGGAATTTTAAAATTTCGAGAGGCGTGCTGGACTCGCCTTACCGAGAGCTCTCGATGGATACTAAAATCGTAAAAATCGGACACGTCTCCGGCCCGCTAGATAGGGGGGGGGGGGATTTTTTTGGGACACCCTTGTACAGGGCATCCCAAAATAAGCCCTCCCCCCCTCTAGCGGTACGCAGCGATGTCCGGTTTTTACGATTTAGGTATCTATCGAAAACTCTCGACGAGTTGAGGAGATTCGTTCTCTCCGATCTTTGACATTCCTGAATTTTTAATCTGATTTTTATCGTCTTTGGGGCGTGAATTAGACAGTTTTCCGAGAAAAAAATAATTTAACCGGTTTCAGTCCGATCCAAGCTGCGTTTTCTAAGAGCCTTGGGCTGCCAGGAAAGGTGGAACAATTAGGAAAATGGGGGTTTTTGTTAAAAACACTTGCGTGGCAAAACGATCGAAAATCTAGCCAAAAAAATTGTGCACAAGGTGGACTGGGGCTGACCCGGCACTTCTGGCATTAGCAAAGCTACATAACGGTAAGCCACCCACCGCAATCATCGTACGCAGAATATTGGCCGCCATCGAACCATATTCTTCAATCGGCCACCCTACGAACTTGGGATCATTGTTTTGCCAGGTCTCCACGTCTAAAGAGCTACTCAATAATCAAAAAAAATCAATCCCCTCATTTAGCACACGAAATTAAACAAGGCAGCACTGTTAGCGGCGGAGCTATTTTTTATTTTCCCGTTTAGAACTAACACATATAATATAAAGTGGATTTCAGTAAAAACTTTCTATTTTTTGATTGCTAGGAAGTAGTGAAATACTTAAAAAATTTGAAAATTCGAGAATTTGGTTCTGTTTTGGTCATTTTCATACATTATATTGTCTTACGTAAAAGGCATTTTTTCCGCGTTTTGATCTCCACACATAGCCTAGATTTTTCCATTAAGTCGTACAGAATTGCTGGGAAAATCCGCGCCTCCCCCCGCTAACAGTCCAGTGCAAGGAAAGCTCAAAACTTTCCAGGTAATTTCCACCAGCAGTACACCTTCATCGCCGGAACCTTTGACTTGACCACCTCCGGCAGCTCCAATAGGTATAGATCAGTGAGGTTCACGATCAGCTCTTTGACACTCTGAAAGGGGAGGTTGAATAAAAACCCGAGCTATCGGAAAGTCAAATTTCTCATGCAGAGGCCCGGTTAGGAATATGGGTTCTTTAGGATTCCCGGGGGAAAGTATTCCCGGGCGGGGGAACCAATTTTTTTCCTGGTGGTCCCGGTTGACCTAGTAATCAAATATAAAGTGTTTTCGGATTGTTTTTAGTAAGTTTTAACTATATTTAAAGCAGAAAAACTTTCAGAAAAAATTTAGAAAAATGTTTAAAAAAGTCGAAAATTTGGTCATTTTGGGTCTTCCCCCCCCCCGCGAATTCTAAAGGTTCTATAGGATTTTTCGATCTAATTTTTATTTTTTTAATTTTTTTAGTTAAAATGTGTGTAGTTTTTCTGCTTTTTCTGCTTCTGCCCCCGGGAATCCTAAAGAACCGGAATATGATTTTCGAAAATGTGCAGGAAGGTTTTGAATGAACCCTTGTCATGGATCTGTTAAGCCAAGCCGTAAGTTTTTGTATTAAAATTTGATGACGAGCATTTGTCGAATTTACACCAGAACCGGCCAATTTTTCCAATGTTCCCTACCGGAAATCGGTTCACGTCGTGGACAACCTTCCGCAAAAGCCCGTCGGGGTGATCCAGACTCCAGTCGACCACGACGACACTGGCGTGGAAGTTGCCTGGACGGAGTTGTTATCATAATGCCGTAATTCGTGATGCCGAGATTCATATTAGCGAAATTGCTGACCATCCGGGAACGGCGATCCGCCAACAAAATCGTGAGCGTCAAAGCTGTAGGTCGTTTCCTTAATATTCGACGTCCAGGGCTCACCGCCGTGCGACAACCGAGTGGTGTGGTACCACTGAATGTCAAATTGGTTCTTTCGCATTATCGGGGGGGGGGGGGGGAAGATCTTTCATAAAAACCAATTTTTTCAATATAAATAGCGTCGGCTTTCTAAACCGTTTTTCCGATCTCTTAGCGTAAAAACTTTCCCAATTTTGATGAACAAATACAAAAAATATCCATATTTTCGAAAAATCTTTAACGGTTTAAAAAGTTTTTCTGATTAGAATATAGCTTTATTTTACCGAAAACGTTACGAAAAATTTTTATTAAGTAGTTAGGCAATTCTAGATTAATATAAAAAAATTGTCTCTCACCCGACTCAGACTGTCGAATTTTTAAAAGTTTTCAGATAGTTTTTTAGAGTTGAAATCGAGTTATATACAGCTAAGACGCTATTAAAACACTCTCTATTCAGTTACTAAGCCTTTTTATACGTTTTTATAGATTCATATAAAAAGGTTCGGTCTCCCCCCGATAATGCTAAAGAACCGGAATTTCCAGTTCGTTAGGCAGATTGCAACAGAAATCACTGACCAAGCCGACGCGTGAGTTGTTGCAGAGCATCGTGACGTGCTCGATGTAGGTGCCAAGGTCGCACTTTTCCATCAGGCCCGTTCCCTCGAGCATCAGCTGGCAGTACTGTTCATTGCTGAACACAACCGCTTTTTAGGGACTTAACGCCAAGCTATACTTGTCACCATTCGCCACACCATATGCCCAGTTGTCAGTGGGGAGCCGTTTCACGAACCAGAAGAAGCTGAATCGAGTAAAAAGTGTCGAAAGAGCGCGAAAAAAGCTCGGTAAGTTCAGTTTACCCCCCCCCCCCAGCCGACCCCCAACTTTTGTATCTCGGTCATCTGTTACCCTACAGTTTTGTGAAGTATACCAAAATGTTCGTCTTTATCATGCGAGTATTTTGGTATATTTCACAGGCCCTGACGACATTGGGGTGTCGAGATACAGTAGGTGGGGGTCGGTTGGGCGGGTCAGGGGGGAACTGAACCACAGCCAAACGCCCACATCTGCTCTTGCTGGCTTTCTTGGCCCCAACCAGCGATCACCCAGAACTTGGGAACGGCTGTGATGAAATCCTAGAAAGCGTACTGGACTGTTAACGGGGGGCGAGGGTACTCGACTACAGGGTGTCCGAATAAAAAAAAACTCTAACTCTAACTCTAACTCGACGCAGACGTATCGGTTCGGAACGATTGATACACCATCGAAAGCCATTGAAATAGCCCAGCACCCAGCTCACCATCAGGATCGGCGCGGCTCGAGCCATGTACAGCATATCGGGCATTCGCAGGTAATCAACAATATGCGATTGGATCTCCACCGGAAGGCGTAGCAGCTGCTCGACGGACAGGTAGCAAGGGTCTTGCAGCTCTTCGATCGCTGTCGGTATTCTGCGAATCTAAAAACCGTTCGTCCGGTCACTGCTATCCGGGGCCGGCCTCGGCCGAATCGGCTCGGCCCCGGAAACGAAAAATCCTCATTTGCATCTGAATAACACCGTTATTATGCATATTTGCTAAGGAAATTCCAGATATTGCGAACTAAAAACGGGACTTGGCGGAAAAAGCACGGATAGCCGTTTGCAGCCTTCTTTTTTTGAATACCGGATATGAAACATTAGACTGCGGCTTTTTCGGGGCCCGGGCCGACAAGCCGGGCCGCATGCTGATTTTTTGGGCCGAAAAAGCCCCGCAGCCCGGCCCCTTGCCATGCCTGATATTTTGTAACAGGCTTATGCGGGATTACTGGCGAAAATTAGGCTTTCCCCACGCGCCAAAGTCCCAGTCCCCCGGCTAACAGCACAGTACAAAAGCGAAGCCAACCCGAGAAAATCGAAGACTTACACAAACTTTCATCGGGTAGGAGACGGGTTGCGGCTTGGTGGGGAGTTCATCGTTCAGGCCGACCACCCGGACACGCCACAGAATCAAGGTTTTTCAAATTTAATGTTGAAAACAGCAAATTTTGTAAAATCTGATACGCGTGCAGCCATCCCCGAGATATTTCGCGCCTAATGACGTATCATACGTACCTTAAAATTCCTTCCCGATCGAGCTCCCCCCCCCGGCCCTGAACAAGAACGACGTTGTTCAATGTTCCATGAGCGAAATCTAATTTTTGAGGTTGGTAAAATTTACGCTGATCGCGGCCTCGGGTTTTCTGGACGGCTCGCTGACGTGCCAGCAGCACTAAACGTGCAGAATTAATATTATTAGGTCGACTTGAAAAATTCTGGCTTAGGTAAAATCCTACCTTATATAATTTTGGCGCGTATGTGTGTGTGTGTGTGTGTGTGTGTGGATGTCACTTTCGAGGCCCGATTTGAGGGCCTTCCCATGCATAAAATGCCCTAATTCTCCGTCACCCGGGGGAATCGACCCTTCTGTTTCCGATGACGTTCTCAGAATTTTGTTACAATCCAAGTTTACAAAGTTAAAGCCGGTTTTATTCATTTTTGGGGGTCCAGGAGGGCTCATTTGCATAATGCGAAAAAATACAAATTTCCTCATTCTTGCCAGTTGCACTCGCGAGTTTGGTCGGGGGTGGGGGGTCCGAAGGACCCGAGCTATCAGAAAGTCAAACTTTCATGTAAAGGCCGCATTCCAGCGCCCAAGGCCCGCGAAGCGGGTTTTGGGCGCTGGTCCGGCTATAAATATATCATACGTGGCACGGGAAAATTAATGCGATAACTCCCACCACTCCGCAGGACAATTTGAAGAAGTAGCGGAAGAACAAGCTCAGCATCGCAGCCGGTGAAGAGCGCCGCCGTGCGGCGTGTTGACCAGGCGAATGCTGGTATTCTGCCGTCAGTGATATGAAGAGGCATTCAAAAATGTATGCAAATCGAAATTTTAATTCAATTCTCATACCGTGTTCAGTTTTTCCATCTAAAAACTAAAGGACATGTCATGTCATTCAAAAAATGTTTTAATCATTTATTATTCCCAATTTTTGGCTAATTTTTAGCTCCACATGGTCCTGAGCTGCTTGAAATAGATTGTGGCCGCCTCGTCTTGCTCAAATTTCAGCCGATTTCCGTTGACGTTTCGGATGTGGTCCATCGGCTCGATCTGAACATTTTCGGCAAGTTCCAGGCTGGCGTACCTTTTTCTGGAACCAGGAGAGGAAGACGTGCCTGAAATTGGGCTCGGCGAGGATGATCAGCCAGATTTGGGAGACGACCTGAGATATTTTGTAGCCCTTTTTACAACCTCAATACGAAAAAATCTAATTCTTTAATGTTAAAAGGCAGCTCTAAAAGACCTAAAAGTTCAGCTACGGTAAGGGACGAAATTTCCTCTTCATTACCTGTATCACCAGCAAATAGTAAAACCCGAAACTGTAGAACCCGACGTAGTACGGCGGTTGAGCGGCGAGGATTTGATGGTACGTGATGAAAAACATGGCCATGGCACATTTGTAAGGAGCCAAATACAGCAATAATCGTGAGGTACGGTAGGATATTAACGTTTTGTATCTAAAGAGATGCAAATTGGGGCAAAATTCGAAATTTTTCAGACGCTTAAAATCGACCGAAATTGGGTCAAATCCGAAAGACTGGGAAAGAAAAAGCCAGAGGAAGAGAGAGCGGGAGAGTCAGAGGGGGACAGAAAGAGAGTGAGAGAGGGAGAGAGAGAGAGGGCGAGAGAGAGAAAGAGAAAGAGAAAGAGAGAGAGAGAGAGAGAGAGAGAGAGAGAGAGAGAGAGAGAGAGAGAGAGAGAGAGAGAGAGAGAGAGAGCTAAAGTTTAGAACCCACCTGTCCCCGATTGTTGAATATCGAGAATGAAACACCAAGTAATACTCCTTTCTGCACACCCAATAAAACCAAATAAAAAACTTAAAAAATCTTATCTTTCAAACATTTTCATACCATAATCGCCAACAAATGCGAAGAATACACCCCAATATAAATAGCAATAGGTTTTATGTACCCGCTGTAGAACAAGAATTCGGCGATTATCAGAGAAACGAACTAAAAGGTTATTAAAGTTCGTCAAGAAAGAATACCACATTTAGGGCTATCAGATAGGCGAGTCGACTGGTTCTATATTTATTTTCGTAGGTTTCCAGGTTTTTCATAGCAATGCATCGTTCTATCGCAAATCCAACCATCATGTGGATCGCAACACTGGCTACTGGAAATTAGAGATGTTTTTATTCAGATACGATATAGGAAATTTTGCATTTAAGGCAATTTACATATCGTATCTAGATTCAAGCCGGGGCAATCGAGATACGATTATCGCATCTGGGGTAGGCAAGGCTCAAATGAGATACGATATATCGGAATAACATTTGCATATCGGAACAAGCAGAAAATCCGTCATTCCCGTGAATACTTACTCCGTACGGTCTGTCTGCATAAAAAAGCATAAGGTTAGGCGTTTCCGAGAAAAGATCATTCGATTTGCATCCATTTTATCGCCTACCGAGCGCTCTAATTTCCCTTAATCCGATATGCAAAAGTTATTCCGATAGTATCGTAGCTCGGTGGGTCGGATTCCAATTCAGATGCGATTATCTATATAGCATGTAGGATCTTCAAATCCCGATGGCTTATTCAGATGCGATATATCTGGATGCATATCGTACCTGAATAAAAACATCTCTGCTGGAAATCGATAAAATGTATTTTTTATTGATATTTAATCGATGCCAGGGTTGAAAAGCCGCTTCGCGACTTTTCAACCCTGGCCCCGTCTCGGACCCCATACTATTCCCCTTGCATAATTGTCCTCCATTCAATCAGAAGACAAAAAAAAATGAAAACAACCTTTTCTGCCTCTTTATATAGGCGACCACCCACTTCCGGCCTATGCTAATTATCCCTAACAAAGAGGCTTTAACAAAAACCTAAATTTAATAGCGAAAATGGCTAATTTTTAAAAATCTGATATGTGTGCAGTCATCCCTAGACCATTACGCACCTAATGACGTATCATACGTAGCCTAATGCCCGTCCCTTCTTGAGATATCCTCCGGACAGACAGACGGAAGTGGATGCAAAGTGGCACACACACACACACACACACACACACACAAACACACAAACACTATTTTTTTATATATAGTAGGATATTTATCGCCAATTTTATAATCGCGATTCTGCATTACATTATTGAATTCTAGCATTTATGGCAAGAGATTTCGTGTCTTTTTGTAAGAATAGGTTATGGATTCTTTGGCCTGGAATTTCGGCAATAGGCATTACAGCATAACTCATAGGCGAAAAAAGCTAATAATTGCCGATAAGAGCGCATCAAAAAATTATAACTACTGAAAGGCATTAAAATTAGTGGTATATCGGACATTGACAAAAAAAAAATGAAAATTGGGCTTTTCAAAGCCTTGCCAAAAGACTTACCTGTCTCACTGGTCAAAGAGAAGAATCGAAAAATCGTCAAATCGGTCAGAATCCCGCTTTCGGATAGGGCATGTTTTAGCAATCGAACGGTCATCGCTAGAATCCCAGCCGCAGGCTGGATTATTAGCAGCATCGTGAAATTCACATTAAATAGCTAAAAATATCATTAAAGGGATACCCAAGGTTTTGGCGGCAAATATATAGTTATGTATTCCGGGCAGTACAACTGACGCGCGAATTTCGTGCGGCAACAAGGGGCCCATTGCCGCACAAAATTCGGACCCTTTCCAACTTGTGGCGTCCCCATCCCACCCAATGGCTGGCCATTATGGCCTAATGGATAGCATCCAGGTTTACAAAACGGGGGTCCCGGGTTCGACGCCCGCCAGCGGCATGGTTTTTGCTTTTTGAGCTCCGGAAAGGTTGGGCATCCCTTTAAGCTATTTCTATCAGCTGACCAGCTTACCTTCTTGCCCGTCAACATTTTATAAAAAGGCAAAAACGATGCTATCATCACGATTAAACCCAATAGATCTGCCATCTAAATTCGACGCTCAAAAAAAATCGATAATGACCTACCATTAACGTCTCAAAATGTTCCGCAAAGAAGCTCGGCGTCTGGAAGAAGCTGTGGATGTCCATCACGGAAAAGAAGCTCAAAAAATCTGAGTGGCAATTTTTTTGGGGCCCTGATATTGGGCCCGCAGGTTGAGGAATCTGTGGAAGTGGCCTAATTAAAGGTTTCGAGAGGCCGAAAGTGCTCCCCGCTACGCAATTCACCCCCAGATCCCCCCTAAAATGTGGATGAATAATAATGGGTGGGGTTGGATGAATGGGGAATGGGATCAGATATTAGCGGATCAAACGTAAAAAGTGGGTCAGCGGAAATCAAAAAAGTACAGGGTGTTGAAATTAATTTAAGGTCTGCGAGCACGTATTGAAAAAGCGTTGAACATTAGCTTCTTGGCCAAAATATGCGTCCTGGGCACCAAAGCATATTTAGGATGATCCTCCTAAGGCGTTGACTTTGCTTTAAACGCGCTAGGAAGTCGAAATTCACATGCCCGTGGATAGAACCTATTCGTGAACACTAAAGGCCTTCAGTAATTTGAACCTTGTGCTGGGAACAAAAAATTAATCTACAGTTGTAGATCAACTATAATAATTTTGCTGTGGTCTCTGTCCGTCTGTCTGTGTGAAGCCGAATTCAACTCGAAGGGGAAAGGAGCTAGAGCTTAGCTCTCTTCGGATTCGGATAGAGCGTGGCCAGAAACCCCCAAACTGATAAAAAAATTATGAAAAAGATTTAGTTTAAATTATTAAAATTAACTTTGAAAGTGGCGCCTTAATAAAACGAGTGGGGGCCCTCTCCCCGGGAGGCCACGCCCCCTTCCTCTTCGCCCCTCTTCCCCAAGGCCCTTCCCGCGTCCAAATAACTTTTTAAGTTACTTTAATACTTTTAATACTTTTTAATACCTTTTAAATATGTTAATTAATTATTTAAATCATCTAAAGCCATCGGGAAGGTATTTAGGTAGTTTTTGAAGGGGATTTCGGCTAGGGGAGGTATCTAAAGCCATCGGGAAGGTATTTAGGTAGTTTTTGAAGGGGATTTCAGCCATGGGGGGTATCTGAAGCCATCAGGAAGGTATTGGGGGGGGGTATTGATTGAGGTAGGGAAGGATGTGATGGAGTAGGACATGTAGGGTAGCCCGAAGGCCAGATGGTTGCAGTCGCGAAGCGACTGTAACCATCTGGTCATTAAATTATTTAGGATGTTTTCTGAGGCCCTTGGTGACTTAGAGGCCAATTGAATCAGCTGAACAGCTGAATTTCGTACGTTGTAAACTTGACCCTGAACGATGGTTGCGCATTCTCGAAAAGGGTGACAGGGCCAATGGCTAGGTGTATGCATAGACTCAGGATTAAGCATCGGCTTAGGCTTACAAGGAATCCCTATTTTTGAGTCATCGGTAAAATCCTACGAGGCCTAGCTCACTCGATAAAGAATTCCATTCTGTATAAGATGACGTTGTTTTTTCTGCGGAATGGCCATCCATGATTTGATAAAATAACAAAAAAGCTGCACCCGAAGGCCTCTCTTTTTGTTTGAAGGGCACTCAGGGTGAGAGACTATCACTAGTTTTTGAATTTTATAAAATCGGAAACAGCTATTCTGCAAAAATAAGCAACGACATCTTGTTCAGAATTGAATTCTCCCTTGAATGAGCTAATAAGGTTTTGCCGATAACTCAAAAAAGCACTTCTGGTAGGGCCTAGGCTGTGCTTTGGGCTTGGAGTTGGGCTTAGCTCACAAGGAGTGCTTTTTTTGAGTCATCGGCAAAACCTTACGAGACCTAGCTCATTCGATAGAGAATTCGATTCTGAACAAAACCCCGTTGTTCTTTTTTGCAGAATGGCTATCCCTGATTTTATAAAATTAGAATACTAGTGACCGTCTCTTACCATGAGTGCCTTTCGAGCCAAAAGGGAGGCTTTTGGATGCAGTTTTAAAATTTTATAAAATCATAGATAGCCATTCTGCAAAAAAGAACAACGGGGTTTTGTTCAGAATCAAATTCTCTATCGAATGAGCTAGGTCTCGTAAGGTTTTGCCGATGACTCAAAAAAGCACTCCTTGTCAGATCATGCCTAGGTGTAGGCTAAGGTTGAGGGCAGCTTAGGGTTAGGCTTTGGTTTAAACTAATCTCGGTGTAGGATGAGACCCACTTTCCGAAGATCTTTCAACACGCCTGGATGTTATTTTCCTAATTCGGGGCAATGCCATGGGGGGAATGACGTCCGGAAATAACCAGAATCTATTTTTAAAATAGGGTACTCCCAAAATTAGCAGGATGAGGCAATTTTCGAAGCTGTGAGGCACAGAATTACTTGAACCTCAAAAACTAGACAAATCCTATAATTTATGAAATAGCGGTTCCGGCGTCAAAGTCCGTTCCCATGCTACTTGCCGTGTTCTCTCAAGCTAATCAACCCTTTCTCCCGATTTCCCTCAAAGTACTGTAGTTACGATTTATTTTTTCAAGGCCAATTCGACACCAGACACCCAAACAGCATGTTTTTGTGAACAGTTAATTTTTTGGGTGGACGCACCCAAAAAAAATGTCGACAATAGGAAATGCACCTGCCGGACCTCGGCCGGGCAAAAATTGAACCGGTTGAATCGGAATGTTATTGCTTCCGAATATCTCAGCTATCTGTTTCGATGTTTTTGCCGAGTATCGAAACGGAAAATTTTGTAAACCTTGTATATGCGGCGAGCTGGTTTGTGGCCACGATTCTATGGTGCGGCTCCCTGTACAGCATCTTTGGCATCAAGTCGGCCATGTCGAAGAAGTACAAGCGGACCCAGATCTATTTACTGGTAAATTACGCGTGTTAAAAGATCGTTGTAAACTTTTATATTCAATACAATTATACAAATAATTCAAAGTAAGATTAAAAATTTGTCGTAATGTTGAATTGACAGAGGCCTTATACTTTGTCCTATATAGTAAGCCTACGGTAAAAATATTTAGCGATTTCAGGTACTACAGGGTGTCCCAAAAAAAAGAACGAACCATCTGGCATTTCGCCGTGTTACATCCAATCGGTCCTAAAATTCGACGAGAGGCGTAAGAGACCCTAAATAACAACAATCCTAACTTATAGCTCCGTAGCTACAGTAGTTCTCGAGTTATAACAAAAACAATCTCTATATTCCATTTTCCATAGGGTTTCCGTGGAATTAGACCCTTTAAACATTAAGTGAAAATGTTCCGGTGGGCCTTCTTTACCGTAAGAAAATTTTTCCAGAGTAAAATTAATTAAATAAGCTTCGATTCAAGCAATTTTACAACGCAAAACTACCCCAGTTCTTAAGCGAAATTAGGGATTCGCAGCCGGAAGTCGATGCAAATCGATGCAAAGTCCAAAAAGTCCAAAAAAGTCCAAATTGCGGGGAAATCAGTATTTTGGTTATAACTCGAGAACTAGTATAGCTACGGGGCTATAAGTCAAGATTGTTGTTATTTAGGGCCTGATAAACCTTTGCTCCAAATTTGGGGCTGATTGGATGTAACACGGCGAAATGCCAGATGGTTCGTTTTTTTTGGGACACCCTGTAGATTCATATCCCTAAAAAGTTTCTTATTGATATTCATGCAGCAAAAAAGATTCTTCAATTCGATCACCACGGCTAGAATTTGGTCGCTTTTCTGATTTTCTTAATTTTCTAGGCTGATTTTGCCGATTTTTGCAAACTTTAAAGCTAGTTTACTCCATACAACACACGCTAAAAATAAGCAAATCTTTTCCAATGTTTTCAGGTAACCGGCCAGGTCACCGACACGACGATCACCCTCATCAAGCCCATCATCTACACCCCGCTTTTCGCGTTCAAGGTGACGCCGCTGCTTCCATTTACCCTAGATCACATTTGCGCGATTCTGGTAATAAACTGCCTCCAAAAAACGCATGAACTTTTTTTTAAAGGTCGCCTACTTGGTCGCGATAGCGGCCCTCGTCTCGACGATGTATTTTATAGGGATCATCAGGAGGCGGCAGATTTTTATAAATCATCCCCGGCGATTTTTGGCCTACCAATTACTGGCGCTGATTCTGTTTTTGCTTTTGTCTACGATTTTTATTGTTGGAGCTATTCGGTTGAATAGACAGGGCGGGTTACGGGAGTATGATTCGCTTACGGTAGGTTATAAAAGGATTGTTTTTATTATAAAAACTTGCAAGTGGCGGGCCCAAGCCTGTTACGCAATCAGCAGCCGCATTAATAAAACGGCTAGAATCTTATAATGCCGTTTTTTCAGATTTGTCCAGTAATACCGATTCTTTGCGGTCGTGGTTTAATAATCGTCATCGAACAAGCGGCCTATTTTAAAACGATCCTGCTAATTGCGATGATCGTCATTTTAATAAGTTTCGCCATCTACGCAAGCATCGCCATCCTCGCACTCTACCGTAATCTCCTCAAAAAGGCAATATATGTCAGCAAACAGACCCGGGAGATGCACCTCTACTTTACTAAAATTTATTTGTCGCAGGTGGGCAAGGGATTTGAATTTGAAAATTCACGGTAGATGTGTTTTAGTCAACCTGCGTGCTTACATGCATTGGCTTTCCATCCACGCTAGCCGTATTATACTCTTATGAGTTGATCCCCGAATGGCAACCGACGTTATATAGTAAGAAACGTGGAAAAATTGTCGTGAATATCCGGTTTTCGATTTCATCTCTCTCTTTCTCTCTCTCTCTCTCTCTCTCTCTCTCTCTCTTTCTCTCTCTTCCCCCTACAACATCTCCTTCCAGTCGCCGGCCTCGCTCCCCTCTGGATCGGTTTCCACTCGATATTCAACTGCCTCATCGTCCTCTTCGCAACGAAAGCCTATCGCAAAAGAATGTCCCAGCTGGTCGTCCAAGCATTTGCTCGTAAGACACCTAAAGACCAGAATACAGTATCGACCAGCCCGTTCCAGTCCCGTATCCGGCAACCGCAAAAGCATATCCACGCGCGACTTCGTAGTCAAGTTATATTGAATGCCAAAAGGTATGGATTTTCAGGCAAGGATTGTAGAGGACCGTGTTGTAACTTTTCTGTTCTACCGGAACCAGTCACAGCTTGTGCGAAATGCTCCCTGCCGGTACTTTCTCATCAATTTTTTAGGCTGTTTTCACTACCTAACGAACTTCCGGTACACGAGAACCTCAAACTCATCAAACTCAGGCCTTACGAAAAATCTGGAAAATAGAACGAACTTTGTATGTATTTTGAGTTATATCTTTTTTAATAGCCTACAAAATTACCTGAAAATGTGTTATATTTTTTTTATTCTCGATTGTTTTTCTCAGAATCAGGAGACGGACTGAATCGACACTTTCAAAGCAATAAAAATTCTACGGGTTCTCCCCGAATAAATTGTCGGTACCAGACGGATTGAAAAAAGCCCAGAATACATATGTAGTAGATCGTATAAAAATACCCCAAAACGCAAAAGGGTTTTGGTCGACTAAACATTTTTCTCGAAAAAATGCTGCTCAAATGGCTTTGCTTCCTACCATTCATTTCTTCGCTGCAAGTGAGATTATTTTTCCGAGCGTTAGGGGAATGGCTATGAGCATTATTCTCGTTTAAGGAAAGACACAACAAGCTAGCGCACGGGAAAATGGTCTGGGACCTGAAGGAATACTATTTTATGGCCTCCCTTCAAGTCAAGGACATTAATGGGTTTTTCAAAGCTTTTTTTCTGAAAAAAAAAACACTCATAGGAATTGGATACCGAACTGCGGTGCGACAATTCTGAACGCCGAGTGGCTAGTCACTGCCGGGCATTGCGTGGCTGGATTGTAAAAATTTATCGAATTTTTCAATACAGTTTTAGCGATAAAAAGAAGCTTGCTGTCGTCGTTGGCACCGCAGATTTGGACGAGCCGGAGCATGGGGTATGAAGAACGGTTGGGTTAGCAGACGCGTTGCGGCCGCGTCACGTCGCCGGAATCCGGGATTTTGTGCGGCATATAAAATGTAGATTTTTTTCAGCAAACCATCGGTGTATCCCAAATCATTGTCCATGAGGACTTTGCGATTAAGATTGGAAAAACCAAAAGCGGGAAGCACAACTATACCTACAATGACATTGCTGTGATTAAGGTAGGACCCCTTTGAAATGTCGCGCAGAGAGGGGTTGAGTGTCCGATTTTTCGCGCTATTTTCCGTACGAATTTGAAGCTGTATCTGGCTCTGCTGGATGCCACCGCACCCTGTTAATCTTTTCAGCTAGCCAAAAAGGTAAAATTCGGCAGTGAGGTCGGGCCCGTAAAGCTCGTAAAGTCGGAGGACGGCAAATTCCCGAAATTCGGCCAAAAAGCGACGGTGCTGGGATGGGGGCTCAATGAGTTTGGTAAGTTTTGGAGATGACCTAAAGACTTGTGAAGCCCGTTAGGCAGAAGAAGCTCACAGCTGGAGTACGCTTCGCAAAACGTGTACAGCAAAGAGACGTGCCTCACGGAGTATCCAGCCGATTTGCAGGAGATGATCGTCTGCGCCGGGAAGGAGTTCAAAGGACCGTGTCCGGTGAAGAAATTTCTTTAGATTTACGATGGGTTAAAGTTAATAATGCTGATTTTTTGTTTTAAAGGAGCTAGAAAAGGTTAGAGTCGACTCGTGTGATTCTACGCGGCGCTACGTGGATGGGCGTAGCGGGCAGACCTTGCCTTTAACGCACATCTCCCTAGATATTTCCCTAGATCTTGTACCTGTCGAGACCTTGCGGTAAGAGGAGTCGATCCTTGAACCATCTAGTCCCTTTAAACGATTAAATTCACTTTCAGGGAGATTCCGGGGGCCCGCTGGTCCTTCCGTATGAGGTAAAAAAGAAAATTGAGCACATCCTCATTGGCATCGTCAGTAACGGCCCCGGAACTTGTAGTTACGCCTTTGAAGAGAAAGGTATGAGCAGCCGGAACCATAAAAAACAATTTGCAGCTGCCTACCTTAACGTCCCGAAATTTTGCGCCTGGATCGAGAAGAAAATCGGGACCAAGGGCCTTTGCCAGCCAATATTTTCGTTTTAAACTTCTTATTAATGTTATAAATAAATACATAAAGCATGCATTTTGTTAAACCCGGCTTAATACGCATTTTAAGGCTGCGTAAGTAGTAGTAGTAGTAAGCAATTTTTGATAACCGTCAGTAGTTTACTGTAGTTGTACCAAAAATAGGCCCTTCGGCCTGCCGCATGAAAATCCATATGCAATTATATTGCCGTAATCTTAGACCCAAAAATACACAAACCTCCCGGCGGGTTATTAAATGCATATTGCTTTTAAAATTGCACAAATTTGGGAGGAATTTCAATGAAGTAGCTATAATATAAAAAGACCGTGCCCCCCATATTTGCTCATCTTTCGAAATGTCCTTCAAAATTTTACTTTTTATGGGTATTCTCAAAATCGTCGAGGTATGATCTTCTGCTATAGAAAGAAGGTTTTTCAAAATATTACAAATACTTGGTAATGTCATTAAAATATCACTGCAGCTCAAAATGGTCGCACACGGCGACCACGTGCTCGACCTGAAAGAATATCCCTTTATGGCCTCCCTACACCGGAAGGATCCGACCACCGGGTAAGAGAGTTGTAGTTTGAATAGAAAAGGTTATTACCGGGTCAGCGCGGTAGAAATTCAAGGTAATAAAAAACGATAACCAAGAGCTATTTATCGAAAAAGAGGCTAACAGAGAGACTTCAGGAAATTCAAGGCCCAATGCGGTGCGACGATCCTGAACCAGCAATGGGTGCTTACGGCCGGGCATTGTGTTTGGAAACAGTAGGCTTACAGAATTGTTAGTTCCGGAATACGAGCGATAACTTTTAGTATTCCCTACAAAAACACCTTGAAGATCCAGGCGGGGACCATAAACTCAGACCCAACCAAATCCGGGGTACGTACATCGTTTTCTCTACTCTTTCGCGCTCGCGGTCCCTCTATCACTCTCTCTCCCTCTCTCTCTCTCTCTCTCTCTCTCTCTCTCTCTCTCTCTCTCTCTCACTCTCTCACTCTCTCTCTCTCACTCTCTCGCTCTATCTCGCTCTCTTTTTCGACCACCTCTCTCTCTCTCGCTCTCTTCCTCACTCTATCTGTCTCTCTCTCTCTCTCTCTCTCTCTCTCTTTCTTGCTCTCTTTATACCCCTAATTTCCCTGACTTTCAGCAAATGATCGATGTAACAAAAGTCATCATGCACGAGGGCTTTGTTAACAAGTCGGGAAAGACCCCGCGAGGCAGTGATTTTTGGTTCTACAACGACATTGCTGTCCTTAAGGTATATTTAATGCATGGAATGTTGATTACGATTAATCGTAACAAGCGCTTTTTAGCTGAAAAGCAAGCTGACCTACGGAGGCCAGGTGGGCCCGGCCATTCTCGTCAACAACGCCAAGGAGAAGCTGTGGCCAGCCGGTCAAAAGGCTACGATAATGGGCTGGGGCTACACGAACATGTGTGAGTCGAAATCGCCCATGGTATAGAGTACGCTAAAATACGGTTAAGGAAAGGCTCATACTACTCTTCAATGCTCCGCAAATTCAAGCTATCGATTTAAGTTCCGGTAATGATGCCATCACTCCTATCGGCCCCGATGACAGCCATGTCCGAAAAGGAATGCACCCGACAGTTCCCCACCGACTATATGCAGCTGATGATCTGCGCTTCCGGATTTTTAAGGGGACCATGTCCGGTGGGTTTTTAAAGGGGCTGGCCAGCCAAAGTTTGCCCAAGTCAACCCTGAACCGCCTGAATTTTTATACCGATTTTGGGAATTAGAACAGATAGGAAGTTTAAAGTAGATTACAAGGAGAGGTTTTTTTAGTGTCCGCGGAGTTTCCAGCGGAGGAACCTATTTTGCGCAGAATGTTTTTTTGCTGGGCAAAACCTAGTTTGCTGAATCTGCGAAACGACACAATAAAAGAGTTATAAAGTTTTAAGGCGCGAAAGACGGCCAAAGTGGCCTATTTTCAGCATTTTCCGCACTTTAAGGCGCCATGACTTTTTAAAAATGATCATTTCGCAGGATCTGAAACGTACATTTTGTTCAACGAAAAATTCTGCACAAAATAGGCCGGGTCCCATTTCGACACTAAAAACGAAGAGAAAACACTAAAATTAACAACACCCTAAACAACATCCCTAGGTTAGCGATCACAGGAATGGCATCCGAATTCGCAGATTCTTGCTTTTTCGCGTCTAAACTGTGGTTAAAAGATGTAACCAGTAATAACGCTATTTTCTAGGGTGATTCCGGAGGTCCGATCGTGCGCGAATACTTCTCGAAAAAATCCGGCAAATTCAAGAACATCCAAGTGGGCATCATCAGCCGTGGCCCCGGCAACTGTCAATACGACAATGATGAATACGGTACTAGTTGGCACCAAAAATCCTAGACAATGAAATTTTTCAGCCGCCTTCACCGACACGTACCGCTTCTGCGGGTGGATCGAACGGATCATTGGGCTCGACGGGATTTGTAAAAGATTGGAAGAGATTTAGTGCTTGATGCAAATAAAATGTTGCAGAAATGTGCTTGCCAAAGGTAAAAAAAAACGCATATGGTTGAACTATCATTCCGATCCGATCGGTCTGTGCCCTGTTCAGGGGGGGGGGGGTGTTTTTTTACTGAGACAACCTGAAACCGAATGTGGTGCGATTTACCCCCCCTCCAGCCCCCAGCCGGCCCCCAACTCTTGTATTTCGACACCCCGTTGTCGTAAGGGCCTGTAAAATATACAAAAATACTCGCCAGAGCAAGTCAAACATTTTGGTATACTTTACACAACTGTAGACCAACGGAGAGCCGAGATACAAAAGTTTCGGATTCGAATCGAATCCGACATACTTTACACACCTGTAGATGGTTAGCGCAATGTAAGTGCAAACACACTCTGGACATTTGTTTAATGTGTTTTTTGTGTTGACTCTATTGATTTGTTTTTATTGAGTTTTTTCATTTTTCCAAGTATTTTATTGCGTTCAACATGTTTAAATACCTTTCAAGATGAAATATGATTATATAAAATGGCTGAAATCAAGGAATACTAGGAATTCGGGTTTCTGGTCGTTATTTACGAGAAAATCATCGAAAGGCCGTCGAGGTCAAGGTCGAGGGTAGCCAGATGCGAGGCTGTGCTAGGGGGATTTTCAGGGACGTTATGAGATTCAGGGTTAGGCTTGCGCGGGCCGTGCGGGAGATTTCGGTGATGTAGTCGGCCATTACATGTTACTCGACGGCAGTGCTGTCGTTTGTCTACGCGGAAGGGACATGTGTTAAACTTGTGGGTCGAGAAACCGCATAGTGAGGCTTCGCTAGGTGCTTTGGCGATCGTTTTTATTGATGACGTGGGGCATTTCCTGGCTGGCCGTTAAAAATTATTAAATTTAGTTAAATCTACGGGAAAGCGGGCTTGTGAATTTGGAGATTTGGAGATGGAGGGAAAGCCGATTGACGAGGCTGATTTTAGTTTCGATTGGGCGATTGCAAGTTTCGTGATTTTTGTTTGGATGGGTTTGATGTTAATCGCTCTGTTATTTATGGCTCGCTGCTATTATTGTGGTCCTCGTGCTACGGCTTGGGTGCCTTTGGATGAGATGTGATTTTCTTCTACGGTTTATGTTTTCGTTGAAATGTAAAGCGAGATACAAGAAAAAAAAGATAGCCAAATTACAAGAGTACATAGTATTATGTAAGTCAGCGTTTCAAAAAAGGAAAGATTTCAATCTCGAGATCGAAGGGGCTAAGGATTCCGGATGGGGAGTGCTGGTTGGGGTCAGCTGCGGGGGAACACATGGAGCGGGTTGGGAAGGGCTCATGGCTGCTACTGGGGGGAACAGCTAGTTGGGCCGGGTTGGGGACGATGTGGGAGGTAGCGAGCAGGCTCCTTTAACATTTGACATTCTCGTCGGGCGCAATGCGCGCGGGGCACTTTGCAGTACTAGCTAAGCCTCTTGCATTTTATTTATTTGACGATTTGGCCAGTCTATTATATTTGCAAATTGATTCCGTGTGTCCGCGCGCTGAGTATTCGACAGTACTTTTGATCGTTTGTAGTGCTGCGTATTTGCAGTAATACCTAAGCCTCTTTCATATTTATTTGGCGGTTTAGCCAGTCTATTATATTTGCAAATTGATTTCGTGTGTCGACGTGCTGAGTATTCGACCGTACTTTTGATCGTTTGTAGTGCTGCGTATTTGCAGTACTACCTAGGCCTCTTCCATTTTATTTATTTGACGGTTTAGCCAGTCTTTTATATTTGCAAATTGATTCCGTGTGTCCGCGCGCTGAGTATTCGGCCGTACTTTTGATCGTTTGCAGGGCAGCATATTTGCAGCACTATTTAAGCCTTTTTTATTCTTTGCCGATCTTCACGTTTTCAATTGGGCGTCGGTTTTATTTTTTGATTTCATTTTCTCGCTGATCTTCCTTCCCTCATTCTAACCTTTCCGGGTCTTCTGAGGAAGCTTAGGCAATTTTTGCTCGCCAGTGACAGCATTTTTCGTGCCCTGTCAGCCCGATGAGTTCGAGGCTTCTCGGAGGGCGTCTTGTCCACGCAATACGGAATGCCGGGGGATGAGCGAATCACTATCACAAAATGCAATACATTTGTTCAACCACGAATTATCAGGAGCAGAGATAGGCAGAGATAGAAACGCTTGAGATAATCAAACTTTTGGCCGGCATTTGAGACGAACTCCTCATAAAGCGTGAAGTGCGCAATTGCACACATTTTTAGGCATGTTCAGCTCGTTGATGCAGTTGTCTGAGAAAAACAAGGTTAAATTATGTCAAACAAACCATCACCTTTTCTTTAGGTATCCTTTTGGCGTCGAGATGACGGGCAGTCTCTTCTCAGGCTCAGGGAAAAGCTTATAGTATTTTTGGTGTTTTCCTGAAATAAAATTGGTAATTCTTATAGTTGGTACCATCAATAAAGGACTTACCATTTAATAACTATCGAAATGAAGAATTTTGTTTTTGTTGAAACCGACTTTTGATGAAACCGGCTGGTCCAAGGCCAGGCATGAGGAGACGGTGCTCCTGAAAAAGAAAAAGACAATCAAAATTCATAAGATCTTAAAACAAGAAATTGAAAACGTTGCGTGATTGTTACATAATAGAAAATTAAGGTAAAGGCTATGTCTTGAGTATCATTGCGGAACCGTACAGTCCAGCTAGGGCAGCAGGTGAACCGATTAGCCAATGAAAAGCTGCGAGCCATTTGGTTATGCCAGGGGTCTAGTATATTGTTTAGAATAAGTAAAATAAAGTTTAATAACTTAAGGAACTTTATAACTTCTTTAAATCAACCTAGACGGGTTAAAAAGTATGACTAACATCGGTCTCCGATATTCGGGAGTTGTTATTTGGGTGAACTGGGGGCGAGACCGGAAGAGATCGAGGAGAGGAGGAGGGTGCAAAGAAATTAGAGAGAGCAGTGAGCACGAGAGGGGCAACTCGCAAAGAATTTTTTCGGGGAGAAATGATGTATAGGGTAAATAAAGCGCGGTCAAAACTTGTTAGCCAAGGAAAAGGTAAATTTTTCTGGTTATAAACCTTATAAAATTTATACACTCCCATTGATGCAAATAGGCGATAACCTTGTTTGTAAAATTTTTTTTAATACTGTTTTCTAATTTTTTTTTAATTTTAATAATTTGATAATAATGTTTTTTTAACTTGTCGTGAATTGTTATAAACGGTGAAATATCGACAAGATCAGTAGCGTTTTTATTGTTTGGTCCCACGAATACCATATCCACCACAATACAATTTACGGGGTGTTTTTTGTTCTTACAAACAACAACAAAAAATGGCTAAGCAATAGAAAAATTACATTAATTAAATGAGGTTTGGTTCACAAAAATGCTTTTCTTGCCTGTGTCTCCAACTGTCAACGAGCGTCTTACACTCTATTCCAAGCTTCTTTGGGTTCGACTTTGATGTTTGTATGGTTTTGTGCTACCCTGCTCACTTGATAATTTGTGCGTTTGAGCTCCCTAAACGGTTTTAACCCTTTCCTTAAATTTTAGGAGGATGGAGTAAGTAGTACCTTAACGCTCTTGAACTCTTCCGTATGGCCGGTTCATCGTTGCCATCGAATGTGGTTTATTGCAAATAGACGAAAATTAAGTAAATTTTCCAAAATCCAGTGAAAAGGTATATTGCAAACAAGGAAATAAAAACAAAAATAAAACAAGAAAATCAAGAGCTAGAGCGATACATGAAATTGGTGGTGGTAGTATGTATGGCGCGACCATCGCTGTGGTTCAGTGGGGAGGGGGGTAAACTGAACTCTTCCCCTGCCATCTGAGCCCGGCTTTATCTATTGCGGGAATCATTCCGGGAACCTATTCCGGGAACCTATTCCGGGAATCATTCCGGGAATCGGGAAAAATATTCCCGGAATAATTTTCATCTCTATTCCGGGAACCTATTCCGGAAACGGTTACCGCAATAGATTCCCGGAATTAGATGAAAACGATTCCGGGAATCGATTCCCGGAATCATTCCCGGAATAGTTTTCATCTATTCCGGGAATCTCAGCACATTCCCGGAATTCAAACACTTGAAAATTCCTCGAATTAAAAAATGTAGTTGTTAAAAGCGAAAAATTCCAGTATTGGTATGAAGAGGTAGCCAAAAGCATTCCTGCCGGTAAATAAAGGTTTCAATTTTTTAACTTCGAAAATTCTCCGTAACTTCGCTGCGAACTACCCGATTAATTTGAAACTTTGTATATTAGCCAATGAAGCCCCTTTTAAGCTACTGTGAAAATTTCAGGAATTTTGGTGGTGTTTCACCTAGATTCCCGGAATGGTTACCCGACCTTTTGGTCGGGTAGGCCCAGCCTTAACAAAATTATTCCCGGAATAGATGAAAATCATTCCGGGAATTGATTCCCGGAATGGGTTACCGGAATAGCATTCCGGGAATCTATTCCGGGATTCCCGGAATAGATGAAAACGCATTCCGGGAATCGATTCCCGGAATCATTCCCGGAATTAATTCCGGGAGATTCCGGGAATGATAAGAGGCGTTCCCGGAATATTCCCGGAATAGATAAGGCCGGGCTCTGTATACATATCATTCATGCGCGATTTGCATGCGAAGCTGCATTGCAAATCATCGGGCCCACCGAGTATGGCATTAAAATTGCACACAAGAGCCGCAGCGGTCGCTTCGCGTCGGCCATGCTTGGATTTTTCTTCCGATTCTGCTCGACGCTGGTAGGCTTTTGCCCACAACACCAAGTTTTTTAAAATAACACCAGGGTTGAAAAGCCGCTTCGCGACTTTTCAACCCTGGCCCCGTCTTATCCCATGATATTCGCTACTTTGCATAGTTCTCGTGTTTTCGACGACAAAAAATGAGAAACGCTACCTCTCTTCCCTTATATAGGCTCCCACAACATCCGGCGTATGCTAATTGCTTCCTAACAAAGAGGGTCACCGATTTTACAACAAAAACTTAATTTTAACGTCGAAAACAGCGACTTTTTGAAAATTTTATGAGTGTGCAGTCATCCCAAGGCCATTACGCACCTAATGACGTATAAAACATACCCCTAACTACTCCCCCTTATTGAGATACTACTGGAACACGCTGACGGAAGTTGCATGCAAATGCACACACATACATACACACACACACAGGAACTATGTTTTTATATATAGTAGGATCTTCGACAGAGCCCAACAATAAACATTTAGTGGGGCTGGCTCGGTGGCGATTCGGCTGCGGCTGGGTCAGAAGCTCCGGCTACGGATGCCGAAAACGTTCCCCGGGTCAACTACCTATCCGTCGAGCAGCTGCTACGGCTTCCCGTCGAAGTCCAAATGCAGATCGTTGCTTATATGGGAGCGACGGATATGATTGAAATGGTGTGTGCTGACCCGCTTTTCAAGGTGTTTTTGGCGAACTCTATTCCTCTATACCGTCTACAGGGTGTGCCCAAAAAACCGACCCCCCTTTCTAGCGACTGAGACGTGTGTCCCGCTTGTAGTGCAGTTTACCCCCCACCTACCGTATCTCGGCTCCCCGTTAGGATACCCGGCAGTAAAGTATACCAAAACCAGCCGATTACAGCCGCTTCGCGACTGTAACCGGCTGGACTTCGGGCTACCCTCCTTCATGGCAATACCTACACTGATGGCTTCAGTTACCCCCCATGGCTGAAAGCCCCTTCAAAGACTACCTAAATACCTTCCTGATGGCTGCAGATACCCCCCATGGCTGAAATCCCCTTCAAAAACTACTAAAATACCCTCCTGATGGCTTCAGATACCCCCCACAGCCGAAATCCCCTTCAAGAACTACGTAGATTCCATCCCGAGGTTCTTGACTATTCCCGGGGGAACTTTTTTCCTGTTTTTTTCGGGCACTTTTTTTCTGTTGGCCCTGGTGGGCATAGTAATCAAATATAAAGTGTTTTCACATTGTTTTTAGCAAAATTCAAGCCTATTTTAATAGGAAAAACTTTTTTAAAAGTTAAAAAAACGCTTGAAAAAGTCAAAAATTTTGTCATTTTTGGGTCGAAAAAATTGGTTTTTCGATCTAAAATAAAATTTTTTAATTGAGGTTTGTAAAGTTTTATGCCAAAATCCATGAAAACTGCAGTTTTTGAGCAAGATCAGCATGTTAATTGCTTGCTAACGCAAACAGGGCGACGCTGATTCTACGTTTTTTAAAGGAATCGTTCAATATCGAGCGCGGGCTAAAAATTTTGGCAAAACAATAGCGCTTGTATTCTCGCCTTGTCGAGGGCTTTCGAATGGTGTAAAAATCATGCCGATCCGACCTTTCTCCCGGCCAATAGAGGGGATTGATTTCTTTTGGGACACCCTGTAGGCGCTAACCCATTTAGGCCTTCATCAGGGCCGTTCCGAAATACTGGGCGGCTGTGCTTTCGGCTGGCGAAATCTCCACCGACCGCGATTGGTACACTAGGATGGTGTCCTTGAGATGCTTGATTAAGCGACTTCGTTTTTTACAAGACGTTTCCCAGAAGCGACGGGATGGCTGTCGATTTTCCACCTGATCTGGAGTAAGGCAGATTGGTGGCTTCAGAAATTATTTTTACAGTAGCCCCGTTTTCATCCTGCAACTTTATCCCGACTAGAAAATGTTTTAATAATATTACTAGTAAAAAACCTGTATTTGAACGAGCAAAATATCTACAAAGTTTTGAAAAGGCGCACTTTCGGTCAAAATCGGCCATTTTCGTCTAAAACTCTGTTTTTAAATTTTTGTAAGAAAATTTTATATGGTTTTAACGTTTAGCAAACGGAAAAACTATTCAGAAACACTTCCACCATTTATATTTGAAAAATTGGTTAGAGTGCAGTTTACCCCCTCCTCCCTAGCCGGCACCCAACTTTTTGTATCCCGGCTCCCTGTCCATCTACAGGTTTGTAAATTATACCAAAATGTTCGTCTTGCTCTGGCGAGTATTTTGGTATACTTTACGCCCCGGTAGATAAACAGGGAGCCGAGATACGGTAGGTGGGGGTCGGATGGGGCTGGGGGTAAACTGCACGTAAGCCGAAAAATTAGATGCTAAGAAAGGAAAAGTTGATTTCGCCCTATCCCCCCGCAAAATAGCCTCAAAAATGTTGCTCTTTGTGGGCGAAGTGTGCCTCTAAACAAATTTTGCTTTCAGTATAATGGACTCGGATGTCTGGGCGTGTCAAGTGAAGCTCACTACCGACCTGGGTGACCCAAGGCGGGACCAAGATGTCATCAACTACACCGAGCTCGTAGACATTCTCGCCAACAACTCGCGCGTTCGCATGGTAAGCAACTTTAGCGCGAACAGTTCCCGGATTTTCTCCGCAGCTATCCGCCCCGCCGCATTCGTGGGTGAACGGCGAGCCCTGGAAGCCGAATCTCCAAGCCACTATCCTTACCATTTTCAAAGTGGACGAGATCAAAGATGGATGGCCGTATGGGACAGGTCTGCAACGCATTGATTTGTGGTTCTGGACTGTTAGCGGGGGGCGGGGGGAACTTTTGTTTTCCACCTACATGTTGATGATAGATAATGTATTTTCATGGCATTCTTATTAGTTTTTGACTGCTAGAAGGTGATAAAACACTTTTTTAATTTTTAAAATTAATTTGGAACTTTTTTGGTAATTTTTCATTCGTTTTTGACCAAAAAGTCGAATTTTCGGAAATTCCTATTGGTTTTATACCGTTTTTTTGACTAAAAACTATGTAAAATGCTATAAAAATGGTTTCTATTTTGTTATAGGGCCGGTAGGGAAGCACAGTGAAAAATTTGATTCCCCGGCAACCCCCCGCTAACAGTCCAGAACCAAGGGCCCTCTGTTGGCGCAGTGGAATTTCGAAATTTCGCTGTATGTTCAGATACGTACGGTGCCGTGGCTGTGGATGTTCTTTGGGGCTACCAGTGGGAAGTTGCTTTTTGGGAGAAGTTTGCTAACATGGTGAATGGATTGCCGGTGGGTCCTTGATGGATTTGTATCTACGGGGATTTTCCCTCATTTAGCAGGTCAAACTATTGCGCGCCTCGATACCAGTTACGGTGACGCGACTTCCCCAGTTGTCCTTGTTGAAGGTTCCGTGTTTCAAGGTCTACTATGAGCAGCCCATTGGCAAGTTTCAATCTTAGGGTGCAGTTCCGCGAGGCATTGTACAGGGTGGCCCAAAAATCACCCCCCCTCTTTCGCCGGCTGCCGACGTGTCCGATTTTTACAATTTAGGTATCTATCGAATGTTCTCGAAAAGGGGTGTCCAGCTCGTCTAACTGATTTTTGAAATTTCGGAATTTTTTGCCCGATTTTTGGGATTCTTCATGCAAAAAAGAGATGCTTGTTTGTCAAAAACTCAATTTAATCGGTTCAAGCGGTATCCAAGCTGTTTTTTTCGCAAACGGTTTTCAAAAAGACGTCGTTGGGCTGCCAGAAAAAGCTTAAAAATCTTTAAGTTGTGATTTTTGTAAAAAATCTTTGGTTAGAAAAACGTCAGAAGACCCGCCCGCTTCGCAAAAATATTAGTAAACGAGCGCTCAAAACCCGCTTCGCGGGCCCAAAAATGTAAAAATTGTGAGAATCCGGGAGAGGTGATAAACGGATAGCTAAATCGTCCAGATCGGACACATCTGAGGTCGGCTAGGAGGGGGGGATGATTTTCGGGCACCCTGTCCATCCAACTTTCCACAGCTTTACTGGCCAATATTATGCCTCACAAGCATCAATGCCCTTTGCTGGCCGTCAACTTCTTCCGTCAGATGATTTCGGTAGTTTTATTAGGTCCCAATACTTCCAGGGCGACGTTTCTAGCGTCTTTAGGCTTTCACTTTGGAACCAAACCCATCTTGTGCGGAATTTTACGCTGTTTCCGAATATGTTAACCAAATTTGCGGAATCGCAATTTTCGAACTATTCAAGTTAGGAAATCCATAGAGAATAGGGGGTTTTTGATGTTTATCGTTGATTACCTTGGGAAAATCGAGAATGAGGCAATTTTAGCAAACATTTTGACCAAATAGGGTTTGCATACAAATTTCCGTGAATCACTTTTTCGAAAATTCGTTTTCCAAAATGAAAATTTTGAAAAATTTGGGTTTGTCTATCGATAGGAAATGGCCGGAAATGGTATGAAATAGAAAAGCAAATTTTTCGAAATTCTGGCCTCGGAAATATGATATTCGAAAAACTAGTTTTCGAGAAGTGATTTCGGAAATAGGACTTTCGAAAAACGATCATCCGCCGGTAAACATATACGAATTGGCGCAAAATTCCACAAAAAAATGGGCCTATTGCAACTTGAAACACCGCTGACTCCATGCAGGAATGGCTGCTGGGCGAGCGCGAGATCGACCGCATTCTGTTTCTCTGCACCAGTGCCAAAAGGACAGAGCCTTTTAATATTAAGGGTAAGCATTGGCTTGCATCGTCTATTTACCACGGACATTGTTGCAGAGTTGCTCGTTCTTGTGGCGGGTTTGGCTGAGGGGTTGCCGGGCTGCTTCAAGATTTGCGCCAGGTACTTCTAGCAGTGGTCGTGATGGTCGAACTCACGAATTTTTTGCAGCACCTGGCTGATTCGGCGCACCGAGACGGTACATTGAACCCTGAGCTCATCGAACCCAAACAATTTTAGAGCCGTGATGGGCTCGTGATCAGCCTCCAGCCTCAGGTCTTCATGCTGTGCCGCTGTGACTATTGGGAGCGACGGTATGCTGTCCCGGGACAATTTTTGTTGCTAAAATATAATAAAAAACCGCACGGAGCCGAAAAGAATGCGGCAGTAATTTTTGGCGCGCGGTTCCAAAGACATGAACCGGACTAGCTTTTTTCAGGGAGCGTACTTTTGAGGACAGTCTACAACATTCCCAAGCCTTCGCCGCGCTCCTAGAAGCACACCAGCGCATGAAAGCAAACGGACTTAGTGCTGAGGTCGGCGGTTTTGTGCTCTCTCTCTCTCTCTCTCTCTCTCTCTCTCTTTATCTCGCTCTCCCTCAATTTTAGCTTTTGATATAAGTAACTTTCAGGATACTCGAATCAAAAAGACGATTTTCGAAAAGGACGCCCGCGCGTACCTTAAAGCATACGGTGCTTTGCCGCGCCGCGTTGTCCTCTGCGATTTTGTAAGAACACTTCCCATCATGCAAAACCGGCGGTTTTTAGGCCATCTGCGCTTCGCTGTGCTTCGACTATGATTGGGCAAGCTCTTCGGAAAAATTGACAGCGTGAAAAAAACATTCTGAGAGAGCACATCCGGCTGAACGGCTCATTTTCATTTTTTGCTTTTTCAGATCTGGTCCAACGAAAAGCAGGAAGTCTGGAGATTGCTCGAGTCGTACAAGACCGGCGACGCCCATCGCTTCTTCGCCTTGGACGAATAGGGAGGACCGGGCCGCGAGAAGCGAAAAAACCACCATCGAAATCTGTCTTCCCCCGCCCACAAATTTCCGTTCGCCCTGGCCATTTTTGATAGCGAATAAAGCATCATATGAGACTTCTTGTGCTTGCGGCTCCCCAGACATGATGTCATCTCTCGAAAAAATCTCTCTTAAAACTATGAACAGGAATACAAATACGATTACCCCAATTCTCGGGTGGATTTTTCAAGTTGGCTGTCCCTGGGTTTACGCGAAATTTGATTTCTTGATTTTTCATTCATTTGGTCTCACTAGGCAAGACAAGATCATCTGTACTTATCGAGCTGATCCCTCAAAAAGTGGTGATGCTTGCCATAAAGTGCACCCCTCGTGCGCGATTCCAGGTGCTAAAAAACCCTAAGAAAAACTAGACTATACACAGCTCATCGAAACACTGCTTGCCAACTGCTTGGAACCGCGCCCGAATCTGGGCCATTAGGCCGGAACGCACCTAACTGTAAAGTGTTTTTACTCAAGTTGGAGTTTCGATTCGGGACCAAGTGCATCTTGTGCAGAATTTTTTTGTTGATACCGAATCCGTTTTCCACATTTGCTGCGGACTTTTATTTAAAAAGTCATTTTTGGTGGAAATTAAGCTCGAAAAAGCCAAAAATTCGGATCCTGGTCCACTATTCCCTCAATGGTTCTGCCTCTCCCAGGGGCCCTGAAGTACTCTGTCACAGCTCCACTCCCGTTTGGCATCATGGTGCATTGGAAAAGCATTCGCTTGCCAAGCGCAGGGCGGCGGTTCGGAACCCCGCCCTGCCCCTTTCTTTTGCTTTTTGCATAAAAAAATTTAATCTTTTATAAAAAAGCTTGTTTTGACTTATAAGATGCTTGTCTAGCCAATTTTGAAGTTGAAATTGATCAAGAAAATCGAAAACGATAACGGTTCCTTGATTTTGGCGCAAAACACTACCATAACTGCTGTATAACTTTCAAAATAAAAGTCCGCAGCAAATTTGGAAAGTGGATTCGGAATCAGCGAAAAATTCTGCACCAGATGCACTTCGAATCGAAACTCCAACTTGAGTAAAAACACTTTACAGTAAGAAAATGCCGGCTCTCACCTATGAAGAGCCAATCTACTACATCTTCTTTATGCGTTTCACATTTGTATTTGGGACGCTCCTGAATGCTTTGACCATGTACGTAATCTGGCGAAAATCCCCACCGTCGATGCGAAAATATAAATATTTGTTGCTTTATTATCAGGTGGGCGTTTCGAAACTGCAAAATATTTTATGGAATTTATAACAGGATTTAAAGTAGCAATTTTCGGCTATTTGGGCATAAAAACACACGTAACCTTTTAACCAGAGGGATTTCGCAACTTTTGAAAACGATCCTGAAATTTTAGTTCTGGTCTATCGCATTCGAATGGTTCGTCCACTCCACCGAGCCACAGACCTTCTTTCCCACCCTGTTTCTTCGCATGACGGGATGGTTATATACGGTATTTGGCATCGGTGCCATCCGGACATTTGTAAGTGTACGGAGGGCAGAATACTACGATTTTGAATCTATCGATTGACATTAGAGATGTTACTCATACCGTCGCGACGTTAAGATACGCATTTTATGTTCAAAAATTTCCTGGTTGCGACTCGATTATCGTATTCGAATTAGGGCCAGTACTACAGGGTGTCCCAACATAAAACACACACCCTCTTCTAACTCGACGCAGAAGCATCGGATCGGAATGATAGTGGCACCATTCGATCGCCCTTGAAACGGCCAGTTTGCAAAAATCTTCAAAACAATGTTTTTATTGAAACGCGCTATTTTACAAGCCATTTTGTAAAATGTTACAATTTTTCGGGCCGTACTGTCTGTTTTCTTTGCTTTACGATTTTTCGGGTGATTTTAAAGTCTAAAATACGAGCACACGAGCTAATTTGCCTCAATTTCTCCAAGCAAAATGATCAAAGGTGGCCGTTAATTAGATGCAGAGGCCGTTCTTTAATATTTTTAGATGTGTTGTAAGATAGAAATAAATGAAAAGCTGGTTTTGAAGATTGTCGCAAACTAACCGTTTCAAGGACTTGCGAATGGTGTAACTATCATTCCGATCCGATACTTCTATGTCGAGTTAGAGGGTGGTGTTTTTTATTGGGATCCCCTGTAAGCGAATGCGACGCTCGTATTCGCTTAAGCGGATCACGTCGGGATAAGAAACTAGTGATGGGGTTATTCAAATCAAATCATGAGTCAAAGAGAGCTCAAATCTGAATATTTGAAGGCAAAAATTTCAGTTTCAAATCGGCCGATTTGATTTGAAACCCAGTGGACCAGTTCAAATCAAATCTCGAGGATTTGATTAAGCTTCCTGTCCTTAATCAAATCTTATGGAAATGCCGGCTTGTAAAAAATAAGAAAATCGCTATTGCCGAGTTGCCGCGAACCGGAAATTACCTTGATTATGCATACCATCATACAATTAGCATCCGCGTAATGAGCTATTGATTTTTTCGACTCCTTTCAAAACCTCGTTCAAATCTACAGATTTGAACTCAAACCTCGAAAGTCCAAATCAAATCGATTTGATTTGAAGTGCTGAAACCTTATTCAAATCAAAGCGGCAGATTTGATTAGGCGGATGCAAATTAGATTTGAGAGCTGAATAATACCATCACTATAATAAACTAATTTGCATGTAAAGTGATCTTTCGAAGGAAATTAATCGAGAGTGAAAACAAAAAAAATCTTTAATTAGGAGCGACCTGCAACAAGGTATTTCAGGAAATTGGTGCTGTAGTGATCTTTCACCTGGTTGGTGCCACAACGCATTGCCTAGTCTACCGACATCGCCAAATTCTGCCCGCCGGGCATTTGTTCCGGTTGGTTTTTCCAGCTTCGGATCCCTTTTTGGCTACCGGGATTTGAGCAAAAATCAGAAATTTCTTGCAGGATCCCTACTCCATTAATCGTGTTGGTGTTCGTGGCTCATCTCCTATTTTACGACGGTTTCTTCGTGCACACCTTATCGTTAGGGATAGATGAGCTGGGTGATGGACCCATCACCCGGAAAATATTAAGAGTTTCTGATCTATCTTCTCGCTAGCGGATATTTTGAAATAAAATATTCATCAGAACCAATAATTCTTTAGAGCTACCCACAGTACAGCTTTGTGCTCGACCACGATGAGTTTTTCGCGGGAGATGCTTCAGGGATTTATCCCCTCACCGGGTTGACGCTGCAAATGAATGCATGTGCCATTGGATTCTTGCTTATATTGCAGGGGAATTGCGTTGTTAGTTAGCTGGATCGCCTAAAAAATAGTAAATATAAAGCATTTCCGTCTTGGTTTTTATTAGTTTAAATAAGTCTAACGTAGAGCGGAATTTAGGTTTATTTTAGGCAGGCTTTCTGGTGGTGCACGCCTTCTGGATGCTGAATGGTCATGTTCGGATTAGCCCACAAACACGGCGACTTCAGAAAAAGCTCATGACCGCGCTGATTTTACAGGTGCTCTTCAAACCGGTTTCCTCAAAGTTCTCTAGTTGGCCATCCCCTACTTGACGCTTCTATGCCCATGGGGATTTTATGCCTTGGTCCAGATCACCGACTGGATCATTAACCCAGGTAGGGGATGTTCAAACTACCAGACTTGGAACTACAAACTACGAACAAAGTTGTTACTGCAAAAAATTAGCTTATTGGCAAAACCCTATTATTTCAGCGTACCTCAACTTCGCGATGTGGTGCAACGCCTGCCATGCGACAGTCTCGTCTATCTCAGTCCTTTCCTTTACGGATCCCTATTGGAAATATGTCATTAGTCTCTTTGGATGTGAAAAGTTGCTGTCCCAGAATTCAATACCAATTATTCAGAAAGCTATCCACCGCCGTGGCGTTGCGACTACCCGATCCGAACACAGCAAAAGGACTTCAGAGCCGAATACGACTGCACTCGAGAACCACGAATTCCAGTGTTTAAACCGGCCAAGGAAGTTAGCCTCGAGAACCATCAACTTGGTATTTTTGCGGTATTACAATATCGAGCATCGAAACAGACCTAAAAACACCCCAACCTCCCATGAGTGCGAGGGTTGAATTCCCGGTCACACGGACAGACGGACATTAGAAATTTATATATAGTAGATATCAAGTTGCTCGTCAGAAGCCTAACATGAGAGTTACATCCCGATCTCTATCATCTCGATACGTGCACAAACGGCCCACATATGCGACAGAAAACACTGCCTATATAGTCATTCTACTGGGCGTATTTTCGTTCAGCATCGTGTAAGTAGTTGAAAGCGATGAGATGGAACGATTTATTTTGGTGACCTGGTGGACTCACATGCGTTAAGACGAGTTAAATTTCCATTAGTTGCTGAAAAATCGCAAATCACAAACAACTTAAAAAAATTGACGGAAGGTAGTCCAATTTGGATAATGCTGGTGGTGCGTAGCATCAGATCAATTTTTCTTTCAGATCATCAATTTCAGATCAGATCACGTTTCGCTGCGCGCTAAGCTAACTAATTTGTGATGGAGAGTGTGGGTAGCCATATAAATAGTATTTGTGGTCGGTGAGGTATTTAGTTACTTTATACCTCCATTTCATTTTTAAGGGGATACGATAGTAGAAGTAATTAGCGTAACTTCTGACGGGCGTACGATCACAGTTCGCAGCAGTTAACGTTATGACATTATTGTCGTATGACATGTCTTTGAGTGCATTAATGAACCAATGTGCGGTTTTTTTGATAATATTTATCGGCTACCCGATTCTAGTGTCGCTTTCATGAGGTAAGGCGCGCAATTTATACCGATCGGAACGCGTCGAAAACGAATTCCTCTTGGAATACTTGTCGAATCCAGATCCATTCGTGTTCAGGGCACTAGCCGCTTTCTTCAGTGTTACATAACTTTTCTCTATAAAAATATATCCTCAGCCTTGCCATTGCCTTGATCTGCTTTGCTGTTTGGCTTTTGACGAACGTGGTGGCTTCGTCTAACTTCGTCCATGTTGGCACTTCGATGTCTGCCGCCTTCTTTTTGCTCGTTTCTTGCGATTTTCTCAATGCTCGTCGTTGACTCGGTCATTTCGACCCGCATAACCGCTACCATTTGGCGGTAGCGTTCCATGGCTGATTAGCTTTGTTTTACACGATTTACAATTTTACGCGGGTCAAGGTAGATAAATGGTGTATTATCCCTAAATGGTTTGTATACCCTTTATTTAACTTCTAAGAGGATGGAGTAGCAGAAATAATGTACGGATCTGCTTCAGACATGTCGCTCTAAATTTGCGTTTTTTATTTATATGGCAAATTGATGATGGTTCCCGATTTATACTTGCTCTTTCTCAAAGGAAAACGTCCTTGGGCTCGGACGCGAACGGACAATCCCATTCTATTTACAAACTTCTCGTCATAATGTGGCAAATTAATGCTGAAGGGAAAGCAAGTTTTTATCATGCGCGTTGTCGGTGTGGTTTTACATTTTTGCAACTAAGAATTTTGCCGGTTCGATCAGGTCAAAGGACGTGAAATTTCCTGACATTTGGGGTCTTTTTTCCTTTCTCAATTTCGTGATTTTGACACCCGGGCGAAGTCTGCCGGTCTCAGGATGATGTCTTTTTGGCTATTCGGAGGTGGTTCCGATGGCATTTACATACGTGGTTGTGATGTGGCTGATCTCTCGGGCGGATTTAAGTTTGCGTTCTAGGTGTCCTTATTGATTCGCGCCCCACTAGGAGTCGGTACGCCCGTAGGATATGTTGCCTGATCAGGGCAAAACGTGAATAAATCACGGTTTAGGGAATCTGCCTTCGACTTGGCCGACGCTACAAAGCGTGTGGCGTTTCGTTTTGTGTGCCCTTTTATTGTTGGGTTTTTTTTATTCCATTTTATTGACCATTGGGTCAGGCCATTCGCCGGTTGGTGCAAAGTTGGGCCTCGCCGGGGGAAAGCGGCTCCATAGGTCCGCTTTTCACAACGATTTATCTTTTTTAAATTAGAGTGTCATTAGCTATGTTTCAAAATTCTCTATACTTTTTCTTTATAATGTTTGATCTTGTATGAATTTTTGCGACAATGGTTCGATCAGCTTCTCGTATTCTCGCGAAACCCCCATGTTTCGAGGAAACACGATCACGAGGCTTCGTCACCAAATATCTCCAAGAGACGTCACCAAATAAGAGATGGAATTTTCGTCACCAAATACCGTTTTTTCATTCCCCTCGGCTCGAACGGCCTCGAAATTAGCATCTCATTGTACTGGCTGATGAAGCTTCCTTTGGTTTTATTATTCCGTTGATGATTATTATTCGTTTATTATTTTTAATCAATACCGGAAATTATCTTGATTTTCTTTCTTTAATCTTTCCCACAGTATGGGAGACATTTTCTCGCAGGTTTAGGTCGGCCGTATGCTCCTTTGCGAGCATGATGCCTTCCATAGATCATTTTTCCTCAAATTTGGGCAGCGGTATTTACTGAACTGTCTCTACGCCGCGCCCACTTCACGTGTAAATTAGCCGCTACTCTTTTCAAATTTTTTTTTGCATTTTTAAGGAAAAATTAAAAATTCGAGTCGCGATGAAATTAGATAGAACAGGCCTATGAAAGGGTAATAAAAAATTGGACGATTTTGAGATCTCATTGCTTGGGATCCACAGTAGTGGTAACCAGATCTTCAGTTCGCGCCAATGGAATGGCCTGAAAAGCTGAATTAAGGAGGGTGGAGGTTCGCTTTCGCTTTTTCATTCGCTCTCTCACTGTCTCTCTCGCTCTCTATTTCTCTCTCTCTCTCTCTCTCTCTCTCTCTCTCTCTCTCGCTCTCTCTCCCTTTCGCTCTCTCTCTCTATCACTCTCACTCTCTCTATCTCTCGCTCTCTCTGACTCTGTCACTCTGTCACTCTCGTTTTTTTTCTCTATAGCTCTCTCGCTGTCTCTCTCTCCCCCTCACTCGCACTAAATCTATCTCTCTCACACTCCCCACTCTGGCTCACTCGGCGGCGAGTAATCATACATATACCTGAATAAATATTGACTCACACAGTTGACAGGTAATTCTATTTGCATTCCGTATTTTGGCCGGACGCATCATTTGATGAAGTGCCGCATCGTGCTATGATACTGACCGTCTGGCAAACGATATAAGAGCATCAGTTCTCATGTGAAATCCGAAATCGGCTTCCGTTGTGAAGGTTTACTAAAAACAATGCTGAAAATTGACTAAAACTCATGATGAGAATTTTCGATTCATCTTCCAGTATTTGAATGCACAGAAAACGTCCACTTACTATTTAAAATATGTTAAATGGAACGTTGAATGGTTCGGCTTTTGTTGAAGCCGACTGGTTCAAAGGCAAGCATGACGAGCCGAGGCTCCTGAAAAAAGGGGAAATGCTTATAAATGTTGGGGATTTGCTATCATCCCATCGAATTACATCTGATCGAATTGCATCCCATCGAATTGCATCCCATCGAATTGCATCCCATCGAATTACATCCCATCGAAATTACGTCTCATCGAATTACGACTCATCGAATTACGACTCATCGAAATTACGACTCATCGAAATTACTACTCATCGAAATTACTACTCATCGAAATTAAGACTCATAGAAATCTCAGCTAAGCGAATTTTCAAAAAAAATACTAATTTTTACCCGGTCCAATTTTAGTCATTCTTGGCCGAAAAAAATCCGTTTCTCGACCTAAAATTAAATTTTTAATAAAAATCTGTATAGTTTTTATGCTTAAAAATCGTTAAAAACCATTTAGAAACGTATCCGCTATACATAAAAAAATTTAGGCTTGGACCGAAAAAAATTTGGTTGACAAAAACCGATATTTCGAGGAGTTGTAATTTCGATGAGTCGTAATTTCGATGAGTCGTAATTTCGATGAGCCGTAATTCGATGAGTCGTAATTTCGATGAGTCGTAATTTCGATGGGATGTAATTCGATGGGATGCAATTCGATGGGATGCAATTCGATGGGATGCAATTCGGGCAGATGTGATTCGATGGGTTAAAAAAATGCCAATGTTGGGTATAATCAACTAGTATATCTGAAAGATTGAAGAAAGCGTTAGACCACATAAAAATGTAGCGAACAAAGTTTATAGGTATCGCGGAACCGTACAGTCGCGATCGGGCAATCGGCAAACCGATTAGCCAATGAAAATCGGCGGTCCATTTGGTTATGCAAAGGCATAGCAATTGGGTGGAAGAGGTATGATAACGTGTCATAACTTAAGGAAGCATCATAACTTTTAAAATTCACTGTAAATTTGCATAATACCGGAATAGCATCGAATTCCAGGATTTTGGGGCTGCGAGGTAGGCGAAGGGGAGCAGAGGGAAGAGAGTGAGGGAGAGGGGAGGGCATAGAGAAATCCGAGAGCCGTGAGCACGAGAGACAACGGGAGGCTGAGAACCTCAAGAAAAGTAGCTATTAAGTTAGTATAACCCAACTAAAAATCTGAATTCCTAAGATATAAAATTTGTATTCGATCTTAAATATTATTCATCAAGTTAAGCTTAATAAGAATATTTATTAGGGCCGATTAAGCATGTAAAATACGTTGTGGAAGTCTGGAAAAGCTAGCTCTTTAAGACCAACAAAAAGCACAAAGCTGCTACCGTTTAGCAGGGATTATTAATGCGCTCCTGGACATGTGACAAGTATTTAATAACGTGTGTAAGGTATCTATATACAATTTTTTATCAAAACACGATAAATTTATCATAAATTCACAAGGTGAACCCGGGAAAAGTCACGATTGCACAGCGAACGCTAAGAAATGAGTGAAACAATCTGATCGATTGGAGAGAAGTATCTCAACCTTGGTATGAAAATATAGCTCTTTATTTATAGCGTTTTTCTGCTGGCTGTCTGGGAGCTAGAAATGCTTTCTCGATGAATTAGAGGTTGTCCACATACAGGTTATGGATGTCACCATTTTTTTATGCA